AAATTTTACTTATTCCATAATTTCCTTACTACTTAAAATGCCGTTAATTCGAAAACCGGCTATAGGAAAGAAGTACGGGTTTTTAGTAAATTTATAAATAAATTTTTTGTTAATTAGAATATTGGATATTCCTAAATCTAAATAAATATTAACCTCCGGACTATCTAAGTCTTTATTAATAGGTATAGTTAGGTAGGTTATTTTATATAGAATGCGCGTTAGTTTGGTAATTAATATAGGATTCGCTTCGATAATTTAATATTTTTAGAAAGCGAGGTTAGTATTTTCCTTAGTATCTAATAAATTATATTTATTGATTATAAGGAGGTTTGTTTTAATTTAGGATTAATTAGTATAATTAATTAGTTTATCTTCCTTTATTTTATTAAGGTTAATTAGAGTTTAATAGTATTTAATTTAATTAGTAAATTCGGCTAGTATTATATTAAATTTAGTTGTATAATTCTCTTTTTTATTTAAAATATCCTTAATATTATATATAAAATTTATTACTTTTTTTTTATTTTTTTTCTTTTATTAATAATAATATAATTAGACTCCTTAAATTCCTTAACCTTCTTTTTTAAATTAGGTACGTCCTTATAGAAATAATAATAATTTTAGAAGTATAAATTATTATTACTATTAGTCTTTCGTTAATAAAAGTGTTCTTAATATTAATTATTACGCCTACTATTTCTTCGATAATGTTCGTCTTATTTATAATTATTTTCCTCTTTATTTTATTTATTTTATTAATATTATTTATTTAATTTTCAATTCTAATATCCTCTATTATAACCCTATAAAAAATAGTAGCTATACGACGAATCTTTTTAATAAGAATTGGATCCTCCCTAGTACGTATTTTCTTTATTGTAATCTTTAGTGATTTTTTCGTCCTTATATTTAAAATAAATAGTTAGTTTAATATATTACTTCTAGAACGCTTCCTATTATATCTCTATTTTTTTATTTATAAAGTATAAGTATTACTCTTTAATATTATTTGTAAATAGTTTATTTATTAAGCCCTTTAAAGTAGGATATAGGTTAATATAAAAATAGTATAGTTATTAATAATTAGTAATATTATTCTATCTCTAAATATAATAGAATAAATAACCGGCGAATATACGAATAGACTTCTTACGGGCGTTGCGCGCCTTGGTAAACTAGTTCTTCTATAATTATAAAGCCGCTTCGCTTAGGTTAATTTTAAATTGTATATTTATTAGTTAGAATAAAATTTCGAAGGATTTTATATAAGTCTTATAATTTTCGGTTAATAATTTAGAGGTTTACTATATTATAATTTTACCTTTTAATAAATTTTGGAAATAAGAAAGTATTTTTAGGAAATAATTTAGACTGCCTTTGGCGTCTATTTCATAATTTACTTTCTAATTGAAGAAATTTTAATAGTATAAGACCTTTCCTAAATAGAAAATATTATAGCTTTAATATTTATTATAGGGAGTATTAAGTTAAAATATACTAATCTCCTACGTTTTTTAATTATTATTAGTTATTTGAATATTATTAGGAGGGCTGGCGCTATAATAACCTAGGGTTATAAATAGTAGACCTAAGGGACCGTTAGGGGGCCTTCTATTTAAAAAGGTTAAATTTTAGAAGGGAGGTAATAGAGGTTATTCTCTATTATAAGAATTCTTAAAGCTATTAAGATTATTAGAATTATTAAAAATATTAGCAATTCCCTATTAAAGTGGTTTTCTATTATTATTATTATTTCTTCTAAATTTAATTAAGGGAGTTAATAGACTGGTAGAGAAATTAGTTGGGTAGTTAAGAATACTTAAATACTTATATAAACCTATTCCCTATCCTAAGTAGAAGTATATTGGATAATTATAAGGTAGATATATAACCCTATAAGGATAGGTGTACCTAAATTACCCTATAATATTATTAAGTTACTAAAATCCGGGGAAGAAACCGTTAAGAAGGAAATTTAGGGGAATCCTTAGTAATAATATACTTTAGTTAATTCTTAGGGGTACGAAGTTATTGTAAGTAATAAGGATTGTAGAAATATTTGTAGGAATGTTATTCTAACGTCCGATTTTAGTATTAGCGTTTTTAACGTTTATTTCCACTAGGTAAATAGCGGATTCGCCAATTTTATTTTTGGTTTTGGGTATAGTTGAATTTGTTGATAGTTTAGTTGAGGTTTTTCCTTTAAAGTTTATTTTATTAAAAGTATTAAGTAATTTATTAGGAATAGTAGAATTATTAGATAGATAATCTTTTATTATAATATTAGAGTTACTTTTTTTAGTATTAAGTATAAAAGTATTAAATTTAATATTATTTTATATTTTAATTTCCTATAGTATCGCTTTAATAGTAGGACGGTAATATTTATTATTAAAAGATTTAAGAATATATATTTCAAATATTCTTATTATAGTAAAAGATAGTAAGGTTTAATATTTCGTTTAAATACGTAGTAAGAGTAATAAAACGGCTAGATTTGCTTAGGACTTAATTCTCTAAGTAATTTAACGGTCTTCTTTAACGTTTTTTAAATAAAACCGGACCCTTAGTATAGGCTAAATTATTAGTATAAGAATCGGGCGTATAATTACTAATATAATATCAATAAAGAACTAAAATACCGGTATTAATATTAAATTCTTTTATATAGTAATAATTAATAATACTTAGAATATTACGGGCGATATTTAGTATAGGGTCGGATTTATTTCCTTTTTAGGATTAGATCCTTCGAGAAGAGTTCTCTATATAGATTTTATTATATTTAACTAACTTTAAATATATATAAAATCCTTTAAATACTTTCTAATGGATTTATTAAATTGTATAAGATCGATTCGTATCCGTTCGGTATTAGTAAGGTAGATTAGATTATTAGATAGTAAAAAGTTTATTCCTAATTATATTTGAACTTCCTTTCCTTTGCCTTTAATATTTTAAATTTAATTCGTTATAATTGGGTAAAAAGGTTTAATTTAGTATAGGGTTAAAATTATTTTCTTTGCGCTTATTCTAATTATTTTACTTCTTATACTTTAAGTAGTGAGAGTTTGGTTAATTTGTATATTAATAATAAATTTATTGTATTTTGTGAGGATAGAGTAAAGATGTTTTTTAAGTATTTTATAATTGGTAGTCTAGTAGGGAAAGTAAATAGAATTATCGCTATTATTAAAAGGTTCGTTGTTGGTAGTGTATTTAGTGTAATTATTAGGTTGGTATTGAATTTATTTATAGTAATCGAAAACTCTAATATTGTGACTATTGATATTTACTTATATTGGGTAATAAGGATGCTGCTTGTATAGTTTGTAGAGGCTATTGGCTCTCTTAGTATCGGCTTTTGTTTAAATAGACGTTATTTTACTTTAGTATTGTAGGATGCGATTCCGGGGGAATAAAGAGATATAATATAAATAAGGAATAATTTATAAGTAATAAAGAGGTAAAAGATTAGTTCGATTTTAAAGTTATGGAAATTATTTGTTATAGTATTACGGGGAGTTGAGATTGTAGTTACTATTTTATTAAGTAACGGATTTGTTATTAATAGATTTATTTTAAAAGAAGAATCCGGTAAGTGACGGATTCGTTAAAGGGATTAATGCGTAGTGGATTCGTTATTAAGTAACGGATTTATTTTAAGGAACTATAGTTAATTATAATTTAAATTTTATATTAATAAATAGTATTATTGAATAAGAATTTCTGGTTGTAAATAATAATTAATTGAAGAAGAGAGTCTATTAGTGTGACGGATCCTTCTATAACTATCTATACTTGCTCTATATTATATCGGGCTGCGCTGAGCCGAATCCGGCTCGGTATAGCCTAGTGTGTATAGACCCAGGCGAGGAGGATTTGTCACCTAACAGGTATATATATATATTATATATTACCTATATATAGTTGCTTATATTCGTAAAGTATAATATAGACCTGTAAATCCGTTATATCTATATAATATTATATAATATATATAGTAAGCCCAACAGAAACATTTAATGCAACGTTACATTACTTCTCAGCTAAGCTAGCTAGAAAATATATTTTAGTGCAACGTTACATTACCCACTTTTCCCAAGTATAAGTTACTGACCAATCCCGCATCTTACGCCTATTATTCTATCCCTTTTCTTCTTTCATTTATCCCATCTTATTCTACAACTCCGATTGCATCCTTTGTTACACTTCCCGTCACATTATACCTTTTATCAAACCCCTCTCGTCGCGCCAGTTACACAATCATCGCAGCACACTCCTCTCTACCCATCCAAGTTCATTCACGCACCACATTGCATACATCAGTACTGGAGAATCATCACTCACACTTGCACGACTGACGTCTGCATTCAGAACCGTTAGATGCACATGCACAGTGATGTATAGCATCGCTTCCACATGACAAGGACATGAGAAGCTACCACAAAGGTCAGATAAAATATTGACCATTTTAACTGTGAAATCGTCGAGCGTTTCCTGTCGACTTGAAGGTGTCTGCCATTTGATAGCATCGTCCCGTACTCGGAAGTAGGAGCGCAAACATCGAACAGAAGAGTTTATATATACAACGAGTACACTCGAGACCTACAATTCATCCACAACACTTAAAACTCAATTGCTCAACTACATACGCAACTCGTCGCTTGACGAGTGACGATATATACTATTCCATCGCATCAATTCATCACAACAAGAGGACTGATTGTTCACGCGTTGCGGTGCTGCCTGTTGCCGAGACGACCTTGATTCATCCCACGGGTACTGCAACTTCAGTGCGGCACTCTAATCGCTCTTGCACTTACAATTGAAACTGCGGCTTTAAACACGCAGCATCCCACTACAAACTATAAAACCCCTTCCAAAAAAAAAAAAAAAAAAAAAAAATGAAGGAGCAACCTAAACAAAACCACAAGCTTGGTTGCGATTCGCACAAAAGGAAGCATTCGTTGCTGTCACCTACCTCGTCTAGAGGTAAAATGGTATCCAAGAACCGTGGACGTACCGGTATCAAGAATTCTTCCGGCGTAAGTCACTCCATCATCACTTTGCTTTCATCTTCTCCCTAAATCATTACCCTTCACTCCGGCTTGCCCACCCATCAGTGCGATTCCTTTATTCGATCGCCATCTTACCCCCCCGTGATTCTTCTGGAGGAATGCGCATACTTTTACAAGTTCGATGCATGTCCCAACCATCCACCCAATCCTGTCCTTGCTAACTCGTATCAGAAACAGAAAATACGCCCTGCGCCGAAACTCAAAGTGCCGTCCGACGCAGTCGGCGCCCTTCTTACCATTTCATCAGCACCACAAGTGCAAACCCGAGTTCCGGTAGTCGACATGGAGTCTCCCGGTGAGGCTTCTGGCCAAATTTTAACTCCCCGGGCTTCAAATCTACCTTCAAACGCCACTCCGACACATCTTCCTTCCCCGGTAACCGATAATGATACCGACCAGGACATCGAAATGACTCAGCCGACGGTTGATGCTACCCCCGCAGACGAAAACACAGCTAGTGTCTGGGTTGACTCTGTTGAGGAGGGAGTCAAACAGCTCAAAATGCTTTACTCCATGACAAGGACAGACAAGACCCGGCCGTTTAAACCCTCGGAAAAAGAAGTAAAAAGGTACACCAAAAGCATGCGCGCCTTCCTGCTTTTTCTTAAACATGACGTAGAGCCAAAGCCAGATTTTAAGGACAAGTATAGTCTCGATACGGCGCTCGGGTTCTATCTGGGCCCTGGCATGGAATCCTTGAAGAAAGCAGCCCCAGACCTGTTGCTACTGGCTAGAGAAGTACTGGAGCAATACAACGCCGAAGAATGGGGTAAGGGCTTTACAGATGACGGAGAAGAAGAAGAAATCGAGGCAGATGATCTGGGTCCCGCTATTGCGACATCCAGCAAAAAGGGTAAACAAAGCCATGACACCAGCTCTTCCGATCACACAGAAGTTGTCAAACTCCCCCCCGTTTCCCATCCAATCTGGGGCCTCGAGGGCATCATGCACGGCTTGGCTCGCAAGACGACCAAGAAAGGTCGAGCTGTTTTATTTTTGGATCCTCGCTACCATAACAAGAAACGCAACGCAAAGGTTTTTGGCCACAACGACCACACTCCCGGTGCTTGGTGGCCGTACCAGAAGGCTGCTCTCTTTCATGGAGCTCACGGTGCGCCTCAGGCGGGCATTACCGGCAACCCTAATCTGGGAACCTACTCTATCGTTGTATCGGCGACCTCGGTTTACCGGGACCTGAACGAGGACAAGGGCACCGAGCTTTGGTATAGCGCGGACAAAAGTGCAGAGAATGCCGACCCTTTGAAACCCAAAATCAGCAACGCGACAAGAAGTTTAGAGAAAGCGCTCGAGACGCATAAGCCAGTGCGGGTATTGCGACACGCAGGAACCACTTGTGATCCCCGCCGCAGCCCCATCTACCCTACAGTTGGCATTCGATATGATGGGCTCTACGAGGTCGTTAATCATAAGTTCGGTACGAACAAGAACAACGGCGTGTTCAAGCGTTTCAAACTTGTACGACTCCCGGACTCGATGAATGCCGGTGTCTCATGGGCGGAGGTCCAGAGATACCCAACCAGGGAACAACGACGGCAATTTGACCAGACCAAGGATGGATACTAGAGAGATCTCAAGCTTGTTTCCTTCCACAGTCGAGCCGGACTTCTCAAGATGCTTCGCCAACAGACCCCACGATTGCAGTCAACATACACAACCTGTCGCTAGGGTTGATGTCTTCGAGCTCACCCCAAAACTGTTATGAATTGTACCTTCTTTTTCACAATCACCTTGTTTTTCTCCCATTACTTACGCTCTTCCCATTCGCTCTACCACGGTCACGCAGGCGTCATCCATTTTGATTGAACAAAAAAAGAAAACAACCACCAAAAAAAGAAGTTACCAACCAAAAGGAGGGAGAGATATTCGAAGGCTATAAGCTGTTGCAGCCTTTTCAGCGAGAGAGGCCAGGGAGGCAAGGAGAGATGACGGAATGCGGATGAGTAGGAACTATGAAGGACGAGAATGACAAGTGCGGCAGTTGGAAAACGGGCAAAATTGGTTAATAGCAGTACTGTAAAGTAGGACACGAGAAGGATAAAAGTCAAGTTGGAGGGTATGATTCTGTTGTGAGGCGGAAGTTGACTTTCGGATTGCCGGTTATTTTCATATCGCTTTGCTATTCTGTTCGCTCCGTTCGAATATTCTTTGAAGGCCTTTCCTAAAACCAAAAAAAAAAAAAAAAAAAAAAAAAAAAAAAAAACGAAAAAGAAAAAAAAAAAAAAAAATTCGCTTCTTTCCTTATTGTGCCAAGTTCATCGTGACCTGAAACCATGCCAAACTTTCAATTGAAGTGACTTTTCCAATACTTTGTGGACTCACCCTTGACACCGCGATCCCCCAAGATCCCATTCAAAGCTTCGCTTGCAAGCCAGTTGTTCCCAGAACCTCTTCAACAATAGCCCGACCAGCCGCTCTACCAGAGAAGATACATCCTCCCAAGAATGTTCCCTCGAGAGAATTATAGCCATGGACACCACCACCCCCAAACCCTGCCGCCTCTCCAACCGCGTACAAGCCCGGGAAAGGAGTGCCATTCGTCCGCATGACATTACTGCTCAAGTTCGTCTCGATGCCACCCAGCGTCTTCCTCGTAAGCAGATTCATCCGGACCGCAATCAGCGGGCCGTGCTTTTTATCCAACAACTTGTGCGGCGGCGCCACACGGCTTCTCCGATCCGGCCAGTAATTCCTTGTGCTGTTGATGAGCATCGCCTGCGCGTCCTTGGAGTACGGGTTGTCGAACTGGCTGTCTCGTGCCTCGACTTCCTCCTTGATCGCGGCGTAATCGAGACGGACACCGCCCGTCTTTTCCATGAGCTCGTTCATCCCGGCCACCAGGTCCTCGAGGTTGTCTTTCACGACGAAGTCCTCGCCATGCTTGATGAAGTTCTGCACAGGAACGGTGCCGTTGGAGCTGAAGACGCGCTGCCACAGCGTCTGCACGATGCTCTTGTTGGTGAGGTCCGGGTTCTGCTCCGATCCCGAAAGCGCAAACTCCCGCGCTGCAATGGTGCGGTTGCAGATGAACCACGAGTAGTCGTACCCCGTGCTGCAGATGTGCTTCAGGGTGCCCAGCGTGTCGCACCCCGGGAACAGGAACGGAGGCAGTCTCTTGCCTGTGGCGTCCAGCCAGAGCGAAGACGGTGCCGGCAGCACTCGAATCCCGTGCCCTGGCCAGATGGGATCCCAGTTTTTGAGTCCTTCCGTGTAATGCCACATCCTGTCCTTGTTAATCACGCTTGCGCCCACGCCCTCCGCAATATCAATCATCCGCCCGTCCACATGCGCCGGCACGCCCATGACCATGGTCGCCGGCACTTTTGGGCCCAGCCGATCAATCGGCCAATTCTTCTTGACCTTCTCCAGATTCCCTCCGATCCCTCCACTAGCAATGATCACTGCCGCACCACGAATCTCAAACTCCCCCGTCGCCACCCTCGAACTGCTCATCCCCCTCGCCAACCCCTCCTCCTCCTCCTCCTCCTCTTCCAAAACCCTCCCCTTCACTCCTACCGCCCGTCCCGTAGCTTCATCAACCACAATCTCATCCACACAATGCCGAAACCTCATCTCCACCACTCCCTCCCTTTCCTTCTTCTCCACCGGCTCCTTAAAAACCCTTACGACCTCCGGCCCCGTCCCCCAACTGACATGAAACCTCGGTACACTATTCCCATGTCCCCCCGTTCCCCTTCCATCTCCACGTTCCGCCCACCCAACATTCACCAAAAACCCCAATCCCCTCGCTTTCACATACTCTTCCATCTCGTCCGTCGCGAACTCGACAAAGGCCTCGGCCCATTTGCGCGGCCAGTAATCTTCCTTCTCGAGCTTGTCGAATTGCGCAGAGGATAACCAGTCGCGCAGGGCGAGGGCGCGCGAGTCGCGGATGCCCATGCGTCGCTGGAAGGAGGAGTCGACGAGGAAGAGACCGCCCAAGGACCAGAAGGCTTGTCCGCCTAAGGAGGAGCGGGGTTCTTGGTCGAGAAGCAGGCAGGGGAGGTTGGCGCGCGAGAGCTCAAAGGCGGCGACGAGGCCGGAGAGGCCGGTGCCGATTATGATGATGGGGGATTGTTTGGTGGGGGTGGGGAAGGGGGAGGGATGTGGAGGGGGTGAAGAGGTGGAGGTTGGGTGTGGGGAGGACATGGTGATTGAGAGCGAGGGTTTGGGATGTCGTGGAGGGATGGAAGGTGGATGTGGTTATTGGGATTGAGGTCGAGAGAGGTGATGCTCAAAGTCCGAAGATGAATCGCGGAGGGGTTTGTAGATTGTTGATTGCTGTGTTCACGGTGTTTTTGGTCTACAGCAATTCTTTCTGCAGTTGGATGCTAACGAGAAGATGACGCTGACGCTGATAGAAAACTATCAACCTGTCAGCGATGATGATGGGCTCTCATGTTGGTGGTCACGGGGAGCCTCTCAGTTGCCTCGGTTCAGAGACCGTTGGCGCGCGACGTGCATTCGAAGCACTTCCCCGCACAAGGGCTTTCTTTATAGGGCCTCGTTTGGAGGAGAGGGGGAAGTGCCCTGGAAGGGTTCAGGCTTGTGATTTTCGACTGTCTGTGTCAACTGAATTGACCTCGCCTTTGCCTTTCTCTTCCCAAAACATCACCTTTCTCGAAAAAACCCAATCTCATGTGAATGGCCTTGTGTAGTGCTGCCCACGGTTCGGAAGCCCGCGCCGACTTACACCGGCACTGACCCACTCATGACGTCTCCGAAGTGCCGGGTTCCCACCCACGGATCGGCGATGAATGCGGGTCCCGTTCATACAAAGTACATAGCTCCCACCCCAGATCCGGGCCAGTGATTGTAGTTTGCAGAAACCAAACCCCTTCACTCCTTCAATACTTCATCAAACTCGACTCAGATCGAACCCCGGGCCTAACATAAATCGACGGCCTCGCTACTTCAAGGGCCTCTATTGCGCACTGCACCGAAAAGGTAGCTTGTAGACTGGATCTACATAACCAACCGCGTTTGGCTAGACACTTCCACGTACTTTAGGAGAGAAACCGATTATTACCCGCTTAGCGAAATGGACAATATTATTGTCGACCAAAGCTTGTCGTGAATAGGGAAATGACTTGATGTCTTGAGAGGAACAGAGTGACCAAAAGACAAAAGATCAATTTTATAACGATCTTCAGAAACATATCGTCCTGAAAATCCCCACATCAACAAGTGTCTTTATAGGAAACAAGTAACCAAATTCCTTGTCCTCCACGACCTCTTCACTCCATCTTTTCCACCAATCACACTCGCAAAAGCCCCGATACTTCATCCACCAACACCCGCCTCTCCCCTTCCTTTCTTCCTTCCTTCCTTCATCCCAGGCAAAGAAACCCTCCAGTCTAGTCATAACAAGGCCTCAACCAACTTCCCCCCTCCTCTGCACCCGCCGCCGGCTCCTCCCACCAAGGGCACGTAATCTTATAAGCTTTAATCCCGCCTTCGGGCGCCCAGCACCCACTACCGCTCACGATACCCGGATCCGAACAGTCCATCTTCTTGAACAGCGTGATCTGGCACTTGGGATTGAGGTAGGCGTCGCTGATGGTGCGGGCGTCGAACGTCTCCGTGACGGGGCCTGTCAACTGCTTCTTGGGTACGGTGCATTCGCCGCAGGCGGCCCCGAAATTGACCGTGTAAAACTCCCAATTATGGGAGTTGAGGTCCATGGGACAGGTGTCGGCGGTGGAGAGGCGGAAGCCGCCGAGGGTGGGGACGCGTTTGCTGTTGTACTCGGATGAGGAAGAGGAGGAGGAGGCGGGCAAGGCGGAGGCGCCAATAGAAAGGACGGCGAGAGCGCCGGTGAGAAGAGTGGTGAGTTGCATTGTGTGCTGCTTGTAGTGGTGATGGTATTAGTCTTGATTGAAGACCTGGCAGATGAAGGAGCCTAGTTGGAAGAAGAATGGAGACGAATGGTGCTTTGAGAGATACTCGTATCCGACTAAAAGATCTCGCAACGTATGTCCCGAGGGTCTAGTGACGTGAATGTTCACGAGTATCTAGAAAGACCCGGGAATTGTATGCCTTTATATCCACTTTTCTTTTTGCTGGAAGCTTCTCAGGATCACATGAGAAGCTTCAAATACGAACATCATGACTCCCCACTTGCTTGGCTTCCTTGGCCGAGAAGCTAGCTATGCAATGGGATGTCAAAATTAGCATTCTTGGTCGACGTGGAGCACGTCCGATCTCCGACGTTGCCGTAGGGCTGAGGAGACTTGATGACAACCTCACATGTCAGTGGACAGCATCCCACGCGATTGGCTCACGTCAAGTCTTACAAACTGTCATCCAACTTGTGATGTTTTTCCTCAGCCTCCGCCATACCACTTGTCACCTGTTGAGTTGGATGGTAGCGGCTTGGCATCCCCAGCTGCGAATAACCCCCCTTCAACCTCCATATAAGACGGAGTAAATACCGTCCGAGGCTGAAGTGTCGAGAGTTGTGCATCGAGCCGAGCCAGAAGAGATTAAGCGATGACTTGTTTCTCTTCCAGTCCGCCTTTGACCTCTGAATCAAACATTCTAGCCACCATGGGTTGACCTCTTTGTTACCCCATCCAGTCCAACACCTTTCCCGGATTCATGACCCATTTGGGATCGACCGAAGCCTTGAGCTGCCTCATGAGCCCAATCGTCTCCTCTCCGAGTTCATCCACCAAGCACTCCTTCTTCCCAATACCAATCGCATGCTCCCCGCTTACAGTACCCTCCATCTCTAGCGCCCGGGTCATCATGTTTTTGACGCATTTGGCGACAGCCTGTTTCTGCTGCGAATTTGTTGGGTCGTACATCATGGACACATGAAAGTTTCCATCTCCTATATGACCCACCACGCTCGCAAACAAGCCTAGAGATCCGCATTCCCGCTTCGAGATTTCGATGATCTCCGCCAGCCGTGAAATGGGTACGGCCACGTCTGTTGACCAAATCTCGGTGCCCTTGGGCCGAGTGTTTACCATGGTAAAGAGGGCTTCCTTGCGCGCGGACCAGAGGTCCAGCTCATCCTGTTTCGTCTTTGCAAAGTGGAACTTGCTGTTCGTCAAGGGTTTGATGATGTCGCCTACGCGGGACACATCGCTCTTGAGGGCGTCCTTGGTAGTCCCGCTGAACTTGAGGAACAAGGTAGGTTTCTCGTCCCATACGCGCTTACGAACTGCGTCGCTTCCGTGCGCATTGAGCAATTTCATCTGCTCGTCGTCCATGAGCTCCAAAGCAGCGAGCTGGATCCCGGAGCGAATCAGCTTGGAAGCTGCTGCTGCGGCAGAGTGGATGGTGGGGAAAGCAACAACGGCGACGCTGGTTTCTTTTGGGATGGGAGCGAGCTTCAGGGTGACCTCGGCTACTATTCCCAGAGTACCTTCGGCGCCGACAAACAGAGAAGTCAGGTTATAGCCAGCCGAGGTCTTACGAGGACGCCGACGTGTCTTGATAACGCGGCCATCCGGGAGAACGACAGTCAGATTGAGCACCCAGTCTTTCATAGTTCCGTAGCGCATGGCGTTGGTGCCGGAACAATTGGTTGAGACCATTCCACCGACTGTGGCAGTAGGCGAGGGATCCAAAGGTACGAAGAGCCCTGTATGGGCGATCTGATTATTGAGGTCAACCCAGTTAACGCCAGGTTGAAGGACGACATCCATGTCCTCTGGGTGGAAGGCGATGACTCTATCCATGTAGGTGAAGTCGATGCAGATGCCGGAATAGGGCTGGGAGAAGTTGCCCTCGACACTGGAACCTGCGCCAAAGGGAACCATGGGGACATTACGAGCATTGCATATCTGAGCGATAGCAGATACGTGGTCAGTCGTGCGTGGGTAAACTACGGCAACGGCACGCCCAGGTGAGTTGGACGTCGACCAGTCCGAATGGCCGTGGTGTTCGAGAACATGGGCATCGTAGGTGACGGCGTCTTGTCCCAGTATTCGAGCCATCTCGTTCGCAGCGTCAAGCATCTCTTTGTGGCTTGCGTAGGTCGGTTTTGCCAGTGAATGCTCTTCCTTCTTTGCGTCCTTCAAGACAGTTTTCGAAACATCCATAATGATGATTGCCGATAACGCAAGGATGATCCAGCTTTGTCTGGACAGACCTAGCATATTGGACAAGATCCGCCCGGTCCTTTGGGGGATATTCTTGGATCGCTGTGATGCCCATCGTGTCGAGTGATATGCCTGGGGAGCAAAGGTGGGCCAATATTGTCGCTGTGCCGGGGAAATAAGAGGTCGGGATTGGGGAGTGAGAGTGAGCCGTGCCCCCGGAAAGCCAAGCACTCGGCGTGTCGCCATCTTTGGGGTGATGCGACAGTAGCCTGGGAGCGGAGTTTGCTCCGGACTGTAGCAAGCCTGACCCGGTGCGTGGAATGGAGAGGTGGTCTCTCGGACTGCGGAAGCGGAAGGCATAGAGAAGCCCTCGGGCGGGCGGCTTGGGAGAGCGGCGCCGAGACTCGGCCTGGCATGTCTGGGCTGGGGAAGCGGAACCGTGTTAGCGTCGTCGGCGGTTCCACATGGAGGACGCCTAAGGCGGGAATCGGAATCCGGGGTTGTTTCGCCTACAGCGCCAAGAAGGCTTGTTACCTACTGCAGGGCATAGTACATACATACTAGGACATGCTCAAATGGTTGATGGCCATGTCGCAGTCATGGTGATATGTCTCAGCAAAGCCCCTTTGAAGGTTCAAAACAGTTTCACTCTGACACTGGACTCGAGGAAACGAGGATTGTCACCATCACGAGAGAGCTATGCGGTCTCGTCTCGAAGTGAGTAGTTCTGCTGGCAGGAGGATAAGCGAACTGAGGATGGAAGTCGAGTATCGAAGACGACCTACAGTTGCAAGAACCAAGTTGAGAGTCCGGGTTTCAAGATTGGGAAATTGATGACCAGGGGAGATTGCCAATCCAGGTTTCCATTGGCCACGCCCGGGGAAGACAAACTTGTTCCTTCCGTTTCTGGTGCACCAGTGGCTCCTTCGATGTTGACGGCGGGAGTCCAAGATGATCGTTTGATGTGAACGCTGAGGGGTTTTTGTGGGGCACATGCCCTACGCAGTATGTAACATTTTTTACATGTCTGTATCTACAGGTAAAGCACAGCGCTCAAGCGTAACGAACATAGTATGTACCGTGCTACGTACATAGGTTATCGGTGCAACCCGCTGACCGTGTCTAGGTCCAGTATATTCTTAATATTCTTGAATGGGGTTACCTGAAGGATACGAAGCTGCTACTAATAGTATGTGAATGTCATGATACGGACTGCGCGCCGAGGACTTTACACTACATTATTATGTACACTACACTACACTACACTACACTACACTAGAGGTTCTTGGATTTGCAGGGTGCATGCTTGGTGCGGCATGGCAGTGCATCTTAGGTGCCTGGACGTTGCGTATGGCGCTTGTACCTCGCAGGAGCTGCCCTATGTGTCCTTAATATGTAACTCTATGGAAACCCACTCTGTCAACATCGCATTGCCCCCGCTCGAGCTTTCGAGTAGGTAGTCAAATAAGGTAGCACATGGCCTCCCTTGAGGGAATCTGACCTAGTCCAGAACTAATCGACCCTGAACGTGAATACAGATTGCCAGACCCCATCGGTTTCATCCCCCGGACTTGGGTGACGATCTGTCGTATCAATATTTCCTGTCGAGGTTCGTTACCTGTTGTGTACCACAGTACACAGTCGCTTGGCCCAACGATTGGTCGTGCGTAACTTTCAAAAATACGGTATTGCATGTAACATAGGGCCTAGCGCTACAAGGGAACTTGCCCGGTGTTACAGCAGCACCGACCGCGCATCGATGTCATGCATGGCGGATGATTGAAATTGAAAGAGGTTGAGACGACGCTTACTAGTTCTCTTCTGCAACACATCACACAGTCTCATCTCCGCAACATCAAGAGATGATATGATAGTGCTTCGACACAGGGCAGGTCTCTCTTCGGGCATTATCTCCAGACAGACAGTACCTACTATCCAATGACACTAGGCGATCGGCTGAAATCCACAACACGTTAGCCGGCAAGTGAAAGCCCCATGCGCGACTGCCGATCCAACTGAATCGCGTACCTGAATGGATTTCACCACAGCAGCGCGGTAGGTAGTAGGTGCTAGTAGGTAGGTAATGCCATTGATGCCGGGAACGAGACGGGATCTTCAGGTTCGTTCGACAAGCCACCCTCCACCACGGCAAGGGCACGCACATTGAGCGAGGAGGGGGGTCGAGCTGCCTGGAGATTGAGTGCCCGCCCACCATGCCACACACGACTCGTCACACGCACAAATTGCACAGCCCACTCCCGTCCCGCTCACTCGCCAGCTTCAGCTACATAGTGTAGTAAGTACCTACACCTGTCTTGTCGCGTGGAATGGAAAGGGAACTACCAAGGTTCTACCATAGTTCTCCCAAGGACAAGGTCAGGCCTTCTTGACTTCGGCGTCATCGTGTGTGGTCCCCCCTCTCCCGACTTCCATGTCTGAAACCGAACCGTCTCCAGATTTTCTTATTCAGTCTTTTTCTTCACTTTCAACTTTTTTTATTCCCGCCGTAGCGCATCCTTCTTTGTTGTGTCCACTGTTCAGGGCGAGGCAGTGTGGCTCTGGACCCCATCACCTCGGTCTCGTTCTACCAGTCCAGTCATTCGTTGAAGCGTCGCGCTCTTTCTTTCTTTCTTACAATCTCCTGGACTTGGCATTTGATCGCTCTCTGTCTATCTTTCGCATCATCTAGAGTCACTAAGCGCATGCTATCACTCGAAAAGTCTTGGCAACAGCAGATATCGAGCTGAGCGGCGGGCCGGCCACTCAACCGAAAACACCATACCATACATCATGAGGACAACATCATCGCCAAGAGGGGCGAAATGGCTCACAGCTCTCTTCGCCGCCGCAGCTTGTTTGCTGCCGGCAGCAAATGCCCAAGGCTACGCTGTCGATACCACAGGTACAGCGGCCACTTGAGCACTTCAGCCTGTAGTGTGTATTGCAGACGCAGCAGCTAACACTGCCTTGCAGATAACATCCGTGCCTCCGCAAAAACGCTAGCCTTCGACTTGATGAAATTCTACAACGGCAACCAGTCGGGCCAAATCCCAGGTATCCTGCCCGGTCCGCCCTCGGATGGAAAAGGCGACTACTACTGGTGGGAAGGCGGCGCCCTGATGGGCACCATGATTGATTACTGGCACTTGACCGGCGACACCACCTACAACGATGTCATCACCCAGGGTATTCTTCACCAAGTCGGCGATAATCGCGACTTTCAACCCTTGAACTTCACGGCCTCGCTTGGCAACGACGACCAAGGATTCTGGGGCATGACCGCCATGCTTGCCGCCGAAAACAAGTTCCCCAACCCGCCCGCTGACCAGCCCCAGTGGCTTGCCCTTGCTCAGGCCGTCTGGGCCACCCAAGCCGCGCCTGACCGCCACGACGATACCTGTAACGGTGGTTTGCGATGGCAGATTCCTCCTACAAACAACGGCTACGACTACAAGAATACCATTGCCAACGCCATGTAAGTATACCTGTCAGAACCAATTTCTAGTTAGCTAACCAAACCCCCTAGCTTCTTCAACATGGGCGCCCGTCTCGCCCGCTACACCCGCAACGAAACTTACGCCACCTGGGCCACCAAGCAATTCCAATGGATCTACGACGTCAACTACATCGACCACGATTCCTGGAAAGTCTACGATGGCGGGCACGTCGAGCATAACTGCACGGACATCAACAAGGCGCAGTTCAGCTACAGCGCCGCCATACTCGTCCAGGGCGCCGCCTTCATGTACAACTACACGGAAGGTGACGCCGCCACGCAAGACATGTGGAAAACCCGCATCGAGAAACTCACCCAAGGTCTTTTTCGCGATTTTTTCCCCAAAGGCATCGCCTTCGAACTCGCCTGCGAGGGCCGCCAGGGCGCCTGCACGCCCGACATGGTGAGCTTCAAGGGGTACGTGCACCGCTGGATGGCAATGGTGACGCAGATCGCGCCCTTTACGCGGGACACCATCCTCCCTGTCCTCAAAACCTCAGCTGAAGCGGCAGCGAAGCAATGCACGGGCGGAGCCACAGGGCGAGTGTGCGGCTTCTACTGGTCCGGGGGTGTCTTTGTCGATCCCGCCGTGGACAAGACTACCGGTGCGGGAGAGGCTATGGATGTTCTCGCGGCTGTGTCGAGTCTCCTTATTGATGAAGCCGACCCGCCAGTGACGAACACGACGGGTGGTACCAGCAAGGGAGATCCAAACGCGGGAACGGGAAGTAGGCATGCTACCGAGCCAGCAAAGCCGATTACTACGGCAGATAAGGCTGGGGCGGCTATGTGCACAATATTGCTGATAGCGGGAGGTATTGCGATTTGGATTTTTATGAACTTGGGGGATTGAGTTGATGATTTCCATGAATGAGAGTTTGGAGAAGGGGATGTATGTGCAGATATGCTCATGATTCTGTATACTCACATCTTCGGGTTCAAGATTCTTTTGGTATGAGACCAGGTAAATAATGGGCCGGCGTTATGTACAGGGGGGGCTTCTTCTTCTTCTTCTTCTTCTTCTTGTATATGTAGCACGTTTTGATACCACCATATTTCTGGCACTATGCTGTCACAGTTTGAGATGAGGATGACTAAAGAGCAACGGCTCTTCCAATCCCCAATGATATCGCCGAATTCGAAGGCCAAGGAAAGAAGAGGCCGCTTCGGGGCAACCAACATCTCTTTTTATTGCATGGAGGGTAACCAAGGAAGTGCTGCCTGCCCCAACTTCCATCCATATCTTGCTTCTCCTCGGATATCGAGATAGTCGACTACAAAATCTTTTCCGTTCATGTTTTCTTTTGTTTGTTTCGCGACTACCGTTTCTCTTTTCGATACTAGGAGGCACGTGCTATTGATCATCACCTTGACCGCCTCCTATGTACATGCCTAAGCAGCTCCAGGCCCCCAAGCGAACTGGAACCCAACGAACTGTGTTGTTTGGGTCTCATGGCAAAAGCGGAGCCACGCCGTCGATCACCACGCTACTTTGATCAACAACGGCCACCACCACCACCACCCACCACGCATGTAAGAAGTCATTGGATTTTACTTAGTGTAGGTTACTCTAACCTTACTGCTGCACAGCTCGCGACAAAACGGCTGATCCCATTCCCGAGCTGACAAGTGGTTTAGAAAATGTTTCAGTGTCTTGGTTGGAATCTTGATATGTACTAGGTAGGTACATGCCTACCCTGGCTGCCTGGACAGGACAGGACGAGCGGGAATTCCATCCGGGAAAAAAGGATAGCAAGGTGACATCGATACCTACACATACGGCAGGGCATCATCGACCGACCGTTTACATACCTAACTAGTGCAAGGGGTTTCGACGAAATCTCCGATCGATTCATGTACACTATGTACTGTAGTGTAGTATAGGCAAAAAAAAAAAAGGTCCCATAGCGAAAGAAGACGCACGATCGGGTACAAACCCATGGCAACTTCACTGACCGATGACTGGACCGAGTTCGTGACGGCTCAAACTAGGTACGTACTGTTACTCGGACTGTACTGTACATCACATCGGCCACGCTTCCTCACAAAGACAGAGCCCCATACATGTAGCGACCAGATGCAGAAGGACAGAGTGAATCACTGGTGCACAGCCGTCCGGGTAATGGGTTCGTTGGTATCATGTCTCAGGGTCTTGAGAAATCGGGGCTGGGGGTTTCTTTCTGTTCTGTTCTGTTCTTCCTCAACCTTCTTGAGACATGAACCAGGAACAAGTCAAGAAAAAAAAAAGTGTCCGATTGGGACTGGACTGTCGAAATCTCCGTGCTATACAATTATGCTCGGGTCCGTATATCACTCAGGGGGTTGGTTAAACTTGCCCCGTATAAATATCTCTGGGATGACTACCTACCTACATCAGGACTTGGAAGTATTGGACTACCTACCACCAGTCAGCCAGTCATCTCCCGGGCATCTTCTCCAACCAACCTTGACATCTCTGGTTGTCGCGTTCTACTTCTACTCAACAAAGCAGCCGTAGTTCACAAAAGAGAGATGATGATGGTGATGAATCTCTCACACCTCCTCCCACTGGGGATACCTCTACCCAGTCCTACCAGTCTTTTAGGGATTTTCCTCATCGGTGTAAGTACCTACCTACCTACCTACCTACCTACCTACCTACTCCCGCCCTTGACGTACAGCCCAACAAACAAACATCACTAACATCTTCTTCCAGACCTTCACCCTCCTATCGTCCATCCTCCTCTCCGCCATCTACAACCTCACCCTGCACCCCCTCGCCCGCCACCCGGGCCCCTTTTTCCACCGCGCCTCCATCCTCCCTTATTTGTACCGCCAAATCACCGGCACGCTCCCCTGCTCCATCCTCGACTTCCACACGCGGTACGGGCCCGTGGTGCGCATCTCGCCCAATGCTCTTTCTTTTGCCGACCCGCAAGCCTGGAAGGACATCTACGGCCATCGGCCCCATGGCGAAGAAGAGTTTGCCAAGCTCAATCTCTTTTACCGAATCAAAGGCAGCCCGCCGAGTCTGCTGAGTGAGACAAAAGAGGCGCACGGGGCGCTGAGGAAGTTGATGGCGCAGGGGTTCAGTGATCGGAGCATGAGGGCGCAGGAGGGGATTATTGGGGGGTATGTGAGTGCGTTGATTAGGGGGTTGAGGGGCAATTGTTCTTCTTCTTCTTCTGGGAAGAGGGAGGAGGACGTGGTGAAGCAGCAAGATGGGGGAGTTCAAGTTGTGTCGGAGGAGGAGGAGGAGGAAAAGGAAACGACGGTCATAAACATGAAGAACACGAACACGAAGCAAACGGAGAACATGAACCAAAAAGAGGAACATGATGGACGTGTACCGCTTGACATGGTAAGCTGGTATAACTGGACTACCTTTGACATCATTGGCGACTTGGCCTTTGGCGAGCCGTTTGGGTGTTTGGAGAAGGCCGAGTACGATCCGTGGGTGGACGCGGTGGGGAAGAGTGTGCGGTTCGGCTGCGTCATGTTCGCCCTCAGGCTTTTGGGGCTGGAGGACTGGGTGTGTCCGCTTGTTCGGAAATTGAGTGGCAATGCCAGACGGTTTCATCGGAAAAGGACCATGGATAAGCTGCAGAGGAGGGTGAAGCTGACGAAGGAGAGGCCGGACTTCCTGGAGGGGTTGTTGCAGAAGAGAGAGGAGTGGGTGAGTTCATATTCCCCCATTTTTGCCGGTGGCTACTCAGCTGAAGTCTGAAAGTATGGTGATGATGGGATGCTGACAAGTGGGCTTTGACAACCTCTAGGGCATAGATATGGACGCACTCGCGGCCAATGCAAGTCTGTTGATCGTTGCCGGTTCGGAAACGACTGCAACACTCTTGGCTGGAGCAACATATATGCTGCTGAGGGATCCCGAGGCAATGAAGAAGCTGACTGAGGAAGTTCGTTCGACGTTCAAATCGGAGGAAGAAATCACCCTTTCGTCCGTGGGCAACCTCGAGTATATGCTGGCCTGCTTGAACGAGGCCATGCGTCTCTATCCTCCTGTCCCTATCGGTATGCCTCGAGTTGTTCCCAAGGGCGGTGCCAAGGTTGCGGGCACATTCGTTCCAGAAGGTGTAAGTTTCAACTTCCTTCAGGACTCTAGAGATTGGTGTTATGACGGCCATAGACTGACCAAATTCTTGCTTTCTATCGACAAAGACTGTTGTTGCTGTATGGCACTGGGCAACAAGCCACAATGAGCAGCATTTCGTTGAACCCTTCGAGTTCCATCCTGAGCGGTGGATGCAGGATCCCCGGTTTGCCAACGACAGGTTGGATGCGGTACAACCTTTTAGCGTTGGACCAAGGAACTGTATTGGTCGGAGGTGAGTGAATCATATCCTTAGGTAGTGTTTCGGCACTTTGTTCTCTTCCTCCTTGTTCATTGGCTGACGAATCACCCTCTTCTATCATAGCCTCGCCATCGCGGAGATGAGGCTCATCCTTACCAAAGTCGTTTACAACTTCGATATGAAGCTCGCAAACCCTGACAAGGACTGGCTGGATCAACATATCTATACTCTATGGGACAAACACCCGCTTCCGGTCTATTTGACCCCGGTCGAGAGGAACGGTGTATAGCCTGGAGACAGTCAGTGATGATTTCACTCATGTTTTCTCCAACTAACGTACACGCTGGGGGAGGGGAAAAGGTGTTCTGGATGAAAGGGATCACGAGAGTCCACATCATCGGGACCTAGTCCTGAAGGATGAACCGAAGGGGATATTGGTGGTAACAGTCAAGACTTGTATCTGTAATATTGTATGGGTTGTAGACCTGTCCTCATGTCGTCTATGAAGAGGTAGTCACCAAGCAACGACGAACTGCCTGGGCATCGTCTTTGTCGTCGATGCTAACATCATGTTCCCCTACCATTTTCCTTCCCTAGACCGCTACTCTCTGTCGAGTGAATTGCGTCATGTCAAAGACTAGTAGGACCAGAAACTCGAGGAGTAACAGATTTGACTTGATCATGCACGCAGTGCTGGTGGCCAAGGGTTTGTAAGCATTCTGGAAGGTGTGAGTGGAAGTCGTATGTACCCCACCCAGGTTTTCTCTTCTCACTGCAGCCCGTGTATCAAGCCCGCCAATTACCATAACCATTTCCCCACACCTTGCTCCTTCCCAGAGTCTCGATTATCTGATGTTGTCATGACCAAGGCCAAAGTTGCAAGCATACCTATAACTGGGCAGTTACTGAGCTGTAGACTATTCTACAGATTCATCAATGCACGTCGTCACTTTCCTACTACACTGTCTAAACATGGCTCGGCATTGCGGTTCCAGTCTCACTGCGATTGACATAACATGTAGGAGAGTTTGGCTTGTACGATACTTTCGGGTTGCATTCCTTCCTTCAATGTTCTCTTGGGCGTACGTAAGACGCAACATTGGCCCACTGGGCCTATCTATCTTTGCCACAGACCTACGGTGTGATCATCCGTCCTTTGTTCTAATCCAGCAGGACCAAGATATTCGCTTATGTTACTATGTGTACGGCGAAATTCCAAGTTACACAAATCGTGAGAACGTGGTGAACGAAAAAACAGTTGAGGTCGTCAATTAGAGCTCTTGACACTCTACTAGTTCTAACGTATCCAGCTACCACCTAGCGTATCGAACCGTTGGTGATCTCGGTCGAGCGTATGTATGTAGAGGTAGGCTTGGGTACCAAGGTGTTTTATTCTTCTTCACAAACAGGAGCAATCAAGTGGCCTCATGATGCATCCAGTCATGATTCCTGAATGTGGAGTCCGACTGGTTATACCAAAATCCTTCTCTACTACGCCAATTTCCTCTATGCAACCTCATGCTTACAGGTTTACTAACAAACTCGTATTAGCAGAGAGGAGGGGGGGGGGGGGGGGTGATCAGCAAACCCAGACCGAATGATCCGTCATGAAACCATTGCGAACTCCCGTTGTCTTCAGATGCCGCGAAGCCGTCTGGAAGAGAAGCAACCAGCCTATCCAATTTCATGACGGATGAAGCCATCAAGAAGTATTTAAAGTGCCCTCATTCCTGCAACTTGCCAACAGCTTCTTTCTCCCTTGCCTGATCCATCAGCCTTCCTCCCTCAAGACCTTCCTCCAACACTAGTCTACTAGTCGACTCCCTTTTCAAGCCTCCATCCAGTATGCAACTTCTCCATCTTGTTTCGGCCATGGCGACTTTGGTCGCTTCAGTCCAGGGAACCGTCTGGCTTGGACAGTCGTGCAGTGGATCTGGTTACGACTGCACCGACGGCTTCAATGGTGTTGCTGTTTGCAATGGTCGTCAGTGGGTACTGTCCGCACAATGCGGAAGAGCTTGTAAGTGAAACTCTCCACCCTTTACATACCTAAGTACGTAGCTCTTTTGCGGCTAACCCTTGAGTTTAGGCTGTGTTTGGCCGGGTGGCGATCCTGCTCCATGGTGCAGGTGCTAAACGCAAGTAAGATACCCTCATGTTTTGTTCTGTTGTTGGGTGTGGCAGTCGCTGATATTGGGGCAGTTGATGGTCGCTTTCGTCCATGTGTGGGGGGTGACCAACCTGAGGAACATCACTTGAAGCTGGCATTTCTTTTGGAAATCCAGCTGCTCTCCCATAGCCCTAGGTTCCAGGGGGTAATAGTGTATGGACTCGACGGGTAGAGGACGAGAAAAAAGAAAATAATTGTGTATTGTGTCCCAGAAAACACTCCTCCCTTTTGGTATGGCTAGAACTGTGCGTGTCTCCGAACGCGTGCCATCCACCTTCGAAACTTCAGTTGACGAAGAGGAATCCTTTTTCCAACAATCAATCCGTTTAGTTGGTGTGTGACAGTGATAATAATTGGACCCAATTACAAGTTATCGCTTCGATTGTGTTGCCTCCTTGCAGTGGTTATCGTCCTTTTCGAGACCTGTCGACTCTCTTGGAGGGCTCGCTCATTCACAGCTCAAGGGGTTTGGGTGCACGAGGCTCACAAAAGACACCACCACGGAATACCACTGCCAGGCAACTTGTGGACGCATTAATTGATTCGATACCAATATTCATTTGCATTGTTATCCTTCAGTCTCGGTCCCCTAGCATAGCGCCGTGTAACCGTTTGTTTCTTTCACTACCCACAATCTAAGCACCAATACCAGCCATCTCACTCTTGTACTTCCCCGCAACCGGGCACACGGCGCCCTCGCTGGCGCTCTTCAAATCCGGGTGTTCGTGGACCTTGCCCTTGTGATGTGCGACCTTGGCCTTGGTGACAGGGCACTCGGCATCCTCCGGCGCGCCCTCAATGTTGGGATGATCGGGGGACAGAACCGTCGTCGCTGTACCGACCACAGGGCAGACCTCGTCGTCCATCTCCTTGGACTTGGGCTCGTTGACGATGCGGCTGTTGAGGGCGGGGCAGGCCGAGGCGTCGTCCAAGCGCTTGAGACCCTCGGGCTGGGACACTTGAGGGTGCTTGTGGAGGTTGTGGTGGTGATCGGTTGAGGCCCCCACGACCGGGCAAGTTTGGCCGGGCTGGGAGAGATCGATGTCCGGGTGGCTGGGAGGGAGAGTCGAGTTTGTGGTGCCAACAACAGGGCAGACCTGGGGGTTCGAGGTAGCGCCAGTCATTGTGATTCTTGGTGTTCGTTTGTTGGGGGGATGTGTTGATGTGCGGTGGATTGTGAGACTTGGTAATCGAGCTGACTGTTCTTTCAGTTACTTGATGCGGTTGATTTGTCGACAGATGGTAAAGTGTTTTGGAGGAGAGCTTTTGTTTGGAAGGACAGAGATATACTACTAAAAAATATGCGGTACAGTGTGACAGCGACCAGGTGACCTACCCGACGGGAACCTAACAAACGATCGTTCCTTCCCTTGTTGGCGAGATCACTCGGGATGCAGGAGCGGTGACAGTGTCAAGAAGAGGAGGCAGCTGCAGCGGCTTGTACGTAGCCTGTCAAGGGGGTGACAGAATTAAGGGTACATTACACCACATGGATGCGCATTACCGTTTGGGGCATCCATCATCAACAAAAGCTTCAATTGTTGACTCAAACGCGCCCTTCGCTTTGGTGAACGGTGGGTGTACCTACACCACTACAGTTCGGTTCCCCCTTCGTTCAAGTTAGTTGCCTATGCCCATTCTCATCCCCTCTCGAGAGCCCCTCAAGGAGGATCGTCCCATGATGTTTCCCATGACGTATCCGCAGAATGCAGGGCTCGAACGTTCCAATCACAGCAAGTACATATGTAAACTACTCCACAATCAGGGGATCGTGGGAAATGTGGAGCCGGTCTCTGGCTCCGGACGGTCCAAACCTAGAATCGTCTCATGTACAATTCCATGATAAGCCGCCCCTTGCTACCTCTAGATGGTGTGGTCTTCTCTCTCCTTCTCCAGCTTGTCTTTCTTATGTGTATGTATCACATCACCGAATGCACATGGGACGTGCAATTTAACCGATTTCCTGTCGTCAGTGTATTGAAATCCCCGTGGGGCGGTCTGGACGAGACGCTTAACAGGGCAGTCTCATCTCTATTCAGTCTCGTTAACCAGCTGGGCAGGTAAAGATGAGCATATTAGAGCGAAAAGGAAGTTGTGCCTTCCATTTCGATTTACAAGGAACTCTGACTTGCTCTTTTACTCGGCCTGCTACGGTGTCTTCAGGCCATGGTCACATCCTATAGCAGGAGAAGGTGGTTGGAAGGCAATATCATCCCCTACAAAGAAAATATCATAACCGAATTGCTTAGAGTGCCATCGACGAAGATCATCTACTATGTAAGAAAAGATCTCGCTTCCATCCTATGTAGATGAGGCCAGTGAAGTCATTTACGCAGCGAAATTCGGACAACGGATACGCATCAGCTTCAGCACGTGACAAGGCCAAGCGATAGCCGACATGGCATTCTTATCTCTCCAGTCTTCAATGCCAACTAGGTACCTCCAACCTCCATCAGTAGTGTAGACACCATCAGCATTGGGTCAACCAGCCGGTGAAAAGAAATGATCACCAGCTAAAGACACAAAAGCTAAAGTGACAAAGCGATCGGAACCACTGGCAGGTCGTCGCATTTCTTCTTCGTTCTTTGTTTTCTTTATCTCATTTTTCTTTATTTTCTTTTTTCTTAGGGTTCTCTTTCCCTTTGATCTTTTTCTTCTTTCTATGTCGTTCGATTCCTATTCTTTTACTTTTTGGTTCATTGTCTTTGCTTCAAACCGTTAGACTGTTCTCCTCCTGGCTCCCAGTAAGTCCCTTCGAGTATCTACCAAGTACCATACCTATCGGCAGCAGCCAAGTTGGCAAAACTCAAGTATGTATCCGACAAACACTGCGATCGTCGCGGGGGGTCTGGACGGGCAAACGGCAAGTTAATGCGCGCGCCCGTACCGGCCAACGGGACCACGTGGTATGTACAGTATGTAGATGAATGGTGGGACCGACCAGACGGGAGGTAGGTAGGTAGTGAGACGGAAAAAAGGTGAAGAAGAGAGAAGTTCGGACCAAGGAAAATAACACACACATCCATCCCGTCGGTGATCTCATCCCAACGTCAGTCAGGCAGCTTTTTAAGCTTATTCCAACCACCGCCGAGCCATGGAAAGGTGGTGTTGTGTAACAATAACCAACCAAGACATCTCGGACAGAAGCGCCATGTGGTCTTTTCTTTTTCCTATGGTACATAATAATGAGAGAAAAAAAAAAATCAATTCTCGGCTGTAGTCATTTTCTTCTGCCGGATCCAGCCAGTTAGCTTGAGGAGGAATCAAGACCCAAGTTTTCACGTGCAATAATATATATGAGAAGGGGAAACCAGGAAAGAACGAGACAGGGACAAGATACCTTGGACAAGACAGCCTTGTCTGCCTGTTTTTGCAAGGTGCAGTTACACATATTCTTCTCTCACTTGTTTCTGTTTCTCAAAATGAGACTGATACACGTCAGTCAGACGTGTGTCAATATCATATCAACCATGTACATACTGTATGTCCTTTATTTTATTCAACAGGTCGAGGTCGTCACACATAATCCGGTATTACCACCGTCCACAGGTTTCAGATGGGCTGTTCATGTCTGGGAACATCGCTGTTGTGAACCGAAACTCGGACATTGTGAAACAAAAGGGCTGGATTAACCTTCTTCTGGAAGAAGACGAGTATCTAGCGACATGCCGTGTTGCAGTGGACACGGCAGGCTCTGATGATGATGATGAAATCTTTGCCAGAACACGATATTGCTAAGATTGTGAGCAAAGGTTCGTTACAGGTACAAATAGGTAAAAGCTCAGTCGAGTCGAGTCAACCTCGGCTTCAACTGATTAGATTCTCACGCAAGGCTCACGAGATTTCGCGTCATAGTATGAATTAAGAAAATAAAGAAATGATGTATACTAAAATTTGGTACGTATATAGATGCGCTGGAATGTATGTAGATAATCGAGCAGCCATTACGCCGTTATCCAGAAAAATATATTGACACCCGACATACAATTGTGTCGTATGTACACGGTGTTGCGTGGCCTGACTCTCATGCTCTCAACAACAACGTTTGCCATTTCTTCTAGTGCGACTTTCAACCGTCAAGTGTGTTTGCGTTTGCGTTTCGGGGTATCTTATCACCAACTTCCCTCTCAGCTTTCCAAGATGATCGAACCGACTTGAAAGGAACCCCTCTTGAAGAGTAGTTCCGATTCAAATATCGGATGAGACCAGAACATGACTACAGCTTGTTTGTTTTCTAGTTTTTTTGCGTTTCCTTGGTTCGTCTCTTTTAAATTTGAACATCAAATTTAAAGGAGCAAGCTAGCAGTTCCGAGAACGGCAGCCATCAGGACACCGGTGGCGGCGCCCTTGGAGACAGCGCCATTCTCCTCCTTGGGGCCGTCAACGGTGGTCTTGGTGCAGATATCGGTGCCCTCAAGAGCAGACTTCTTGACCCAGACCTTGGGTTCGCCAGCGCCCATGTAGGCGGTGATCTGGCCGAGGCCGTCGGCAGTGGTCGTGGCGCAGCTGAGGACCTCGACAACCTCGTCAGAGTCGCGGAAGCCGCCAACGGACATCTGGTAGCTGTCGCCCTTGGACGACTTGTTGGTGACGCAGAACACGACCGAGTTCTCGGCGGGGCCCTTTTGCTGGCAGAAGTGGTTGGTGTCGGCAATCAGGACATTGGACGTCTGCTTGACGTAGGTAGGCGACTGCTTGATGGCGTTCTTGCGGACCTTGTTGAGGGTCTGGGCAAGAACGTAGAGGGGCGCCGAGGTGTTGTAGCTGGACCTCCAGAGGGGCTCGCGGTTCTCAGGGGTCGCGCCGCCCGTGAAGTGCTGCTCCTGACCTTGGTAGACTGTTGATTGTGTCAGATCAGTGATTTTCTCATGCGCAGAAAAGGGAAAATGCGAAAACAAATATGTGTTGTCTTACCAGTAGGGATACCGTCGTTCATGATAACGTAGGTCATGGCGTTCTTGGCGAGGGCCATATCTTGGTTCTGGCTGGCAAAGCGAGGCATATCGTGGTTCTCGATGAAGGTACCGAGGGCAAGAGTGTCGTTGCAGCTGTCTTGGGCCTGGGCGCGGATCTCGCCGAGGCGCTCAAAGGAACCGCCGTTGAAGGCCGCGTTCAAGGGATAGTAGTCGAGGTAGTTGGGCATGCCGGGGAGGAGGTTCTTGGACTTGTTCTGGTAGCGGCACATGTCCTCGGTGACACCGGTCAAAACCTCACCGAGAGCGAAAACGCCGGAAGCCTGGACAAATTGGGGCAGGAACTCATCGTTGACGTGCTTGGCGGCATCGATACGGAGACCATCGATGGAATAGGTCGAGACGAGATTCTTGATCCACTTGGTGAAAAGGCTGACAACATCGGGGGACTCGGTCTTGAGATCGGCGAGAGCAATGCCATAGGGATAGAGCCAGCAGTCCTGGATGTTGGTGGCGTTCTCCCACTCGGTAACGTTGCAGTACGGGTGGAAGTATTTCTTGTCGTTGAACGGCTTGAACACGGAGTAGTCGACCTTGGGGGGCACAACGTTGTCGAACTCTTGCGCCATGTGGTTCACGACAACGTCAACCATGAGGAACATGTCACGCTTGTGGATCTCATCAATGAGGTTCTTGAGGTCCTCCTCGGTACCGAATTTGGGGTTGACCTGGGTGAGATCCTGCGACCAGTAACCGTGGTAGGGCTCGCCAACGGCGGTGTTCTTATCCTCGTTCTTGATGACGGGGCTGATCTGGATGGCATCGAAGCCCATACCTGTACGTATTCTGTCGGCTGCTGGGCTCACAAAACGGGCATGAGACAGGCTGGCCAAACTTACCTTGGATATAATCCAACTTGTTGGTAAGGCCCTTCCAAGTACCACCGCAAAACTCGTACAGCTTGCAGTCGACCGAACCGCCGTCGTCGCGAGCGAAACGGTCGATCATGACCTGGTAGATGGATCGGGACTTCCACGCCTCAGCGTCGGCGGCGGCAGCATAACCGGAAAAGCTCAGGGCCGCCGCAATGGCGCCCGTCAAAAGAGATGACCGCATGTTGTTGTGTGTTCCTGGTGGATGTTGAGTTTGTCGTCGTTGTCGTCAACGCGGGTTGTGAATAACGGGTTTATTTTCAACGAATGGCTCTTTCTGGTCCCTTTCTTTCCTTCTTCCTTCTCAAAGAGTGGCTGTTTGTCCGATCTTTCGACACCGTCCGGAAAACGAGGGGAGGGATGGCGCAAAGGGGAGTAAACAAAAGCGAGTGTCTACGGGCAAACCGATGGTTGGAAAGACCGAAAGAAAGAGCGCAGGCAAATAAAAAATGGGATTCAATTCGCGATATACTACAAAATGAGTGACTGGTGGAATGGCGGCGACAAGCGACTAGCACCGGAAGGACGGGATTTTGGTTGTGGAGAGAGGGAGAGAAAAGAAGACCGGGAGATGAGTCCGGGTTGGGATGGCTAGGAGAAGGGTCGTCCAGAGTACGAGAAGTGACAAGGAAGGTACGAGGTCAGGAACGGCTTGTGATTGGCTGGTGGTGCCTTTTTCTTACCTCGGAAGGGATGAACGCCGGCCCTGCTCGGGGATGCTGCGAACCACGAGACCCAGAGAAGCCCACCACACCTGCAAATCACCAACCTTATGCTGCTGAGATCTGCCAGCCCGCAATTGCGAGGACTCCAGTCGCTATACGATAGCCTCGACAGCCGCCATTTTTTCTGTCACGGACAACGGCACAAGGACGGCAGGACAACAGCCAGATCGTGGAGAAGGCCAGCCAGGGGGGTAGAAGGGGTTACCCTTTTGGGGGGCATTCTAAAAGCGTCTCATGTCGCCCAAGAAGATCCCAACAAGTCTCATTTCAGAACGGACAGGGAGATCGGTCACTAGTGAGGGTTAGCTGAGGGCCGTTAGGGTTGGACGAGGAGGGCAGCACCAGGGCAGGGAGTGTGGTGATGGTGGGCGAAAAGGGGCGAAGCGACTGAGGGGGGAAGGATCATGGAGCAGCCAAGACCAGAAAATAAATGAACAGGCCAGGGTTGCCGGGATTGCTTTAATCTGTGATTGACCCGACACCCACTGTCAATCAAATCCGTGGGCAATTCAATCCTCGTGGGTTTCCATAAATGAAGCGAACCCACTTGGTGTTGGTATGTAGCAGGTCCCTTTTTCTCTTCAAGTGCTTTGGTTGTCCCATTGTTTCCTACACTGCATTGATGGCAAGAGTCGGTGAGACGAGGTGCCTGGTGACCGTGGTGGAGGGTGACAGCCTGCTAGTGTCAAACGTTGCAGTGGTGGTGTTCACCCAATGTTGGCACAGCGGGCAAAGTTCACATTCCACCAGTTATCCAAACAAGTCGCTGACCACCCGGCACCTCAGTCAGTACCTTACCCAAGACTGGCACGGTGCAGTGTGGTGGTACTACGGTATGTACCTGCGTAATGTAAAATAGAAAAGGTAAACCGCGTAACGACCGTTATTGCATCCAGAGGTAGAGGTAGCTATGTAGGTATCATGCGGGACGGGAGCTGTAGGACTTGAAGATATGGACACTAGGTAAGCATGGCATTGTCCGACCCGGCCCATTGCGCACTAGGTTGAAATGTTTATGCCATCATGCGATTCACGACGCCGGCGGGATCTAGGGGTTTAAACCGCCAGCAACCTAAGAGAGAGGGATACGAGCAGTCGTCGTATGTACCGTCCTAGCCGTCGGGTCTTATAAACCCAGAGCGGCGTAGTTCAGGCGCTATGAATTACGCGAGATTTTCTCGAATTTTCCCGGGCGGAGAAGCACGGTCCACCTTGGAGGTACCCACTGTTCCTGTCCACTGCGGCTGCCCACTCAGCTCTGGCCGGCCAGGGGAGCCCCTTTCCCTCTTTTCCCGATTCTCGACTACCGCTTGTCCGATCCACAAAGCAGCCCTCTTGGCAGCCCACTGTAGCCCACCCATTTCCACCACTCTGTGCCAATCAATCAGAAACCCGGCTATTCGTTCCGTCGTCGGTCCAGCCAGAACTCCTCCCACCTTGTCCAATACGGGACAGCGCCCACTTCAGCCAATCCCGACTCCATACCTACACCACATACCGTTGGCAAAGCCATCCATCTTGTTCGACAGCTTCCATGTTCTACACTACTACTTACTTCCCGTCCTTATTATTGGCATGTTGCAGATGGCCACCTCCCCACTGCCAAAGATTGGGAAGAACACGGCCAGGGCAGCATCACGGCGAGACACCACCGCAGTGCAGATCTCACAGATTACATACACTACACTACACTACAGAGAGAAAGAGGGAAAGAGAGAGCCCTGCCCTGCCTACGGTAGCAGGCCGGCCTACCTTGTAGGGTGTGCTCTGCGACGACGCCAGGTATCGCGACACACGCGACGGGAGCGATTCGAACACGAAAAGAATGGAAGAATAGAATGCCTTAGCACCCCTCTGCCAAGGACAGCGAGATCCAGCAAACAAGGCTCAGTCTCGTACCATGAAACTGAACCCATCGGCTGCCAGGTACTCCCCTTCTCCTGCCCGGGCTCCAGCAACCAGGCTTGTTGTTGTTGTTGGCTGCTGTCTCTTGTTGCCGTCATTGTTCTCGACCTTGTTACGACATCGTGTGGTATGCTGGCTGACTCTTTTTGCGCCGGACCAGACAATGGCGCAAACAGCAACAAACTGAACCTCGCTATACACTCACTACCTACTATGTACACTACATGGTCACTCGTCCCTCTTGACCCCACGTGCTATGTGTTACCGCGCCGAAATACACTATAACCTCAACATACACAACCATGTGCCGACGCAGCCACCAGGCACAGAAATGTTAGGGGAACACTGAGAAGCCAGGCCAGAGCCGCAGCCTACTATTTGCTTTAATCCACTAGATGATGGTCGTAATGGTGGGTAGTGGTGGTGGTTCAGTGCCCAGCCGGTGTGGTTGTTCCTGAGCGTTTAGGCCTCCCGATTGGCCCAATCGGTTGATGTTCTTTCCGACCACTGCAGGTGGATGGAGGCTGCCAGGGGCTGCCAAGCTTTCCCTATTTGCATGTGTACACTACACCAAGGTAGAGGTATACTTTCCTTGCACTGGACACTTCCCACCTCACCCACCTTTTACAAAATTTCCTACCGTGCCCAGTATCTAGTGTACACTAGGTTGCTCGTATCGCACCCAGACACGCTACTAGTACCGGTACGTACGCTGTATCTGTGGATGGCCTGGTCAGTGCGGCGGAGCAGGGGGGTCGCCGCTCAAAGATGGAACCTAGAAAGAAGCCAAAAAAAGCACTGGAAAAATGGTGTCGCCTCATCGTGGAACCTTTTCCGGCTTTCCTGCTCTCGCCCTGGCCGCAAGGCCCCTCATTCAACACGACAATTGTTGCGAGCGCAATTGTTGGCCGCCAGCATTGCCGATCATGTCGCGGACATGGCGAAAAGTTTACGAATCGAAATGATGGGCAATCCAGCGAACAAAGCATTTCCTTCTGGTCGTCTCGCAGAACGTAGGGCTTGATCTCTGGCCTCTCTAGGTAGGTACACAGTAGCCTCTATGGTTGTAGGGGCCTCCTCCTAGGGCCAACACGTATTGTATCGCGCCCCGCCCCCATCAAGCCGCGCCAAAACTTGCCCATGCCGCCCTGTCTGATGGAGATCCGGTGGCGTCCTGCGTTAAACTAAACGCTGTAATATGTGAGATGGAGGCACAGTCGAGAAGCAAGGTGCCAAACGCTCCAAAACAGCCCTGACGCCTGACGAGGACGCTACTGGGCCGTTTGGATGGCTTCTTCGTCGCAGATACCACCTGGACGGGTGAGAGAATGCCGTTGTGCCTCCTTTTTCTGGGCTCCTTGGAACGTTTTGCTGGTGGGCCGTCCAGACGACATGACACCCTAGACACCGCCGAATAGGGGCCGCACAGTACGGCACCACGTCGCTTGACGTCGAGTGGGCCAGCTGGCGCCCCCCAATCGCGCCCCCTTTGTTGGCTGCTACTGGTCGACAGCCCCTTGTCCACCGTGCATCGCAGAATGGGTCGGAAGACACGGATATGCCAACAACCATGAACGCATCCGAGCTTTGGCAAGCCATCAGAGTTGCCCCAGAATGGCTGAAGCCCCTTTCTGCCTGGTGGGCCTTCTTGAAAGCTCAATGTTCATGTCGTGGGGTTGCCAGCCACCGACGGCCAGATCCGTTCGTTACGTATCCAACACCTTGGGGCCGCCAGCACATCTTTTCCTCTTCTCAAACTCACGTTCCATATTCTGTATCGTCCTTCATTCGCGTGGCTTGTGTTGGAGATCTTGGGCCGGTTCCGTCGTCGTCGTCGTTCGTTTTACACACGTTTACACGCCTATTACCTACCTGCCCTTACTACTACCACGACTATTACCACCACTTCTACTTATCTTGTCTCTCGTTACAGTACTCGAGTTTTCCTGTCGCTCCCCATGAAGTGGTGAGCGACGGTGACGATGACTCGTCTAGCGTTGTTTTCGATTCGCGCTCTCTTCACAATAGCGACAACATTCACACTCACTGACGCCCTCCGATACGATGCGGAAGAGATAGACTACAATCTCAACCGGAACAAAACCGCCACAAATCCTCTTGACTACTGGGGCGACCGAACAGAGGACGACCCGAACTTTACATATTTCCCTTCGCCCAAAAACTGGCGAGTACCCTTCTACACCGTCTTCGTTGATCGTTGGGTAAACGGCGAGCCAGACAACGACAATGCCAATGGCACGCTTTTCGAGGCCGATATCATGAGCAATCAGCTCCGATTCGGCGGTGACGTGGACGGAATCATCGACTCGCTGGATTACATTCAGGGACAGGGAGTAAAGGTACGGACGAGCCGACTGCTAGAACCGTAACCATGGCGCAAACTAACAAAGGCCATCACAGGGAATCTACATTGCAGGCTCCCCCTTTATCAACCAACCGTGGGGTGCGGATTCGTACTCGGTAGGTTTCTCCTCGTTTCAGCCCCGCCCCCCTCGACGACAAGATCCAAAGCTGACCGTTTCTGCTTGCTAGCCACTTGACTTGACTCTTCTTGATAAGCATTTCGGTAATATCAAAAAATGGCAGGAGGCGATCGACGCCATTCACGACCATGGCATGTGGGTCATCATGGATAACACTATGGCAACGTAAGTGAAGCGTGGTTCCAAACTCTTTACTCCCGGTCGCGGTGATGGCTGACTTGGCTTGTAGCATGGGTGATCTCATTGGTTTCGAGGGTTACCTGAACACAAGTACGCCTTTCCTCGTGGAGGAACACAAGGTTCTGTGGAAGAGCGACCGGCGTTATCTGGACTTTGACATCGGCAACACATACAACAAGACGTGCGACTATCCAGAGTTTTGGTACGAAGATGGCAAGCGGATCAAGCCTGATGGGCTCAAGGGATGCTACGACAGCGACTTCGATCAATATGGTGATATCGAAGCCTTCGGTGTTTTCCCTGATTGGCAACGCCAGCTTGCCAAGTTCGCCTCCGTCCAGGATCGTCTGCGCGAATGGAAGCCCGACGTGATTGCTCGACTCGCCCGATTTTCCTGCATGACCATCGGCATGTTGGACGTCGACGGTTTCCGTATCGACAAGGCCGTCCAGGTCACGGTTGATGCTCAGGCGCATTTCAGCAGCGCGATGCGAAAGTGCGCAAAGGAAAAGTTCAACAAGGACAACTTTATTGTCGTCGGAGAAATCACAAGTGGCAACACTCTTGGATCTATCTACCTTGGTCGCGGTCGCGAGCCTGAACCAGCCGAGGAGCTTTCGGATGACCCCGTAAAGGCTCTGACCCTCGGCAACGCGACTACCGATGTCTCCAAGTACTTCGTTCGCGAGAAGGGCAACAGTGCCCTGGATGCTGGCGCGTTCCATTATTCCGTCTATCGTTTCATGACCCGCTTCTTGGGCATGAGCGGTAACCTCAGAGCCGGCTACGATTTGCCCACGGACTGGATCGAAACCTGGCACCAAATGGTCGCAACAAACGACTTCTGGAATGCCAACACCGGTGAATTCGATCCTCGCCATCTCTACGGTACATCCAACCAGGACGTGTTCCGTTGGCCAGCTATTGAAAAGGGTACCGAGCGTATGCTTCTCGCCTACTTCATCACCACCTTCCTCTTGCCAGGCGCCCCCCTCATGTACTACGGTGAAGAACAGGAGCTATATGCGCTGGACGGCACGGCCGAAAATTACGTCTACGGTCGTCAGGCCATGGCTCCCAGCCCAGCATGGATGGCCCACGGCTGTTTCTCGTTGGAAAACGATCTTTACGTCGATTGGCCGGTCACCAAGGCCAAAGATGGCTGCAAAGATAAGTCCGTGGGCTGGGATCACCGCAATCCTGCTGCGCCCGTGCGCAACATCTTGAAGAACATGTTCGCCATGCGCAACTCTTCCCAACTTGGTGTCCTGGAACACGGCTGGCTGCTTGAAAAGCTTTCCAATCAGACCGATTTCACGTTGCTTAAAGGCAGCGGTGACCCTACGGAACGTGGCATCTGGAGCGTCGTCCGTGGACTGTTCCCTGGAGTGCAAGACAAGCTCAAGGACAAACCCGTCTGGTTCGTTTATCATAACCGAGAGAACACAACGACGTACAAGTTTAACTGCGACCAGAGGGAGAGCGCGTTCCTCTCGCCCTTTGATGCCGGAACCAAGGTGAAGAACTTGATGGACGATGGCGATGTTATTACACTGTCTTCGTCCAACGTCAAGAACAACTATACCAACTCGGGCAAGAACATGGGCTGTCTTTCAGAGGTCACCTTGAACCCATTCGAGTTCCGTGTCTACGTGGATGACCCTGAGGACCGCTGGATGCAGCCGGCACCGATGATCACCAAATTTACGCCAGGACACGACGTGCCTATTGACTCGACAAAAGCAAACGGCCGGATTGACATCTCGTTCGAGTTCAATACTGAGATGGACTGCGATAGCGTGACTAAGTCGCTCACTGTCAACTTGACGCAAGATGGCGTGAACGACCCCACGCAGCTCTCTTGGACCAAGCCCAACTGCGAGCTCTTTACACCCCAAGATGCAGACAAAATCAAGTATACGGGAGCAATCAACTCGGCCTGGAGGTGGAATGCTACTTTGACTAATGTTGCTGACGGCATCATCAAGCTCACTCTCGATCCTACCGCCGCAGCGAAGGGCGGCAAGGTGAAGAAAGGCACTCGCGATCACTTCTTGCTCAGACTTGGCAAGCCTTCCAATCCGGTCGTGTGGGGAATGGATGCAACCTACAACTGGGACCTTCTTCAGAGCGTAAGCAACAACTTGTACAGGATCAAGCATAACGCCCCTGGCGCAACGAAATGGCGTTACAGCACCAACTTTGGATCTACGTGGAGCAAGTGGGTTGATTATGATGGCAAAGAGACTTCGGTCACCGGCCAGCAGTGGTCGGGAACTGCTTTGCAGGCCTGGGAGGGCAAGCATATTCAAGTTCAATACTTCAGCAAGCCTTTGGGCTCATCGGCGTTTATTCAGCACTCGGACAAGGGTATCGACTACCAGCGTGTGTTCCCGCACATCAAGCTTCACGGTCCCTTCAACAAGTGGGGTTACGACACCGGCCTGCCGGGCTCGATGGATCTTGTCGGCCACAACACTTGGTCGTTGCATTACATGTATGAATGGCCGGCCAACTTCCAGCTCAACATCTGGGGTATCAACCCGGACAACCAGCCCGATGTCTCCTTCATCTTTGGCGATATTGATGGTGACCACGTTGTGGACCGCCTTCCCCCTAGCAGTCTTGCCAACAACGTCATCAACATCACCGATCCTCCCCCGACGCCAGCGCTTGCGTGGAAGGTTTTCTACAACGACGCGACCTGGACGTACCATCTGGAGCCGGCTGGCAACATGAACGTCCAGATTGCTCTCTTCTGGCTCTTCGCAATCCTACCTGTGGCGCTGGCATGCTTGGCTGGCTGGATCTACGTCACCAGTTTCTACCAAGTCAAGGTCAACAAGTCTGGTTTCGCGACCAAGGGCTGGATGCCACTCAAGATTGGCAACCTTTCGAAGCTCAACATCGCTAACGTCGGCAAGGGCGTGGAGATGAACGCCATTACCCCACCGCCCCCGAGCAGTGCGCTTTCTCCCCTTGGTGCTGCCGGTGGCCGGAGAACCGTGTTGATTGCCACCATGGAGTACAACATTGATGACTTTAAGATCAAGATCAAGATTGGTGGTTTGGGTGTCATGGCCCAGCTGATGGCGAACGCGTTGCACCATATGGACATCGTTTGGGTTATTCCTGTGGTCGGCGACGTTGACTATCCTCTTGAGAAGATGCAAAAGGCCGAGCCCATGTACGTCGATGTTATGGGTCAACCCTACGAGATCGAGGTCTACTACTATGTCGTCAAGAACATCACCTACGTCCTTCTCGATGCTCCCATCTTCCGCAAGCAGACCAAGGCCGATCCTTACATTGCCCGTATGGACGATATTGAAAGTGCCATCTTGTACGCTGCATGGAACTACTGTATCGCCGAGTCCATCCGCCGCTTCCCGGTTGATATCTACCACATCAACGATTACCACGGTGCCGCCGCTCCCCTCTATCTGTTGCCCCAGACCATCCCCGTCTGTCTTTCGCTCCACAACGCCGAATTCCAGGGTATGTGGCCGATGCGTACCCCCGAGGAAGCGAAGGAAGTCTGCGAGGTGTTCAACCTGCCGCCTGAGGTTGTCAAGGATTACGTTCAGTATGGTTCCGTCTTCAACTTGTTGCACGCTGGCGCCAGTTATCTCCGTATTCACCAGCGTGGTTTCGGTGCTGTCGGTGTGTCCCGCAAGTACGGTGATCGGTCATTGGCTCGTTACCCTATTTTCTGGAGTTTGAAGAACATTGGCCAGCTTCCCAACCCCGATCCTTCCGATACCGCCGACTGGGATCCCAGCCAGGATGCCAATGACCAAGCCAAGGGCGTTGAGGTTGACCAGGCAGCTGAGGAGAAGAGAGGAGAGTACCGTCGCCAGGCACAGGAATGGGCTGGTCTCGAGGTTGACCCTTCGGCTGAGCTTTTCGTCTTCGTTGGTAGATGGTCTCTTCAGAAGGGTGTGGATCTGATTGCTGATCTGTTCCCCAGCATTTTGGAAAAGGTGAGTCAGCGCTGCCCCATTACATGTCGGTGCCTGTATATTGTTTGCTGACAGATTTGTGAAATAGTACCCCAAGACGCAGCTCATCGCTGTTGGTCCCGTCATTGATCTCTACGGTCGCTTCGCTGCCCTCAAGCTGGAGAAGCTCATGCAGAAATACCCCAAGCGTGTCTTCAGCAAGCCCGAGTTCACTTCGCTTCCCCCCTACATCTTCACCGGTGCTGAGTTTGCCCTTATCCCCTCCCGTGATGAGCCCTTCGGTTTGGTCGCTGTCGAGTTCGGAAGAAAGGGTGCCTTGGGTGTCGGTGCTCGTGTCGGTGGTCTCGGTCAAATGCCTGGTTTCTGGTACACTGTCGAGTCCATGACGCCCTCCCATTTGATCCAACAGTTCAGACAGGCTATCGAATCCGCCCTTGCCTGCAAGCACAACAAGAGAGCTGTCATGCGTGCGTGGTCCGCCAAGCAGCGTTTCCCGGTCGCCCAGTGGGTTAAGCAGCTCGACGACTTGTACAGCGAGTCTATCCGTATCCACATCAAAGAGCAGAAGAAGAAGAAGCTGGAAGTCCTGAGCCCGGGCCTTACTGTGCCCGGTGCCTCGTCGCGTGCTAGCTACGCTGATCCTGGCAGCGGCCGTTCGTCTCCTGGTCCTCTCGCCGTTCCCTCCCGTCCCGTTACCCCCACACTCCGCGATCTTGCTTCTCCCGATCTCCCGACGCCGGGTGCCCCCTGGGCAGGCGGAAGGTCCGAGTCACCGGGAGCCCGCGACTCGACTGCGAGCTCCATTGCTGGAAACTTCTACTTGCAGCCCGGCGGTGCTCGTGAGAGTACCATGAGTGTAGACAGCTTTGCGATCCGTGCCCAGAATGGAGGACCCATGTCGCCTGGCCTTGGTCCAGATGGCGGCCTTGCCTTCCCTCGTCCTGCGTTCACGCAAGCCCACCGCAACAGCAGCTTGCTCAGTCTTCCGGACGTTGTCGGTGACCGCCACGATCTTAAGCTCCAGAAGGTTGATCAGTTCTTCAACGATACCAACGGCGAATACTATGCGGAATTCGAGCAGATGCTTGAGGCCTTGACCGCTAGCAACTCTTCCAGTGACCTCTGCATTGAAACCTTCTTGAAGAGGAGTGAAAAGGAGTGGTTTGCTAGGTACAGAGACGCGAAGCTTGGTCGTCACAGAGACGCCAGCCGTATGGGCCGGGGCGGTAGTGGCAGACCCGAGTCGAGAGGCGGGGATCGCAGCGAGTCGGTTGTCAGCCGTGGCCGCCAACCTATGCGCAGCGCTACCCCCAGTGGTCTGGCTAGGTCTGTCTTTGAGGAGTCGCCACCGGGTGGGCGCAGCGATTACGACGATGAGTTCTTGTTGGGTGACGGTTACCAGGCTCCCACTGGTCTCAAGAAAACCCTTTCCGTTCGTATCGGTGACTGGCCGCTCTACTCGTTCTTCCTCGCTCTTGGTCAAATCATCTCTGTCAACTCTTACCAGATCGTCCTGTTGAGCGGCTCGCAAGCCCAGACGCCTGAGAAGCTCTACACGGTCGGTGGCGTGTACATTGCTACATCCCTCATGTGGTGGGGTATGGAGCGCAACTTCAAGTCGGTCTACGCCCTGTCTGCTCCCTGGTTCTTCTTCGGTCTCGCCTTCCTTCTTCTCGGTATCGCGCCATTCATTGGTGACTGGAAGGTGGCTGACAGCGTGACAAGCGCGGCTACCGCCTTTTACGCGGCCGGAGCCAGTCATGGTGCCTTGTCTTTCGCCCTCAACTTTGGTGACGAAGGTGGTGCTCCTACCAGGCAGTGGATTACTCGTGCCCTGATCGTTTCCGGTATCGCTCAAGTTTACAGTCTTGGTCTTTGGTATTGGGGCGCGACTGTCTCGAGCGAGGCTCAGACCATGACCAAGTTCATTGGCGAGTCGGGCGTCCCCCTGGCCCTTGTCATTTGCGTACCGGTTGCCATCTTCCTCTGGGCGATTGGAGCCATTCTTTATGTTGGATTGCCAGACTTCTACCGTCAGTCTCCGGCCACGATTCCCGGCTTCTACATCTCGCTGTACAGGCGTAAGATTGTGCCTTGGTTCTTCGTCATGATCATCCTCCAGAACTACTGGCTGTCGGCGCCCTATGGCCGCAGCTGGAGCTTCCTGTTCTCGACGCAGTTCATCCCCAACTGGGGCATCTTCCTGATGGCTCTCGGTTTCTTCGTGGTGCTCTGGAGCATCGTCCTCTACGGCTTCTCCTACTTCTCGGACGAGCACACGTGGCTCCTGCCCATCTTCGCCATCGGTCTCTGCGCTCCTCGCTGGGCCCAGGAGATGTGGGCCTGCAGCGGCATCGGCTGGTACCTCCCGTGGGCCGGCGGCCCCGTCGGCTCGGCCGTCCTCTCCAGGTGTCTCTGGTTGTGGCTGGGCCTGCTGGATAACATCCAGGGCGTCGGTCTCGGTATGATGCTGCTGGCGACACTGACGAGACAACACGTGTTGGTGGTGTTGATTGGCGCCCAAGTGATCGGTTCCATGTTCACGTTGATTGGACGCGCGACAAGCCCCAACGCGCTGTCGCCCAACACGACTTTCCCCGATTTCTCGCAAGGCTTGTATCCCGGCATCGCGAGCCCGTACTTCTGGGTTTGCTTGATCTTCCAGCTGATCATTCCAGTTGGATTCTTCAAGTTCTTCAGAAAGGAACAGGTGGCCAAGCCATAAACGAACTTTTACATCTCTTATTTAATGGCGGAGTTGAGTGTTGATGGCGATTGATGGTGTACGATGCGGCTCTGCTGCGGCAGAGCTTGGCTGGAGTTGTGGTATCTTCACAGGTCACAGGCTATTATGTGGTGATGGTGGATTTGATGGTGGTGAAACCGGTGGTGTGGAACGTCCTCATACATACGCTCACGCATACACGCACGCATACGCACACATACGCAAGGCAACTCTCACGCGCAAAGCATATTATTCACATATCATCTATATATATATTTTTGTTTTATCTCCATCATTGTTCGAAGAATGCCAGCGTATATGTGTGTGTGTGAGTGTGTGTGTGTGTTGGGGAGATGAAGGGATAAAAATACGGGGAATAATTGATTGATCATTGTCGTCGCAGTTTGGATAAAGAGATACCATCATCTGCTAACTTTTTCCTTATTATCACGTCTCCGTCTTTTTATCATTTTTTTGTCTTGTAGATCGATCTTTTTTGCGGCGTCATTACAGTACTTATAGAAAGCGAAAAGGGGAAACGAAGGAAAGGAAGGAAGGAAGGAAAGAAAGAAATGCGGGAAGGATCAAAGAGAAGATATATTACTACGTATCGCATCATCGTTGTCACGAAGGGAGTAAACTAGCAACGTTTTCCTTTTACCCACTCAAGTAGGAGTGGGTGGTATTCTTTTGTACATATATACTAGTAGTCATTATACGAATTTAGTTAATAGATGGGAAACAACTTTTTTACAAAAGAAAAAAACGCGTGAGTATCATGATTCTGCCCTTGTGAATACAATTGCCCACCTACTATACTTGGCTATATTCCTTCACTCATGACTGCAGTCTGAAAGCACTAGGGGGAACGACAAAGCAGACTACGAACAGTCCATGTGTCAGGAGGTTCATGCTTTCGACTTCCAAGGATGTTTGCTTCATTCATACCTCTAGTAAATGTCGAGATACGGGTATTTTCTCATGCTTCAATGTATCTCGAGCCACAGTGGAGCACAAAGTTGATTGTAGACGCCATCGTTCTTAGGTACTCTGTCGTATGACAGTCAGCCACACCATATCCTGGATGGTACTGTCTGTGGTGGAGGAGACTGAGTACGCAGAAGTCACAGGTGGAAAGAGCTGGCAACTCGAATCACTCATGTTGAGGAAGGTTTGTCCCGGTGATGCTGATGCTGAATGAAGGAGAATAAAGAGAAACGACTGAGGGACGAAAAGACTTGACTTCACTTCATGTCCCATGGGGGAAAAGGGATGGGGTGTATGTACCGAAGTTAGGAAAGAGCAAGCCCGTTCTCATGTCACGTGAACATGCCTGTTCCTGGCTGGTGAATTGGTGATACTGCATGACAGCTACCTAGGTACCTAGGCCTAGGGAGTGCAATGGAGTTCAACTCGAATACTCACAGTCTAGTCCGTTCGGTCCATAATCACTGACCAAGATGGGGACTTAGTTTCCTTGGACATTGGACGTTGGACGTTGGAAGTTGGAGAAACGAAGACTAGAAAACGAAAATGCAGGGGTGAACATCCAGGTGCCGTTACCATTCAACTCTGTCCCATCAGCGTAGTAGTGGCCGCTCCCCCGCGTTCCATCCTGCCCTATCTATTTCTTCCTAGCTAGAACCTGGGGTCAGTCCCGAGGCCAGGGAAGGAATGGAAATTCAGGGGACAGTGCCATCGCGGACAAGGAGGTTGTTCTGGGCTGGGGGTCTTGCGCCGTAATGTCTAAAACATGACGTTGTGCTCTTCGACAGAGAAAAGGGAACATGTCATCACACCAAGGGAACTTGGAGTCTAGAGGCGGAGTTAAGGTTTGATTGGTACTTCAAGATTAGTTACCTATGCGGTAAGATCAGGCAACGAGGATGGTTGATTCTCGGCAATCCACGATTGAAAAGCAGAGCAGGATCCCTTTCATCTCGTCTGAACTTACTAAAACGCCCCTGGGTTCGGGGAGCTTGTAAACCAATAAAAGATGAGAGCAGAAGTACCGGAACCAGCACAGACGAAATATCGAGACGAGACGAGACGAGACGATGGAGGCTCAAGTGCAGGATGCATATTTGGGTTTTTGACAACGGCAAATCAGGCATGAAGCCAAACTGGTTGTTGGTGCATGTCAGCCCTACCGGCCGGCCGGGAAGCCCCGCACTTCCTTGGATGATGCTCGTGCGGTACGTAACCTCGGAGGCATGGAGGGTCCACTTATTTACGTCCATCCGAATTGCGAGTCTGTGACGGGTAGGCATGGACTCATGTAGTCGCAACGCCAAATGAGAGAGTTGAAGAGATAGACGAGCCATATGGTAAACAAGGTTTTATTTTGTTTGTATATATGATCATACCGGATCATACCCCCGGTGCAACACACCAGCCAGTGTCTATAGCCCCCCATGCCCAGTTCTCCAAAAAATCGCTCATGAAACTCGCTTTACAGTACATACATACATACAACACACACAACCAAATCCTCCCGACCCCAACCATATATCGATAGCTTAGTTGGTCAGGTTGTAGATCTTCTGGATATCCTTGAGGATGGTCTTGAAGTCGACGTTGAGGTCCTTGAGCATGCCGTCGCGGAAGTTGAAGACCCAGCCGTGGATGATGGGGAAGCCGTTCTCGGCATACGACTGCTGAAGGGCAGCCGTCTTGACCACGTTGCGGCACTGCTCGTAGACGTTGAGCTCGACGAGGCGCTCGTAGCGGGCCTCCTCGTCGGCAATGGCGTCGAGCTCCTTCTCGTGCAGGCGGTAGACGTCGCGGATGTTGCGCAGCCAGGGGTTCATGAGGCCCAGGTCCTTGGGGGTCATGGCCGCCTTGACACCGCCGCAGCCGTAGTGGCCGCAGACGACAATGTGCTTGACCTGGAGGTGCTTGACGGCATACTCAATGACGCTCATAACGTTGAGGTCCGTGTTGCAGACCAGGTTGGCAATGTTGCGGTGCACAAAGGCGTCGCCGGGCTGCAGGCCCGTGATCTGCTCGGCGGGGATGCGCGAGTCGGAGCATCCGATCCAGAGGTACTCGGGGTTCTGGCCGGCGGCGAGCTTCTTGAAGAAGTCGGGGTCCTTGGCGACCTGCTCGGCGGCCCAGGACTTGTTGTTCTCAAAGACCTTGTCGTGCGTCTCCTGGAGATACATGGTGATGTCCTTCTTGCTGCGGTCTTTATCGTCGGCCGTGTGGGAGCTGCAGAAGCGGCGCGGGGTAGCACTCGGGAGGATGGTGAGACGGAGGCGTGGCAGGGGAGTCGACGTCGTTCTCGGGACGGCGAGGCGTGATAGGGCTGATGATGCTTGCTTGGAGGAGTGAAGCAGGGGAGAAAGACCCAGACGTGTGCTAAGCATAGTTGAGGGTGGTGGGTTGTGGCCTGATGTGTGGATCGTGGATCGAGGGTCTGGATCTGCGCGACAAATTCTGTGTTACTGTTGCCCGAAGAGGAACCGAGACACCGTCATTGACTGACGGCCGATAGTGACCCTAACCCTGTGTTGTCTATCGCAAGAGTGGAGAAGCGAACTGAACGGTACCTAGGTCCTGTCAAGGAAGCAGAGTGTCGACGTCGAGTCTCTGGACAGCAAGGGGAAAGTGCGAGAAGGGGAGCCGACCTAAGGAAGGACCTTGAGAACGGGTGAGGTTACCCCTGCCGTGCCTCAGTGGGATTGGGCAATTCAGTTGCTTCAACGCACGCACCTGCCTGCTCGCTCAAGCGACTCGAAGCTGCACCCGAACCAATCCGTGACATAGCATCGCGTATCATCTCCAGGAAGCTGCGATCAAAATGGAAACCCTCTCGAGATGCCCTCCGCTCGCTGAGATCTTCCCTCTGTCACCCACACTCGACATTCTTTCCGTTCCTGTCATTCCACCCATAGCGCCGAGGTGGCTCCTCCAGCGGGGGTCTTACCTAGGCAGGACGTCAGGGTAATGACGGACAACGATCATAGTGGCATCGCCTTCCTTCGGCTGTCTGCTTCAACAAACATGAACACTCCCGCCCTTGCTAACTCCCGTCTCTTCCCTTGATCTCAGGCACATCGCTGGCGAACACTCGAAAGACAGCTTCGACCATGCCCTCTGCCAACTGACAGTGGCTCTTGTACTCTCCACGGTCGTCCACTCCTGCCTCGCCTGTTCTGTGCACAGCTTAGTAGAAGGCATCATGGTGAAAAAGACGTCTAAACGCGCTTCACCGTTGGAGCTGGTACTGGGGCCGAGTGATTATAACTATCAGCTCCCCGGCCCTCTTTCATAGGGCCGCACGAAAGCACAGAATCTAAAGTCTCTAGACGCCATCTTACCAATTAGCATTGAGAGCATCAATACACCGTTCTTGTCCAGAGCTCTCCAACACGAATTCGTTGCTCTCTCTTGACACTCTCAGCATTCTCTCTCTCTTCTTCCTTCTCCTGCTTCTGATCCCTCGAGTCATCACGCTTGTCATATTTTGATCTCCAAGAGTAAGTCACATCGCCCTTCTTTTCCCAGCTACACTTGTTGACTATGAGGTATGGCCATAGGGAAACATCAAAAATGTCCTCGTCAAGTGGCAACTCCGGGCCAGACAAGCCATTTATGTGCGGCATCTGCGACTTCTCCACTGAATCGGCTCAAGAATTTTCACAGCACCGAGAGACTCATGGAGTCAAGCCTTTCATTTGCCAATACTGCAATGAACGATACGCAGAGGCTGACCACTTGGGACAGCATCTCGAGACGCACGCTGAAGAGAGGCCTTTCGAGTGCGTAAAGTGCAACAGGAATTTTACAAACATGGAAGATTTTGATGACCACCTGCTAGACCATTCCGAGGGTTTGTTCGAATGCCCGATATGCAATGAGGATTTTCCAGATCAAGCCACCCGGGAGGACCATGATTGCGAGGGACTATATCCCAGCCAGCAGACGTGGCAGTGCGAGAACTGTGACATGGAGTTCGAGGACGAAGACAGTCTTGAAGAACACATGGAAGAACATATGGCCGACTGGTGCACGTGCTTCAGATGCGGGGCACAGTTCCCCGATCGAGCCAGCCTTGAATGGCATGACCATGAGTGCATGTACTAGTCACCCGGACATCCAGCCCAGACCGTTGAATAGGCGGTTCGAGTGGCCATAAACTTCACCGCCAGAAGCACCTTGCCTGCCAAACCTCATGACATCCGTGACTCGGACTCTGCCCGTTCGACACCAGGTAAGTGTTTGATCCAGTCGGTCATCTAGGCAGGGGAGTATAATCCCGCCGCTCCAAGCTTCTTGTACATGGATCTCGCTGACAATCGCCTAAGGAGAATACACATGTTCCCTCCGACGGCCGTCCCAAAGGCCCCAAAGGTCTGCCTGTATTTTCGATGTTCTTCACGCCTGTTGTTGGGGATAACTTGAGGCATTGAGCCGTTTTGATTGGGGTGTGAGGAATGCCAGCGAGGACCGCGAAAGATACGAAAGAAATGGAGGGATTTTTCCTGGAGTTGGCGGATCCGAAGAAAAACATGCAACGGAAACTCGGGAACGAAGGAGAGTTATCACAGCGATGATTATCTTGGGTACGGTATCAGCAGTCATTAGTACCTTGTCTCGTTTTTATACATTAGTTTCAAACCAGCCAGGCAGCTTAATCACAGTTTCTTTCCCTTGCTTTTGTTAACCAAGCCCCATTACTCAAAATTGCCCGCCGCCATTACTGGCATGAACAGGTGAGCCCCTCACTTTCAGCTTCTCCCTCCCTGCTCCTCCGAATAAGCCAAACCTCATCTTTCTCCTCCCCGACAGTGCCGTTGAAGCAGGCACCGTTGTCGATATCGGCATTGGCTTCGCCTTGGACATTGGCATGGGCAGCGGCGTAAACCCAGCGGCCGCAGCGGCAGCAGCAGGGAAGCTCAAGTTCTCAGCCGGGCCATTGCCAAACCCTTGATGTGCCCCGTATCCCTCTCCGCCTCCCTCTTTATCATACGAAGGCAGCACCTGGTGATCATGATGACGGAACCGTTCCAGACCTAATCCCAGTCCCTTTGGCATACGCAACCCCATCCCCGCAGACCCAGACCCCGACCCGGACCCAGATCCATGGGAGCCTGAGTTCGAGCCCGCACTTGAATCAACCACAAACCCTTGTACCAACCCATAATTCCCCCCTCCGCCCGTCGCACCACTACTCCTCTCCAGCTTCAGGATGGTCTTCTTCGCCCGTTCCCCCAACGCTGCGCTCGTCATAATGCCCCCTTGTCCCATCATGGCGCCGCCCAAGCTACTCCTCGCCTGCCCATCCAAAGCCGTCATGCCCGGTAGCGCAGAACTCTTGAAGATCTGGATGCCTTCCATGCGCGTCTTGACGATGATGGTGGTGAGGAAGATGGCGGACAAGAGAACTTGCACGAGCAAGAAGGAGAGCCAGGACCAGTTGATGCGGACGAGCGTCACGGCGGAGCGGTTGCTGTCGAAGGGTTCGCCGAAGTTGTTGCGGTGGGGTTGGGGGGGCAGGTAGACGATGAGGAGTTGGGTGAGGGAGGGGGTGAAGAGGGTTAGGAAGGTGATGAGGGTTGCGAGGATGCCTAGGGGGCTGTTGTTTTGGGGGGGTTTGTCAGTGGAAAGAGGGAGAAAGAGGGGGTGGACAATACGTACCCTCCTTGAAAACCAAGTAATTTCCAGCAGTGGTGAAGTCCCCTGGATGCCTGGTCGATGGCTTCAAAGTCGCTTGCTGGGCGGGATACGGTCTGTCGTCCGCCGGTATAACGAAGCCAACGCAACTGGCCGAGGCCTTCGATGACGGGGATCATGTAGCAGGCTGTGGCGAGGGTGGTCATGAAGGAGAGAAAGACGTTGAGGTTGAGACCGCCTGGCCAGGTGGATGGTGGAGGTTTGTGGTCGTAGACGCTTAGGACTAGGCCGATGACTTGATGAATGAATGAATTATTAGCTGGCTTCCTGCCTGGTGATTGGACTATTTGCGTTTTGCAGGACTTGTGTGTCTGATACTCGATGAAGACAGGGGGGTTGATATGAGAATGGTGAGGGAGAGGAAGAAGAAGAAGAAGAAGAAGAAGAAAAAAAGGCAACATACCAACAATACACAACAATCCTCCCAACACCCCCAGCCCCTCAAGCCACCACCCAAGCATACTCTGCTTACTCTGCACCAACGTCTCCGTCGAGTCAAAGTGGAAGTACGACAAATGTTGCTCGCTCCTGTTCATCCCACCACCGACAACACCAGGAGTCAGAGCACTAGGAGACCCACTGCCGCCGCCGCCGCCGCCGCCGCCGCTGCCATGAGTCGGCAGCCCTCTGACTGATATTGAATCCGTCGCATCAATCGAGACTTCACTCATCTCCGTCCCTCGTCTCCCCCTTCCTCCTCCCCTCCCCCGTTTCGTGTCGGTCCTCTCCACCAGCATTAGTTTCCTCATCCCGCCCTTGCCACCGCCCTTGCCGCCTTTTTCCTTGAAGCTTCCCGTCCCAGGGCCCCCTCTACCAGTCACAGTGCCACGCGGTGTCGTCGCCATGCCTCCTGTCTCCTTCTCGTACATGATGTAATCATCTTGATCCAAATCATGAGGATCATCACTACTGTCATGCTCATGATCATGGTAGTCGTGATGATCATCCCTGTGGTGGCCGTGATGGTGGTGGTGGTGATAGTCCCCTTCCACTTCTGCGGTTTCTGGCAGTGGCGAGAATGGCGAGTGCCCTGGATGATGATGATGATGGTCTCGTGAGTGTGGTAGCCCGTAGCTGGGCTTCCATGAGCGGGAGTACTGGTTCACGTAGTTGGTGCTGTCGCGGGAGGCTGAGCGGCTTGTTGTTCCTGGCTCTCCAGATGCGTTCCGGGAGGACCCTGAGCCATGGGTTTGGTGGTCGGTGGCCTGCTGATTGCTCGTTGGCGTCGATGTGGTGGTAGCGGTGATGTTATTGGTGACGTTAACGTTAGACAAGAACGGGTTGTTGTTGGTGCTTCTGGCTGGGCTTTTCGGGGGGATGAGTGGTGCATCAAAAGGCCCGGGGTGTTGAAGGACCGGAGGAGGAGTGTTGAGTTGGTGGTGATGATCGTCTCCGGTCCCGGTCTGCCGATCGCCGCTGACATGGACTGGGCCTCCCGAAGGTGGACTTCCTCCTCCCCCGTAGAGTGCGGCGTAGACAGCCCTACTGGCGGCATTGCCTTCTTCATCGTCTTGCTCGACTGCCGTATAGGATGATTTTGAACTTCTCGAACTTTCAGTATGCCGCTGCTCGTCATCCTCATCACGGTCTCCAACCTCATTGTGTGTCACATGATCCTCCTCCTCATCATCATGATTCCCATGAAGGGACTCGTAGCGGGCCATTGTTTCGAGTCCAGTGGTATCTCTTCTTCCCCTCTCTCCGTCTATGGCTTGATTAAGTCCTGTTCCCCTTCAACACGACGCTGATGAAACGAGTGTAAGGAACAAAGAGACGGATGGACAGGCAGAAAGAGAAGAATAGTGGGCACCTATGCTATGGAAAAACAATGGAACATGGAATGGAAGATATGGAACCTCCCCAAACTGGACTTGCCATGGGGAGTGGGGTGGAGAAAAAGGGGAAAGCGAAAAAAAAGTTCAACAAAATGCCGGGATTCATGACGCGTCACGGATTGGATAATGACTGATGATTGATGAGAAGGGGGAGGGGGTACAACGGGGAACAGGAAGGGCGAGGCCGCCACTGCCGCAAAATACGCGAACCGAACGATTATCCTAATTTCCGCTCATCATCGGCAACCTGGTTAAGCGAGACACTTGACTCCATCGTGAATATCGGATGTCCGGATTCAGCCCAACGTTTTTGCTTTTTTAACCTAACCCATTTCGCTGGCGTCGCAATGTATACACTACTATCCATGATGTGAAACACACCACTTGGCTAATCATGGGGAAGGAGGTGATCATTTTGTAGACGGAGTAGAGCGTACGATATGCGGTTGGACCAACACTAGGCGAGTCATCGCCAGGCATGTTTTGGACTGCGGAAGCCCAGATTTGATCTAGCATGGAAGAGCCTGTAATTCACTCTCAAAAACTCCGGCTTCAACAACTTTGTTGCAGGCTTCATATGTTCGGTTTGTTGTTGGCCTAAATAGAAAAGTAGCCATGCGAGTCAGAAGGGTTAGGGTCAAAGCCAAGGCGGACAACCCGATCATCTACTGGTAGACTACACGTCTACCCCTTTTTAAGCCTTCTGGGGTTGAGCAGCTCGGCTTCTTGGCACAATCATGGTTGAGAAACCCTCCGACGGACAGGGCGAATAAAAGAATGAATCTTATCCTCATGTGTTGTGGTCGTCCGGCATCTAGAAATAACTGGGTTTCACGTCAATAATTGAAGTCCTCACCTGGACGCCGTACAACGAGCAAATCTAATGATCATCGAGCGGAAACACACTAGCGGACTTCGGACTTGGGCTTGTCCTTGCCCATCAAAGAGCCTCAATAGCCCGCAAAAGCACTTCCACTCCCCTGTCGCCAACTTCTCGCTCCTTCCCAATCTCGCTCCTTAGAAGACTGGCCACATCACTCAGCACTCCGAGCGGAATATAGCAGCCTGTCTTTGCTCTGTCCAGACTCTCCTTCAGCCGGCTCGTATGCTCCCACTCCTTCGCAGCAACCTCGGATCTTCGGATCACCTTGTCGGGAATACCACACATAGCTGCGCAATGCATGCCAAAGGAGCCCTCTGCAACGCCGTCTTCGAGCTTGTACAGGAATGTTATTCTCTTGTTCTCCTCGTCCACTTCGATCTGCATTCTCCTAGCACGGATCTCGGGATGATTCTCGAACTCGGAAGCAAGACTGTGATAATGCGTGGCGAAGAAACCGACGCAACCAATGTGTGATGCGACATGGTGCAGAACTGCCTGGGCAACTGCGACACCATCGTATGATGATGTACCACGTCCGAGCTCATCAAGAATAACGAGTGAACGGGGTGTGGCCTCTGACAGGATCTTCTTTGTCTCTGACAGCTCGACGAAGAACGTGGATTGCGCAGCAAAGATATTGTCGTTTGCGCCCAGACGGGACATGATCCGGTCAACGGGGGTCAAACGCGCGGACACAGCCGGGACATAACAACCGATCTGGGCCATGATCACGGCAATGCAGGACTGCGCACGGAAGGCGTTAGCAGATGAAGAGCATTAGAAGAGGTGGATGCCTCCACGGCCAAGGCAGGCACTTACCATTCGAAGAATCGTGGACTTGCCAGCAGCGTTTGCGCCGGTAAGAAGGTTAATGTTCGCCTCATCACCACCCAGCTTGATGTCATTCGGGATGAAGTCGTCAACGGTGTTGAGCATGCAGGGATGGCGTAGTTCGTTGAACTCGACAACGGTCCGCTCGTCATTTACAAACACTGGGCGGCAACAAGGCTGACCAAGCGCCGACGAAGCTTTGGCCAGACTGATCAGACAATCTAGTTGTGAAATGATGCGAATTGCCTGCAACCATGTCTCGTAATCGAGGTCGAAGCGCTTGAAGAATCTCGAGGCGACTTCCTTGACGATCTGAGAATGTGTTTCTTCCGCTTCCTGGAGCTCACGAACGAGGTCCTCAAGCTCCTTGAAATAGTACCGCTTGACCGCCGATGTTGCAGACATTTGGCGCCACTTGGGAGGAACCTTGACTGTTTTGGGGACTTCAATCTGGTAGACCTCCTTGCCGACGTCAGTGAACTTTGCGGTTTTGCATCGTAGAGCAGTCTTTTGCCTTTCAAGCAGCTCCTGCAACTCTCCTTTAATCCGGTCCAGTTCTGCTTGGCTGCGGTCAAAGTCTTCTTCTATACCTGGCTCGGGAATCAGAAGCTTGTCATCACGGGCTCTCTTCCGGTCGAAGGCGGTCTTCCAGTATCCTAAGGGTTCCTTGAGGTCAGGCATTGAAGCAATGAGACGATCAACCAGCCCATTGCCACCACCGTAGGACTCCAGGAGTTCCATAGTACGGTCGATCTGTTCGAATCCTTCCAAGACCTTGACAAAGTCCTCGGGTCGGCAAGCCCCAGCATGGATCCGGGATATCAACCGCTCCAAGTCCGGCATTTTGCTCATCTGAGACGAGAATTGCTCCCGAAGGCTGTGGTCGTCATTGAGCATATCAACGGCATCCAGTCTCTCGTTGAGCTTCTGTATGTTGCAGAGAGGGTGGCAGACCCATTGCCTGAAGAGTCGCTTTCCGAAGGGAGTTATGCACCTGTTCAGCAGATGGAATAAGGTTCCTTCGGGGCCGCCATTGGCTGTATTGGCAAAGATTTCCAAGTTGATAAGAGACTGGCCGTCAAGAATAAGTGTGCCGTTCCGATGAATAGGGTTGTACCAGGCAAAGTTGCCCTGGGAGAGCAAGTTACGCTCCAACTTGAGCATGCGCAGATACTGAGTCAGAGCACCGAGTGCGGACATCAAGAGGTCTTTGTCGCGAGCCTCCTTGAGCTTCGCAGGCCAGACCTCCTCCTGACCTTCGCCAGACACAAAGTAGCCGCTACAGTCAAGTTCGCGCCTCGCGACGTCGGCGTCCCAAAACTCGGTGCCCGGCTTGAGATAGTTCCAAATGGTGGTGGGACTCGTGTTGTTCTTGAGAATCCGCAAAGCCTTGGTAGACAGATGCGATTTCTCCAAGATCAATTCCCGTGGGGAGGTCTGGGCTACGAAGGTCTCAAACTTGGTCAGGTCGACATCGTCCTCAAACTCTGAGATGAAGAACTGTCCAGTAGCAGCGTCTACAAAGGCTATGCCAAATGCAGGCTTATCATCCACGACGGACTCTTTGATGGCTGCACAGTAGACGGCATTGTCGTCTTGAAGCATGCTACCGTCCACCAAGGTGCCGCCTGTAAGGATGCAAGTAAGCTCGCGGCGGATGATCTTGTCCGCCTTCTTCGCCTTGGTGTCACGTTCCCGCATCTCTTTGCCCAGCGCAGACTCCATTTGGTCGACGCGGGCAACCTTGTACCCTTTGGCCACAAATTGGTTGACCCACATGTCTAGCGAACTCTCGGGAACGCCAACCATGCGCATGTTGACACGATCAGTGAGCTTGAGGTCAAAGAGCTGATGTCCGATGGTGGCATCGTTCTCATAGAGTTCGTAGAACTTTCCCTTTTTGAAGAAGACCACCGTGTCCCATAGGTTCTTCTTGATCTCCCAATACTGCGTCTCAAACGGCGAAAACTGTCTCCAGGTAAATGGGGGCACATGGACGGAGCCAGGATCGTAATCCGGATGTCCTGGTCGATTCCTGTTTGCATCTTGGATATCGGCCAACCACGGGTATCTCTCTTCAGGCTCTCTTGTGTGTGCCTTTGGCTTTTGCTTGGTGGCTGATGGTGTTTGTGCGGAACGGGGAGTGGCAGATCGAGGTTCGGTTGGTTCAATGTTGTCCGGATCATACTTCCATTTCAGGGCTGTTGAGGTTCTGGGAACATCATCCATCATCTCCTCATCTTGGTCATCCTCCTCTTGCCTTGACGATCTTCGAGGGCTGGGCGGAGAGGATACAGCGGACTTTTTGCGTGGTGCGCTCGGGCGTGCTGCCGGTCGTTTTCTCTTCTTTGACTTTGAGGGCCCTTGATCGGATTCGTCGTCGTCGACTACAAAGTCCGCCATGTCATCGTCTTCTTCCTCGTTGATTACATTGTCGTCTATTTCGAAAGCATCGTCTTCGTCATCCTCGTCTAGGACTTGAGGTCGTGATCGAGAGCGTGATGGACGAGAGCTTTTGGGTCTCCCGGAAAACGAGAGAAAGACATCGTCGCCGTCGTCGTCGTCTGATGACTCGGCATAGTTGACAACCGCTTTCGCCTGAAGTCACGATGGGTTAGCTTAGATGGAGGTCTAGAACAGTGAGCTGATAACTCGCCTTGCGCCTGATGGGGCTGCTGGGCATCATGATGGTCCTGGTGTCATCATCCTTGGAATAGGCAGTGCCTGGGTTTTCCTGGGAGCTCGGGGGTAGAAGGGCGTCACTACTAGGGACTGGCGTTTCGTCGAGTCTTTTCCGCCGCCTGGGCGGGAGAATCGAGTTGGATTTTGTGGATTCCTTGAGGCATTCTGGTGACTTTTCCTTTTGGCCAGCGCGAGGGGTGGCTGTTGCATCAGAAGCTGGACTGGTAGCCGCGAGAGTGGCATTGGCATTGGCATTGGCATTGGTATTGGCATTGGTATTTGCGCCCGCGTTCGTGGGAGTCCCCGAGGAGGCAGCTTTGGGGAAGAAGCCCAGAATACTCGACTGCCTGCCCGTCGAGGCCAGTCCAGATCTCTTAACGTTGGACTGGGTCCTCGCCGGGGTGCGCGCCGGAGTTGAAGTTCTGTCGCCCATTTTGCGCCAACAGCTGGTCAACTTGGCTTGGTGGTGGGAATAACCGGCAGGGCGTGAGGGAGACCTGGGAGACGGAAGGGACAAGAAGAGACAGGCAGTCAGAGTTTGCACAAAATTCGTGTACAGAGTTTGAATTGGAATTGGAATTGGAAGGTGCCTCGTTGAAGGACTGACCACCTGCCTAAGAAGAAGGACGCGTAAAGAGGTTGCTGGGGAAAGCGCGTCCGTGTCCGGCTGCAGGTGCCGGATCATTGAAAGACGACCCACTGCCCCGCTAACCTAAGCGTCCATCCCGCGCAGTTTATTGTGGAGTCTTGACGCGATCCCCTGTTGACTCCTCCCTTCTCTGCTTGTCAACCCGACGTCTTTTTCCACAGCGAGCATCCCGAACATCCAAGAGATCATCGCCTTCACATCAACATCTTAGAGGTACCAACTTTTCCTTTTTGCTGTGCCTGAACAGGGGACTGTCGAGTGGCATCCGATGAGCTTATCGTCCGGTATTCCTACTCATTTCTTATGTTGTCATTCTCCTATTCAAGCCCAGCAGTCTCCTGGTCACCTGCCTCCGGACATTAGGTAGCAACAAGTGTTGTCGCAATACCGAGACCCCAACCGCCGGCCTTCGATGTCGTCCAGCCACAGAGGGTTCAAGGAAGGTCCACGACACGGGCGGAAGGAAGAAACTGGGCGCAGCGAGTCTGGTTGAGTTTGGGAACAACACCCTCATCCTCCTCTTCAGACCAGGAACCGGGCCAAGTGATGATCCAGGAGTACGGTGGTCAAATACATCCAAAATGCCCTCCAGATCGGAAGAGCCAATCGGCTCATCCAGCTGACGGGTAAATGGGTTAAAGTTTTGGGAATGGGGTATCCCACCTTTGTTGTCACCAATCCATCAACGGCTGGTTGTTACCGTTCCACAGAGAAACACTTGGTTGATGCAAGTTCGTCGTTCCGAGAGTCCGAATAAGGCTACTCTAATAAACAAGTCTGGAAATTAGCTAAAGAAGAACAGGGTTGCGGAGGCGAAAGCTTTCCTCGCATCCATGCTTTGTTTACTTTTAACTTTCATCTTTTCACTCATCACATCACGGAACGGGGGCTCCTCTTGAATAACGGCCTTCTCTCACTTGAGCCCCCAGCACTACACAACGCCGTGTCACCTGTCAAAGCCTGCCAAACAGCTGCCGCCACCGTTTTGGGGTTTCTTTTATTGTGGGGTTGAACATCGGCCAGCTCGCGGTGTCAATGACCCCGCCAATGCTCTCGGTCTGGGAAGGAAAAGGGTGCGAATCGCATACTGCGATTCACAAGTCACGCTGAATAAGGAGTAGTGCTCGTTTTGCACAAATAACAGGTAGTATTTGGACTCATCACCATAAATTTCTACGTATAACCCCATCATTGGCATCTTTATGGATATGCCCAATGTCACGGTTGCTGCTCCGTCCGAGGGCACTCGAGAGTCGCGAAAAGACAGCAACAGTCGAAGAGCTGCCGCATGTTTGGTCTGTCGTCGGTCCAAGATTCGGTGCGAAAAGGGGAAAGGCCAACATCACGATGATGACCGATGCCAACGATGTCTTCAGCTAGGGGTACAATGCGTCCGCCCCGAATTCCATGTGGGCAGGAGGAAAGGTGTCAAAAAGCAAGTTCTGCTGGTTCTTCATAGCACAGCCCTGTTACTGACCACCTCCCCAGTAAGCGCACCGGTCTGGAAAAGGCCCTCCATCAAGTCGAACAAGCTGTCAAACGATCAGGAGCCAGTCTGCACGGTATTGAGGCCACCAAATTCGTCTCCGAACTCAAAGAAATCTTGGGTGCCGGCTCACTTACACCTCTTGCCGATGGTGACTTTAAACAACCCAGCACTGGTCATACAAGGACATCCTCGGCCATATCACGAAGGCCTAGTGAGATTCTCATGGCGGATGTTTCCGAAGATTCAGGCGATAGCTCCATGTCGGATCATGACGACATGAGCATTCCGCAAGACTCCACGCCGTCTCAGAGCCATGTGGCAGATGAGAGCCTTGCCGTCGATGATGCCGAAAATCCTCTTCAACTTCTCGCCCGAGCTTCTGATTTGCATGTTTCTCCGAAGCCAGTTGGCGAGCTTTCTACAGCTGAGATGGCCCATAGCCATCAACACCCACGCCAGAAGAAACAAACTGAGAAGCTGTCCGAGGTCGAAAAGTTCTTCAAATTCACTCAATTCTCTCTTGACTGCGGCCCTGAACTGGATCCCATCGATCTTGGCTTACTTACCACGGAGGAGGCAGAGTCCCTCTTTGACTTCTTCCACAAGAGTCTTGCTCACACGAGATGGGGTCTGGACCCAATATTGTATACGGCCTCTTTTACCCGCTCCCGTTCGGCCTTTCTCTTCACTTCCATATGTGCAGCCGCCGCCCTCTTCATGCCAAGACAAGGAGCCCTCTCGCGGCGGTTGTCCAATCACTGTAAAACCTTGGTCAACAGAATCATAGTCGACCGATACCGGTCCGTCGAGATTGTCCTTGCTTTTATGGTCAACGTTCCCTGGATGTTTCCTGGCAAACATAGCACCGATGACGAGACGTGCTGGTACGTCTCCATGGCCACCACCATGGCCCTGGACCTATTCCTACACAAGATTGTAGTTGCTATGGATGCCATACGAGACGGTAGCTACAACGAAGGTATCGCACGGGCAGATTGCATTGACCCCAAGGCTGCCTTGTCTCTCGATGGGTTTGGCGACGTTGATTCGGAATCGGAACTAGGAAGGCGGCTGTTGCGGCGGAGGGAGAGATGTTGGATTGCCTTGTTTGTTCTGGAGCGAGGAATGTGCTTAGCGCGAGGGAGAAGCTATACCGTGCCTGTCACGCCCCTTCTTCGACGCTGCGATGAATGGCACATGTCAGATATTGCAGATACCATGGACGGGCACTTGGTGTCCATGGCTGTCTTGCGGAGAGACTTGGTGAGCTCCCAATGTCAACGATTCCTGCAACGCAAGCGCTGACACAACCAGGACGATTTGTTCAATTCCATCAGGGCTGTCTGTGATGGATCCCGCGAAACACTGGCTGACGGCGGCCTTATTGCCCAGTCGTTCGTCCTTCCTCTTCTTCTTCGTTTCTACCTATAAGTCGTCTTTCTAACTACCTCTCCAGGATACAAATGTCAGTCGACAAGTTCTTCGAGCAATGGCATGCCAAATGGACCATACCCATTGGCACCGGACCTCGTAAGTCACCTAAACTCTCGTCACCTTGCGGAACAATTTATCTTCTCTTCCTAACACCGGCCGGGAAAAAGAACATCGCCTGCCACCCTACGTCCAAATCCTCGTCACCCACACCCGCCTCTCCATCTACAGTATTGTAATCAACCATCCCACCGCACCCACCGAAGTCCGCCACTTTTTCCACGCTGCCGGCCTTTCCTCGGCCCTGAACGTTATGCGTTCAGCCATCCAAGGCGAAGAGCAGCTCTCGAGCATGCCCAATAACACAGCAATCATGATCTCCTTCGCCGCCTGCTTTGCCCTGCGCCTCAGCGGCCAGCTCTCCGGCGGGACCTCTAGCCTGGCGCCCAGTGTCCGGACGCTGATCGAGGAGACGGCGGGCGTGTTGGAACGGATTGGCACCGCTACGGACCATCGGAATGGCATGTCGACGTTGTATGGGAAGTATCTGAAGTATATCGTCAAGAAGGCGGCGGCTGCTGCGGCGACGTCGTATGAGAACATGGCCTCAACAGTGCGGCCGAGGAACGAGACAGCAATGACAGCGGATCGAGGCCCGCCCCACGTGGCTTTCTCCCGACACGGTGGGCCATCCGCATCATCGTCATTATCATCATCAACACTAGCAACATATCAACCCAGTAGCCAGCAGCAAGGGACTAGCACCACAAACATGAGCAATACTAATTACGGCATCCCTACCGATGCTGCTTTGTCAGCGACATCCGCCGGCGCATATCTCGAGCCTTCATCATCTACACCATCCTGCCTCTGGGCAGCAACAGAACCGGTATTGCTACAATTCTCATCCATGTCCGACGACCAAGTCCTAGAAGCGCTGAACAACGAGTTTCATGTGGATCCGGCTACGGCGGCTTCGAACTCCAACGCGAACAGCAACAGCAGCATGTACCACCACCAACACCATGTTGGTGGCTCCGGCCTGTCGTCACTGTGGGATGATACGGGGGTTCTGCCGGATTGGTTGAACTCGGCGAACTTACCAGAGTTTGGGGTATGAACTAGGCTAGGATGGGTGACTAGGTGACTGATGAGGAAAGAACGGTTCAGAGGATGACTGGGCTGGACCTGGATGGAGACGTGAGAGGTGAGAGGCAAGAGGAGGGGATTTGACGTGTGAGTGTTTATGAAATACCTGGCGATATGCAGGAGGGGAGAAGATCCTCAACGAATATCCAATAAATCACCGGATCAACGGCAGGTAGTTGGTCCGTAGTTTGATAGAACAGAACACTTGAAAAGACACAAAATAGTACGCACCGCCAACGATGACTCTGCCCGAAATTGAACCTGGGCCTTGCACTTTCAGACTTTTCTATGCCAACTAGGACCAATAAGCTGGCGATTAATTGTGCAGTGTGCCTCCATTACACTACTCGGTCATTCAGCCGTCAGCAGGTGCGCTTGTGGTTGGTTGTTGGAAGCATGATTTGGAAATGGCACTCGAATACCGGGATTTCCAAGAACCGTATAATTCTTTTCTCTTACTTTGGGGGTTATCGCTACGCCTGTTGTACACTCTTTTTCTTCCACACTCTTTCTTTCTCTATTGCGCATGAATCTAAATCGTAATCCTGATGATCAATCAAGCCCAGGCTATGAACGAACAAGTTCGGAGTTCAGACATGCCTGGCGAGTGACCGCGATCGATAGATACCCCAACTCAACTCAGGTCAAGTACACTACACGATGCTTGGCTGGTTCCATGATGTTTCCGTTTTGGGGATGGTGGAGAAAACTGAATGAGATGCGGACTTAACGCGAACACTGCGAGCTTTGGCTGATGGCTTGATAGGCGAGTAACTGACGCACCAGCTGGCAGTACCTCTAGCCACGCAGGGGGCCACACTTCCAGCCGAGCGACCAAGTAGGGTAGTTAGTGTACCAGGTCAGGTCCATGATTGTATTCCATTCACATTCCTGCAACATGTAGTATACTATGTAAATTCACTAAAGGTAAGAACATTAGTACGTTGCCTTGTACATTTCAGGACTCGAATAAGCCACTGGTCTCATACCAAGGGAAGTAACAAATAACTAACCAAGCAGGCATTTGCAGAGTGTTCGGGTGAGGTAAGTTATGTCGGTCCACCGGCGAAAATTGCATAGGTATATTGTTAACCCTGCACATAACGATCAGCTATACAACGATATTCTGACCATAACGTTTGAAATCACGGTAACAGTGCATGTTATATAACAGTAACGATGAACCTTTGTATCATAATTTTGATCGGATTTGGAAGGCGAGCCGCACCAGAATCGTTATACATACAGAAGGGGTTTAGTGATTTTCGATGTCTCCAACCTCTAGCGCTCTTTCAAAGACAGACAGGTAGGAAAAGCTACGATATTAGGAGAATCGATTCTACAGTACCCCGGGGTGACAATACTTCTCCCCTACTACTATAATTCGTTTTGGCGGGCATAAAATGCACATATTCGGGTAGTATGCGTACGCATTATGCCTGGTCTATGTGCGTTGCCTATAGCTACCTACATACCCATAAACCCCTACTTACACAATGTACACTACATACATATCGCGTGCTTCGACAACTGCCCGTACCCATCGGCCTTGGGAGCCTCGAAAGTCTGCAGGAAGGAAGGGTTTGTGTCGGCGAGGTCCGAATCCGGTTGCGGTCGCACTGGGCGGGTTACAAAGTGAGAAGTGTGACAAAGTGTGATTGCCGTGAGGTCAGGCGCCGCGATCGTTGGGCCGATTTGATGGCATTCGGAACTGAACCATGGCAGTCGCGTGGACGACTTCCGGGTTGGGGGGTGCGGGATGCGACTGTGTTGTGATTATAAGGGAGGGCGCACAGCGGAAGAAGATGCGGGGGTCAGGGACTTGTTCTTGATGGTTGTGAGACCCGAAATCGCATCATGATGGTTTACGATGGCACCAGCCCCAGAGGTCCGCAGCCAAGGTGTGGCAATAGTGTAAATCCACGGGAAAGGAAAGCCGGGGGGTGGTGCAGCGGGGGCGATGTTTATCGGCGGTTGCGCCGTCCCCTGCGGGCGACGACGGTTTGCCCCGGTCGTTGTGTTATTCGATTCCCCCGGTCTAGACAGTCGTCGACTGCTGAAACACATGGCTGTCACACATGGATGATGCTTGGTCCAGCGGCACCGATGAATTTGGGGAAAAAGGTTTTGTTGTGGAAGATGTGCAACGAGAATCCGGAGTTGCAACGGCGTTCAGTTGTGACGAATACCGAATTATTCACACATGTTACAAACACTTTTGGATCTTATCTCTTGGACAGCCAACCCAGCCATTCAGAGCCCTTCAGCACGACACCACCATACCTCTAGCGCTCTCCAGTGAAGACGTTCCAAGGAACTTGGCAACTGTCAAGCCGTCGTCAACGGACCACCCTAGCGCTCGCCATCTTGAATAGACTTTATTCCTTTTCTGTCTGGTCTTGTGTGCCCGATTGGGAAGCAGAGCAGTTCATTGCAGTATACCCCAGCCTCGCCTCGCAACAGGCAATGACGATACTTTTGATCTGAGCAGCAAACTGAAGAGGCAGGAAGGGCTCGAGAGGGTTCTGAGAGTGCATCGATCCCAGTGATGGTGCAATTGCAACGGAACCAGAGTGGACGAGGTGGAATGCTGGTGAGAAAATGGCCTGTTCACAATGCATCATCCCGCTCCAAAAGACTGCCCCAGTGTGGTGATCGAGGACGAATGCAGCTCTTCCCTCCGGCTCTCGGGGTATTGTCACTCTGTGGTGACACCTTAGCACAAATCTAGTGCTATTCCCATGTCCAAGAGCTACTACGCTACTCCGTCCATGGGCCACGAACACGGGGCGGGGCAAGCGGAGGTCGCCGCACACAGAGACTTGATTGGTTGAAACGAGGTGGGATATTTTTCCTAGGTATGCAGCCGGCTGTTCTCCAATTTTCGGCAGCTTGTGAAAAAAGTGGGCTGCCGAAGGTGTGCCTTTTGCAGCAAAGACAGCCAACTGTTAACCACAAACAGTGATAAATCTCGCGCCGCCCTCACTCCCCCGTTGTCCGCTACAGTCCCGTCCTGGCCGCGAGTCTCGAGAGTCGAGTCCAAACTAACTTCAACCCCCCCTTTGGTCCCATCTCCTCCGCCCCGGCCGCTGCCAATTGTCCGTCCAACCGTTCAGAACGTAGCCGACCATTCTCGCCAACCGTTCCTGCCCGCCCCTTCGACCTCCACAACCGCATCGTCACACTGCCCGTCGTCTTTTTTTTTGTTTGTTTTTTGGTGGAATACCCAAATTAAAAAACAACAACCGCACTCAGTTACCCACTTGACTTATAGCCCCTGAAAAACGAGAAAATTCGTCAACCGGTCCAGTCGACAGACTACTAGCTTTCCCGCCTCCGCCTCCCAGTGCAGCCCTACACGAGTTACCGTTGTCACCGTTTCCCAACGCCAACACACCCAACCCTCAAAATCGCAACCATGTTCGCCGCCACCAGAGTCCTCCGCCAGGCTGCCGCTCACGCTGAGCGTGTTCCTTCCATCAAGTTCATCGGTCGCAGAACCATTCCCGGTATGTTCCTCCCCGTCCTGCGCCTCCGAGCATTCCGGTGTGGTGCATCTGCCATTTTGACTCGCGAACCTTGGTGTTATTTTTCGGATGACGTGCTGACAGCCTGCTCCTTGTCCAACAGCTTCCGTCGACCACACTCCCAAGCCTCACCCTGCCTCTCCCACCCACTCGCTCCCGGCCAACTGGGGCTCTTCTCCCTCCTTCAGCGCCTACCGCCAACACGCCCAGCAGCACGGCCCTCTTCGCAAGACCATCCGCCCTGAGGTCGACGGCATTGGTGGTTCTCCCGGTGCCGCTCTCGGCTCCGTCAACCCTCCCCAGGGTCTTTACTTTGACCGCAACGACCTCCCCGCCCGCTTCCGTCGCCAGCCTCTCACCGAGGCCGAGATTGAGGCTATTGAGTCCGGCTGTGGCTTTGCTTAAACGGGAGAGAAAAACAACATGGACTAGACAGTTCGTTTACCACAATCGATATCGAGTCCGAAACGACCGACACAACGCAGCGATCCTTTGAGAATTGCCAATCCCGCCGCCCCTTTGACCTAGGAATGGGCCTACACTTGAGATTCCCCATCATCTAAAGCTATCTATCCCTATTGCCCTCTCACAAACATGACACACACACAGCGTATGATCACCCATGCTTCACGCGATTTTGAACCGAGCAAAGTTTGCATATCAGATTATTTATGAACGACACTGCATTGGCGTTCAAAAAACCAAACAAAAAGCTCACCGGGGTTTGGCTTTAGAACTACACGTTGCGGCTTTGGTCTGCATGGCACGGTGTTAACGGATCGGTGGGGGGGAGAACGTCGTCCAAAGGAGGCCGGGCCTTGTCCGGACATCCGGGCTTGAGTGACCGGGGAACGGATGCAGGTCTTGTGTATATAGTCAGTGCAACGGGCTACTCCCAAAGCCGGGCGAAATCCCCGCGTTGGGTGTCAGCTCGCGAGCCCAGAATAACATATAAACACCATGAACACCAACCGCTGCTCGTATTTGGTTTACAAATGCCGAGAATGACGACATGTGGGACAAAGAGGTTTACCGTGCCGTTGTTTGGGCGTAGAATTGCTGGGAACTACCAGTCTTGAGATTCACCTCATTGAGCCACGCCATGTGTGAACATTTGCTTCTGACCCACGCTGTGTCGAGGCCTTCACCATCAACACACAAATAAAAAACAGCATCGTCAACACCAATTGCTCAGGGCTGCTCAGTCACCTCGGCATGCTCGGAAGCGCCCAGCTCATAGCACATCGCATCATGGGAAGATAATAGGTGACGTCCAAGTACAATCCTCTAGTGTACAGGCGACATTTCGGCTTCTACGGAGATGACCTCACATGTGAGAAACAGAAGAAGCAAGCGGACTGTGTGACAGGAAAAGTGATCAGCCCTGCGAGATTGCCGGCCGGGGGGGCTTCGAGTTGATCGATGCCATGTGCCATGTGCTGAGTTCACCTGCAATCACCCACCACCGGTGAGGACGAACTCGGTGGGGGCGGCCGGGTTCCTGGGGAACAACCTCAAGGTCTCTGTCAGCTGCCAAACAACTGGACAGGACCGGCCAATTGATCGCCCAAGCCCCGCTAAAAAGTTGAACTGCGCTGAAGAGGGGAGCTCCTGGCAACGGGCCTCCACTGCGCTGACGAATTGAGGACGATAACGGCGCCGGACCCAATCGGGAGCTCGGTGATTCTTCTCACTTTACTTTCAAAGCTCAGTTCCCCGGTCCCAGCAACTTGTTTGTTTGGACCTTGACGACGAGCAAGAAAACCACCCTTGAACGAATTGTCGCAAAGCCAAAACCCGAGACTGCCATCATCTGAACTCGTCGACATTGTCGCCTCCCGATTATAGACGAGGATCCCTGTGATCCTTATACACCTCACGACCTACAACGACGACAAGAACCCTCGCCGATAGTTACAGCTTTATTACAACCATCAAGATGAAGGAAATGGCAGGACAGGCCGGCGCCGGCAGTGAGGACAAGTGCCCTGTCGACCACAAGACGCGCGAGCTCTGGTTGCAACAAGCAAAGCAGGCAAAGGCCGCACAAGAAGCCGCGGCCGCGGCGGGTGGCTCAACGGCGCCATCGCCAGAAAATGCCTTTACGACGCCAGTAGTACCAGCACCACAGCAACCACCAACACCGGCTACCCAGACTCAGATCCCCCAACCGGCGCAACAAACAGCAATTCCCGCAGCGCTTCCTACCTCGCAACAACAACAATCACCATCATCATCATCCTGGTCCTCATGGCTCCCCTTCATGTCTTCTTCCGGCTCTACAACAACCGGTGCCGCCGCCGCCGGTGGTGCTACTCCCCAGCTTAACCTCGGCGAACACCGCGAAATCTCCTCCATCCCCCGCGCCGCCACCACGGGTCCCTCGGCCTGCCCCTCCAACGCCGAGCAAGAAACGGGCGCCGACACCGCCACCGGCAACTGGGTCTACCCCTCGGAAAAGCAATTCTACGAGGCCATGAAGCGCAAGGGCCACGACGGCGCCAGCGCGGCCGACATGAAGACGGTCGTCCCCATCCACAACGCCGTCAACGAGCGCGCGTGGGCTGAGATTCTGCGGTGGGAGAAGCCCTTTACCGGCGAAGGATGTGGATGCGCCGAGGGCCCCAAGCTGCAGAGCTTCATGGGCGAGAGCAAGCGGATGACGCCCAAGGCGAGGCTGAACACCTTGTTGGGATACACGGCGCCGTTTGATCGGCATGATTGGATTGTGGATCGCTGTGGCACGAGGGTGGACTATGTGATTGACTTTTATGCGGGGAGGAATAACGATAAGGCCGGGGCGGGGAAGCTGAACTTTTATTTGGATGTGAGGCCCAAGTTGAATACGTGGGAGGGGGTGAAGATGAGGGCGTTGAGGTTTGTGGGGATGAACTAAGGTGAAGTGAAGGGGTGGGTGTACAGAAGACGGTGAGTGGGATTGTTGAATAGGTCTGGAATCGAGACTCGGTACATTAGATAGAGAGATCTTACTGGACTTGTAAGACATGTATGTTTCGTTGTATTATTAGTATTGGTTGGTTTAACATTGTATCTCGCTCATGTTTGGCATATAAACGGCCGTCCAAATGGCGCATTAGGATACAAGAAAAGGGAAAGGTTCAATAGAGAATGATAGACATGGGAAAATCGCTGCATAGAGTCGACTGTCCTAATAATGGTGGTCGCTCTTGGGTGTTGGATCTATAGATTACATATCACTTCAACTTTGTAGATGTCTTGTTACTGTTTATGTATCCGGCTGTTCCGAGTGGAAGATAAATGTCTTCCCACCCGCCCAGTTCTGTGACAACTCAATCCTTCTTGGACACATGTGGTTGTCGAATAAGGTCCTTTTCAGATGAGATTGGAACTGGAAAGGAGAGATCACATATTAGCAAAGGGAACAAGACGGACGAGAAATCATCCTGTAGTCAGCCAGCCATACATACCTTTCTTCCCATCCCCGACCCTCACCCTCACAGGCGATCTTGTTTCCAACGCATTCGTCTCCAGATCCCACCCAGCAGCCGCCAGCGCCGCAAAGACGGTTCCTTTCTGCTCCTCCGACGTATATCCTAGCAGCGGCACCTCGTTCTCATAATGGCTCTCCAGCCCATCCTTTAGGGCCGAGTCGAAGTGATAGGCATGGCTGACTGCATCAAACCAGGCCTCCAGCGGACTGTTTGCACGCGCACTTGAACTCGTTTTCTTCCCCCCCTCCTCCTCCTTCAGCGCGATCCTCATGCGAAAACTCCCTCCCCGATGACAAATCCCCATAAAATACCCGTCCGCCTCAATCTCATAGCTATGATACCCTCCCTTCCACCCCGCCAAAGCCTTCACATCCCCATACGTCCCAAACTCGCACGTACCCGTATACTCCCCCGACTTACTCGCCATCCTACCAAACCCCGTCCACCCCCCTCCCCGTCCCCATCCTATTCGCAGCTGCAAGATACTCTCCCTTTTACTCACCTCCTCCGGCCCCAACACCCTCCCCGTTTCCAGCCACTCCCTCACCACCATCGTCGCCCGCTGCCTATTCAGCGTCCGACACCTCACACTCCTCACCCCCCAATAATTCATCAACAAATGTACCCCCAGCAATCCCACCATCAGCCCCCACACCACCAGTCTATCCTGCACCACCTTCACCACCAGACTCCCCACCAACATGCCCAAAAGACTCACCACCGTCTCCTGACTTGCCTCCTTGGCATTCAATTCCGCCAGATTATTTCCCCCGCCTTTTTGCTGCGAAGCAACAACAACAATAAAATGCGCAGACAGACTCGCCTTACTCGCACTCGCCGCAACACCACACCAACTCCTTAATACCCCCGCACCCACAATCACACCCAACTTCAATCCATACCACCTCTCCATCATCGCCGGCACCAACAAATCTAAAAGCTGCGCAGCATCGTTCAAACAATCAGCCAAGAACCTGAAAAATTTACATTCGGGCTCGACGGCGGTCCCCAGCCGGTGGGCGAATAAAATGGTGGCGACGCGGGAGATGGTGTCGCTGGCGATTTTGAGAATGAGCGCTCCCGTGGGAGACGAAGAGGCGTCCCCTACCCCAAGGCCTTCGAGGACGGCACGGTTGGCGAGCAACGAGGAAATACTGCTGAAAAAGGCTTGGAGGGAGTCGTAGGTTTGGTAGGGGAGGTAGTCGGTGGTTACGGAGTGGGGGTAGCCGGCGGGGAGGAAGGCGTGGAGGAGGGCGGTAAGAGGGGGGATTTTGGTTTGGTGCTGCGCGAGAGTTAGGATGAATGAGTTGGGGTTGGAGCTAAAGTAGGTATTGATGCAGTCGAGATGGGATGATGGTGATAATGAGGGTGTACTTGATTGAGAAGGGCAGAACGAGACAAAGGCGGATGGACGGATGGATCGATTCATGGATAGATTGATGGAAGGATGGATGGATGGATGGAGAGATGAATCAAGTAGGTACATACAGCCCTTAGACTCTCCTGTGATTCACCGTTATATGTGCAGAGCACGTTGCCCGCTGGATCGATGTCGTAGATGTTCCTGCTCATCGTCTCGATTGCTGTCTACATTAACGAAGCTCTGGTATCGTTGGTTGTCGAAACCGTTTGTCCAAGGGGAAGGAAGCTGTGCGCAAGTGTGGCAAATAGTTGCTCGGTTAACGGTCTGGGAGAACATATAATTACTTATTTAGCCAGAGTTAGTTGTCAATGTTTCTTTTTGCTCCCGATAATGCAATGGCGCGTAAGAGAGCCCAAAGCTGCGTTGTGTTGCGTTGTACATGAGCGTGCAGTGCGCGTGTTGAATGGTCGCAAAGGGATGGCGCCAAGCGATCGTAAAACCCCCCTTAGCCATATCCTGACGTAAGGCCGTGCCGTGATTGCTGTGTGTGCTACAAACCACCGACATTGATGCTCAACTCCGTACGCCATAAATAGGACATCGATCGGGCGGGGGCCCCTTTTAACCTCCTTAATATACACTTGGAGGTGCTATATCCTGCATCGACAGTCAGTAGTTCTAGGAGAACAGAATCCGAGGAGGTTGATATAAGCACCAAGTATAACCGAATGAGAAACGGACAGGGTTTGCGTCCATCTTTGCCATTGCAACAGCCTGCTAGCCTTTTCAGACATTGGCCAATACTGTCTGTCCTCCAGGGACATTTAGCCAGCCCTGTCTCTATCATGATATGTCCATAGCTTCTCGCTACCTTGCCCTTCCTTGGTAGTGTGTCCACAGCCGGGTATGTACATTATTAGGTCAATATTTCTCCAGTATTAAAATCCAACCTGCGCAGCAGCTTACGCGTTATGTTTCCCTTCCAAACCCATCTCCTCTAAGAAGAGCTCTTGACCGGGGTGCCATCCTCAGCCACCAGGTACTCCTGTGTCGCAACCGGACCCTCACCGACACTGGTCATGATCACACGGCTGACGCCGTTCTTGAGCAAGTCGGCAACACTCTCGTCAAAGGAAACGTTGGCCTTGAGGCCCTCAACGGCGGACGCCTTCCAGCCATCCACCTCGCTAAGGACGCTGTAGAGGTTGCCAACAACGGCCTCGGTATCCTGCTCGAGATAGTAGATGACGGCGTTCGGGCCGGCATCGAAAGTGTAAGCGGCGACGGACCGGCCAGCAGCCGCGTTGATGGCCTCGACAGCGCGAATAGCTGCGCGCGAAACGTCGTTCATGTAGAAGATGGGAGGATAGGTGTCAGCGCAGGTAGCGTGGAACGAGTTGGAGTCGCGCATGGTGACCTCAGCAAAAGCGGCAAAGTCGCGCTCGGCAATCGCCTTCTCCATCATCTCCATGTTCTTGGGAACGACCGACGTGATGCGCTCCTTGAAGAGACCCGAGGTGGCAACCGTCTGCTGCATGCCCGAGGTCGAGCTGACACCCTTCTTGGCGGCAGACGCGACGAGGATCAAGGCGCGCATCTCGGGCCAGTGCGAGGCCTCGGCAACCTGGTCGGCCATGGAATCGCTGCCATCAGCAGCCTCACCCATGCGCCAGGCAACATAACCGCCAAACAGACTGCGGCAGGCGGAGCCGGAGCCCTGGCGGGCGATCAAGCTCAGCTCCGAGGGGGAGGCAGGGAGCTCGTAGAGGTTGGCGATAGCCCTCACAAAGGCAGCAAAGCCAGCAGCGGACGAGGCGAGACCGGCAGCGGTAGGGAAGTTGTTCTCGGAGACGATACGCAGAGGCATGGTGGAGAGCTTGGGGAGCGAGGGGTCGGCAGCCTCGAGGGCGGCACGACGGGCGCGCAGCTCACGGAAGCAGGCCTGGGGGCGGGCACCAGACACATCAGAGGGCTCGCCATTGAGAAGAAGGGAGTCGCCTTCGGGGTACGAGGCCGAACAGGAGGCGGTGGTGAGGGTGCGGAGATCGGCCTGGGAGAGAGTGACGGAGAGCGAGCTGTTGGTGGGGAGGTTGAGCTTGGTGTCGCGCTTGCCCCAGTACCTGGAATTACGGGGGTCAGTTCAGATGCTCTTCTCCACGTGTTCGTCCGAAGTATCAATCGAGTATTAGGAAAGTTGGGCTGACTTGACGACGGCAATGTTGACGGGGGCCGTGGTGCTGGCGCGGTAGACCTTTTCGGAAGCCATTATGAATATGATATAGGATTATACGGGGGGGTATCGTTAGAGGCGTATGGAAAGAACAGGTCACAAAGAAGAAGTAAGAGAAAGGACAGAAGGGCAATGTCGCGATGGTGGTTGCTTGGTGGTTGTTGGTCAGCGGGCGGTCAACAAAGAAGTTGGGAAATGAAGCTGGAGGAACCAAGACCCCCTTTCAACTGTGTTCCCCCAGCAACGGCAGGGCAGCTCTGCATCGCAGCACTCTGGCGGGGCTCTGCAGCGGGGCAAAGGTGGGGTCATTGGAACCTCCAGCAGCCAGCTACGGGTAGATTTGGAGCTCTGCCTGCCGCCAGAGGACCCTGAACGCGCCAAGCTAGAGTGAGCTAGCGCCTCAAGGGCATCGGCGGCCTGGCCCGTCCCCGTCCCCGTCCCCCGTCTCCGTCTCCGTCATGGCCCGAACTGCCCGCTTTCTGACCTCTGCCGTGTGCCGCATCCATCACCGTCTCAAGATGCCGACATCTGATTTCTGCCAGGGACTCTCTCACTCTGCCACCAAGATCCTTGATAGAATTCTATTCTGCCCACTTGTCTATGGCTTGACAGTTGATATTCCTTCCACTCACTCATCGTTCTCGCTCAACCTCACCCAACATTGATCATATGCATACCTCTACGGATCACATTTCTGTCCACGCCAATGTCACAACCAGACACCACGACGCTCATCCGAAATTCATGGGTAAGGGGTTACAGTGACATGGTGTCTAGGAGTCCGAGTCTCACTCTTGTCAACAAAGCTATGTCTTGTCTTTGGTCTCGCCGGGATGTCGATGTTGATTCACGAACCCACAAGTGGACGGCTGCAGATCCAGTTCTGACTACAACTCAACGTCATAACTACCCTATTGTTATGTAAATGCTTCAGCCCCGAGCTGGTTTGGCATCTCTGGATATCTATCATCATCAACATCTTCAAGTCGGCTGACCGGGTTGAGAGACAACAGACTCAAACACGCCATGAGCTGTCGGTATAACTTGCAAGTTGCAGAAAAGACGACGAGCTGAAACACGCTAGGCCTTCCTCGGGCACTTCACATCAGAGACATGTTTGAGAAATAATCAGGGAAGATGCCGAGTTTCTCGCTGACTCTGTGTAGACTGAGCCCCTGGTGACGCTCATGTCTCACGGGAAACTGACGGTATTGACTTGACACTATGTACATACTCGACCAACCCTCCCCTGGCTGGCTAACCTGTAATCAAGTTCCAATATGGCGCTTGACTACACGTCAATCAGCCTACCACTGAGCACTAGTACTACAATCTGCCTTGGTGGTATTCTGTCACAGACCACCGTCGTGTTACACTAGCGAGACACACAAGCTGTCGTATGACTGTGGACCAGGTACGGTGATAGGACAAGTGGTTATCGAATTGTTCAACTCCTCTCTTATCGACAAGCGGAGCCTGACAGCTGTATCACAGAACAGGACAGACTTGTCTTGGAGACTCGCTAAGCCGGTCCTGCATACAGACAGTCCACAGAAAAGTTGATATCTGCTACGACCACATGGCTAAGTTGCCGATCCCTCCTTCTAGACCCGGCATCGACCTTGATCTCGAGTCCGAACGGACCTGTCATGGTTGAGGGGTTCAATCCAGCATTCAAGAGCTTCAGACCGGATATGCTGGTCGAAAATGTGAAAAGTGTCTATTCGGGGCTTTCCCTGCACTGGCTGACAGGCTTTCTTCCTTCCAGTAGTCAAAGACATGACGATAATACTGAAGATAACTGCACCATGGGAAGACACAACGAATTACGACACCCCATTCTCCATCTCCCAGTACCCTTAACCACGTTCATCCTGCCCATAAGCTACACACTCCAATGAGACCCAGCCGCACCACACCCCCAAAGGCTCTCACACGATCCCGATCCCGTCTGAAATCTCATCTTGTTTTTCTTATACGAACCACACGAAACCCCAAACCATGCCATTGAGCCGAGTCAGGCTTTCCGAGATCCACGATTTCGATCGAACTCACCCTATTTGACCGAGCAGCTTGAGGATGAGGGGCTGAAGACCAGTCAGCCTCCAGTTTCCTGCTATGGAAACTCTTACGCGTCACCTCCCGCAATACTTAGCACACACATACATACCAGCCGCCGCCGGCCAGGCCACCGGATACCCAACCCGGAACCCGTAACTTTCTCCTCTTCCGAGGCCGATACCCTACATACATACGTGCGTTACATACATTTCCTCTTTACTTCGCCTCCGCCATCATGCTGCTGCTGCGAGCCAGGGAAATTAAAAACGCCACTGCATACGCTTCTCATGCCTACCCTGCCGCTGCCCCAGACTTTTTCCCCCCCGCGCGCGCGCGCCCCATTCCAGCCCTGGCCTGTGAAATGTTTGAGTGACAATCTACCGGAAACACACGCAATGACGTGACACCAATCATGCCGGCAGCCGTTGAGATATTTGGGGTATAGGTGTATGTACAGACATGTATGGTTAGCGGAAAAGAGTGTCGTTGGACGCCACGTGTTTCGTGTGCTTCGTGTCTCGTCGTCGTCTTTATATCTCCCAATGGGTATACATTACATACTGTGCCCGGTAGCAAGTCGACAAGGTAGCGTTGAGGCAGGCAATCAATTATACAAAAGCTATATGAAAGCCACGTGCTGGCCAATATGTAGTCGGCAATTCTTGGATGGAGGTGTTTGTATGAAGTAGAATAAGTCTGGACCATACATACCTTGACCAGGTAACGCTGCGGCATGACGCGAGTTTCGTCAACTCGAGGGGATCGAGGGGATCCCGTCAGAGAGTGTCCGATCAGGATCAGCATGGATTCTGAGGGACGAGCTAAGTTTCAATGTTCCGATGCCTCAAGTGCACTTGAATGTTGACGGGACATGCCGCCCATGGGCCGTCAATGCCTTGGCGTAGGTGAAGCTAGAGCTACTTAAATAGGTAACTATTTCAAACACAGAGACATTATCTCAATTCAAGACACATAAAGAAGACATTGTGAACACTCCAACCACGTGCACTCTAGAGGCTCTCTACACGAACATCGACACTCGCCAGCAAGCTCAAGTGTCATGCCAATGACCTTATACAAGTCCGCAATAAGATATTTTGAGTAGCTTGAAGCTACCAACATGCGCTTAGTCCGTAGCACCACCTCTATATCTACCTACCTTTCTCTCCTTATCGTTTCTAGCATCTGATGCCGTCCAATGTGCACCAAACCTACTCGTGTATCATGTGTCAGTAGAAGCACTGCAGGCTAAGCTCGAACATCTCTACCAGTCACCTCACTTGGTAGAAGATAGTTGGAGTAGCTATAGTGACATGTAGGGTAGCCAAGGATAAGTAACACCAGACCAACCCTGATCGACACTGTCAAGTTATTATCGTGATGTGCCCGCTTTCATGCCTGGGACATTCGTACATTCCACCTACCTACTCTATTCTCTCAAGTCCCCTACCTACCTACTTACTTAGTTTCCTTTCATCCTACCGTACGTAAGCTTCCGGGTTACTCCCACACCTACCTACCGAATAGAATATATTTGTGTAATGACTGCGACAAACCACAACAGACACACAGTTTCTTGCTTTTTCTTCTTTTATCTTTCTTTGACACACATGAGAGATGACTCGACTCGACTCGACTCAAGGTGCCATCGATACCACCTTATACCGTACACATCCACCTACCCACCTACCCACCTCTTGGAGGACTGGACCCGTATTACACAATTTTGATGATGATGATGATGATGGTGATGATCATGCCTTACACGGAACACGATTCCCACTCTACACTAATTGATCTCGATTGAGCATGGGGTAGTAGTCTAGTTCTCTGATCCATATGTAGAGGTAGTCTCAATTTATCACATGGGTAGGTAGTCGTAGACTCCATTGCGTCCAGTCAATGAACCCAAGTTACTTGTGCCTGCCTGCCTGCCTGCCTAGCTGCCCATCCATCCATCCGTCCATCCGTCCATCCAGACAACCTACCACTACCTGCTACCCTTGTGAACCTACCTGTCTCCGGCTGTACCCCCTCTGCCCCTCCCCCCTCCCCTCCAGAAGCATCGATGGGTTGTGTTCCCTCATGTCTGTGCCCCACGGGAACGTGCCTCAATGGTGCTTGCCGTTCCCGCATCGGTACTACACTACCGCTGGTGTTACTCTGCTAGGGGTATGTAGGTAGGTATGTAGGTAGGTAGTACTACCTTACCTGTACCTACCTTACTTCAGTTACTACTGACCACAACCAAAACCACAACCACAACTCCCGACCGGGTGAGGATAACATCCATTCCGTTGACAGTGCTTTGAAGCCTAGGCTAGGCTACCTGTACAATATAGATATCCTACCGGTTCCTAGGTTAGTAGAAAGTATGAAAGCTTGAATGCCGAGGACTACGCCAAAATACTCAAAAAAAAAATGAATAAAGAAAAAAAACTGCGAGAATCCCAAGCATGTACCATACGTAAAGTAAGGTAGTTGCCCCAAACGAAACCATGATCCAATCCCAATCCAATCCCAATCCCAATCCCGATCCCGTCCCCCGATCCCGATTCCGATGCCGCCAACCCATCCCGATTCCGACAGCCCCGATCCCGATCCTGACCCTTAAGGGAGGGTCGGCATTGGACTTGACCTGTTCACTATGTAGCACCCTTCAAGGTTCATGACCCATCCTCCAGCTCTCCACTCATAATGTTTTTAAAATAGTAGTTCTAGTACTGCGTGGACGAATTGATAAGCAGGATAGGATAAAATAGGATAGGACGGATTAGGTGCAAGCTTATCGACTTCTCTCGTGATGACCAAAGTACTCTTCTCTTTCTACTTACATTCAGCTTAGATATATCCTTCTAAACAACAACCATCGTGGCCTACCTACACTACCTTAGGTACGTATGATCCGTTGTGGACTGACCACCTACCTAACTTGAGTGTCCGTCCATCCAGCACTGTAGCAACACACATAGGTAACGAACCCCGCTTCCTCCCTTCCCTCGAGGTCACTTCCCACACCCTTGTGTCTGTCTGTCTGTCTTTAGTGTACTTGGTGCGAGTGTTGAACGACCAATGATCTAACCATAGGGCAGGCAGGCAGGTAGAGAGACATGGTTTTCGCTTTGAACTAACTAGACTAGACTTCGACTGCTCTCTCCCCGCGTTCGTGCGATTGTACATAGTAACATGTACCACGACATTTTCACATCGGACGGACCGTTCCGAGCAGTCGATTAACTCACAGTATCTTTTCTCAAAGTCCCCACCACCATCACCACCACCACCACCACCACCTGATGCATCAAGTCACGTTCGTATTTAGAATGGTTTGTGGCAATCAAGAAGCAAGTGGAGAAGAGCAAGTTGAGGGTATATGTACAGTATTGTCATCTTTTTTGTCTTTCCTCTAACTATCTCTAGACTAATAGCCTGTTATCCAGAAAGAAGACAAAGTAGTTGTCTAGATACAACATTTTCTTTGGCTTAAAGGTGTGTGTGTGTAGTACCTGAGACGAGAGTGTAGAGATGTGTAACCGTGATACACATGTGTATGCGTGTGTGTGGCCTGGTGTATGTGAAACCTGCCACTTCATAGCATTGAGAGATGCGATGGGGGAGAGACAGTAGGAAAAAGCGAGGGACGGACAGGCAGGTTGAAAGAGTGTATGTATTACCCGGCCTGATAGGAAAAAAAAAAAAAAAAGGAATTACAAGGGTAATGTAGATCCCGGATATGTGTGTATGAACAACTCTTGGTTGAAAAAAAAAAGACAAAACGTCGTAAAGCTAATGGGGTATCTTTTTGACAGCAGATTAGAAGAAAACAGACAAAAATATGGGGACTGGCTGGTATGCAAGAAATGAGACCAGCCCCAAAGAGATCTAGCATGGTGTCGTGGCACGTATCATCAAGTCGTCAACAGCGTTAGAAAAAAAAAAAAAAAAAAAAAAAAAACAACGAGGGGGTAGTATCCAACGACTTTCTTAAAAAGTGATTCGGTACTCTGCCTCCCTATTCAGCGTGGGCGGCACATGATGCTTTTCTTTCCTTCGCTTCACTTCCGGCGCCCCACTTTGTCCACAATGTTTTTGAGCCAAAGGGAGGCGCTGTTCTTCTTATCATCGTGTCCGGCCATGACCGCATCGCGGACCATTGGCCCAACAATGTCCACATCGCCGCGGTCCGGAAACTTGCCCTCGTCCGTCAACATTTCGGGAACGGCAGCTGGGAGCACGTCTTCAGTAGCTCGACGGAGCAGTGTTGTAGTCGCCCTGGTTAACTGCGGTTCCAGTCGTTGAATAAGATCCTCCTCAGCCCGGCTCCATTCCTGCTCCAACTCTGCCCATTTTTCTTGGGTATAACCGTACGTGATTGACGTCAGGCCGTAGTGTTCTCCAGTCCGGACAAGGTGTTTGGTAAAGTTGATCCTGGCTTGGTTCCAATCAGCACGGAAGGCTTCGTAAGTCGCCAAATCCGCCGTGTCTGGTACATAAGGCCTGGGCTCAATCGTAAAGTTGGCGTGCCCTAGACGATCTGACCAAGCATCCTGGTCCTCAAGAAAGGGAAGCGGCGAAGGTAGTTCACTGATGGTACTCGCAGTTGCGCGGCGGAATGATGCTACTGATGCCTTGGAACTCAGCGGTGGCGTAGGGTAGTATTGGGGGTTAGGTGATGTTTGAAGCGACTGCGCGTTTCCTTGGGTTGCTGGACTTTCGGTGAATAGAGGAGGCAGGAGAGGAGTGGCAGCCAAGGCACGCTCCCGTTCCAGGCTTTTTCCAGCGGCTACCTGCGCATCCTGAAGCGGGGAAGCAGGAGAAACAGTTTCGTCGGCGCTGCCATAGAAAGAGAGCGCAGGGGTGGTGGGAAGAGGTGATTCGGTGAAATGCGGTGGTTGTTGTTGCTGTGGCTGTTGCAGTTGCTCAGAAGGGCGTCGCATCGAAGGGGATATCGACGATGACCTGCTCGAGGCAGCACGGGAAAAGGTTCGGGAAATGCTGGGACGCTGGACAAGCGACGAGACGGAGGCGGGTGCAGAAGCAAACTGGTTTCGCCTCGACGTGGATCCCCACCCTGGAAAGCTCGGGAGCTTTGACCCTATTCTCGAACTCCAAGACGACATTCCGGCATCTGATCCATGCCTCGTCTTTTTTGACCCTAAACTATCGCTGAAATCCACTTCGCTCAAAAAGCTGAGGTCGCAGTCGAACTCTGAAGTCATGGAAGGACGGGCCACATCGTTGTGGTGGTCGCATGCTTCGTCGCCTAGTCATGGTCGTGTTAGCTACGCTAAGTTTAGGACGGACAATATCTTGTTGTTGGGACCTACACAGGCAATCGTAAAGACCCCCCAGGCTGGCCTCGTCTGCACCGGAGTAAAGGTCGTACTCGTCCTCGCCCTCACAGATGTCGACCGAATTTCTCTCCAATGGGGACTCTTGCACGTCGGGGAGCTGGGTCTTGTTGGTATGCGTTTGTTGTTGTAATGGCGAGATGGGGCACTCGGAGGAGGCATTCGGAGACATGATGTTCTCGAGCGAAGAGGTCGAACCAGAGCAACGCGAGTGCGAAAAGGTTGGCGTGATGGGCAGTGGTGAGGCGATGTCGGACGAGGAAGAGCTGGAGGTGTGGGTGTAGTAGATGGAAGAGTGATCGGCGTCATTGTTGTAGTAGTAGTTTTGCTGTAGGAGCTCCAGCATCCGAGCCTTTTCTCTTTCCACCTTTTGAGGGAGTTGCAATGGTAGAAGTCGGGTTGGCATGGTGAGTGACGGACGGTGTTTGTGATGGGTGAGAGGTGGCCGGGTGCAGGCTATCGAAGCTTGACCTATTTTACAGAAGTTGTGGAGGTAGGTAGAGGTAGGTGACGATGGTGGCAGTTCGCTTGTGTGTAGAATATAAATTGCCCAGCTTTACCGACTCGGAGGACGGGACGGGACTGGACTGGGCTCTTTTTGCAAGCCTTCAAGTTCCAGTTTGACGGGACGGGAGGGAGCGCGGGGTAGGTAGTTGACTTATGTGTTGCTTTGGGTTCACTTCAGGTCTCTACCTAGGTACATACATGCCCGTCGTCGGATAGAGGTCGGTCGGTCACAAGAGCTGGGGGGCCAGTTGACGACAGTCACGACACTTTGCCCGTCGCTGCCACTACATACACTAGACCATGGCCGCGGGCGGAGAGACACAAGCCGGGCATGGAGACACACGGGCCACATTCAGCCAGCGCCTGCCAGTGACGGGACTGCATTTGGAGTGGGGGGGGGGGGGGGATGAAATTTGGGTCCCAGCCTCTCCGCCGCCAGTTGGTAAAACTCTGTTTTTTTTCTCGTTTTTTTGTTAGTGCATTTCCCCGAGAAAAAAAAAAAAAAAAAAAAAAAAAAAAAAAAAAAAAAAAAAAAAAAAACGGTGTCATGGTTCAACTCCAGCTTCGTTTTTTTGCTGCTACCTACTCACACCGCACCCCCCTTGCTGCGTCCATAGAGTGTAACTGATACTTGCAGGGATCTGATCATTTTTTTGTGTTTCCGCGATCGCATCCCATGTGTGTGTCCACTTTGGTCTCCAGCCAGACTAGGCCCACCCGTTGGTCTGGACAACCAAAGATGGAGCCCGAAGTTGACGAGAGACGAACGGTGGAGGAGGATTCAAAAAAGTGCATTTCGGAAACACAAACGGACAAATTGCTAGTGCAGAGCCCCGGAGATCGCTTTGCGCCAAAAGTCAAGGTTCTGACTGTTCTTCAAGACTGGACGGCGGCTCCGGGGCGGTTAGCACATTCATCAGTGGGTACACTGAAGAGTGACGGCGATGACGTGACGTGCGAGAGACGAGACGCTGGCGTTGTGGTCTTGCTCGTTTCTCACGACCGACGACGGGCAGCTCTGGGGTTTGAAAGCTTGGCGGCGGGAAACGTTGCTGCCGATCCTTTCATCCATCATCTACGCAATCAAAACACCACCATTCGTTTCATTCATTCTTTCTATCGTGGGCAGCCAACAAGATGTTTGCGAGAATCACCCGCCATCTCTTTAGCAACTTGTCTTATGGTTCCAAGTTCTTGCCGTCCCTTTACCAGCCTTCTTTGTATAGTCCTCTTTGACGTCGATATTCCCCCGCGGCAGCTCCAGTATCAAGGAAACACCACCCCCGGTCCTGTTCCCCTCTTCCCCTCCTCCTCCTTCCGTCAATTCGGTCGTGTAACGCACCATCAAAAGCACAGTTGCTTCCGTGTGTCTTGGGTACTTTGGTGTTGCAGGCAAGGGCCTCTGCTCGAGTCCTCCCAATGCCGTGATCACAAGCCACAACCGATTTCTCCAAGGCTTCTGGCGACTGGCGCGCGCCTGGATGGTTTCGTTGAATGGCAACACTCACCTTTTCCACGATCCATCTATCTAGTCCCTAGTGGGAGCGAAAGTGGTACCAGGGTTTATCAATGGAGGATCAATGTGACTTGGTGCAGGACTGGTACCACGTGTAATCAGGTGCTCCAGACCGAGTGCTTGTTAGGCCCTGGCTGACTGGGCTTCCAGACTTCCTCCCCAGACGGGTGGGCTGTATCTTTTGGCCCGTTGAGCTTGAATCACACCCTGGTCAACAAGAGACAGATTCCGGATTACCAATTGATGGGTTAGGACTTGTCCATGTTGGCCCGACCATGAGGGGTGAAGCAAGAAAAGAAAGAAAGAAGAATGACAAGGCTCACGACGACGGACGGCTTGATCCTTTGAAGCTGCCACGGTGACCAACGACGCCGGCAATCACAATCAGGCGCCAAACGAACTATAGTCCGTCTCTTGCAGCCAACCAAACGGATCACAAGTTAACAGACTAACGCAGAGAGGGCAGGGCAATGACAACGGCCAAAAGAGGGCAATTTGGGCGACCGATAAAGAAAGTGGAGGGGATTATGGTAGTCCAAGTTATGCAAGTTATGTATCAGAAAACGCGACGAGGATTCTCACCAGAGGTTGATCTTGAGGTTGATTCAGTCCCCGGCGTGGGACGATTGACAGCCGCGAGGCGTTCTTGCGCCATGTTTCCCTTGGTGGATGAGGGCATCCCAACTGAAATTCAACCTCACAGAAATTTCACCCCACACACCCCAACAACCAAAGCAGCATTCTGATCAACGGTCATTGTCAAGGACTGGGGCGTACGGCGGTGATGGCGGGGAAGAATAGCGTCCGCCCGCGGTGCAACGCTAATGTTACGTTGTCACTTCAGACGGAATTCGTCCAGACTCTCTTCACATTGCATATGTAGATGGTCGCATTGGAGTATTCTCATTGCAACCCATCCCAACTCGCACCTCATCCTCGGCTGTGACTCGACTCAATTCCGATCTGTTTCTGGTCGGCCATTGTCAGTGGTTGGATCTAGAACTCGGGCCCACAAACGAAGGTCAAGGTCTTATTAGACTTTGATATAAGTATCGGCCGGCCTGGAAATGGTGGATTGCAAAACTCCGACACCGAGAGAGAGAGAGACTACAACATGGAAATTTGAAAGTGTTATAGAGAAGCATCCGAGGCATCGTGGGTCATGTCGTCCACCCCATGCTCGTCATTGCGGTGAAGCCTGAGCTAGCTGGGATTTTGCGGTGGTATGCAGTGGTGCGCATTGCTTAGCAGGTCAGCTGCGCATAGTGCGTATTTGCTGCTAGTGTACATGACTGAGCAGGCTAGAAAGTCTTAGCAGAGGGAACGAATCGCTTACACGACGGTGATAATGGGGTCAACAGGGTCTGCAAGCATCCAATGATGCAACTGCATCACAACGCTAACAAAAGGAGAAAAAAAAAAAAAAAAAAAAAAAAAAAAAAAAAAAAAAAAAAAGAGGACGAGAAAAAGAAACGAGAATTAACATAGCGGGCTTATTCCCGATAGTATCGATTAGAGGTATGAAAGCGTGCCCTGAAAACTCAGATTTAGTCACGACTCAGAGGGTCGGGGGAACGGGTCACACCTTGCCTGACCCGCGGACAGCTTCGTTTCCTACCACTCAGCCGCCGGTGCTTCCAAGAAACCAAACTTCCTACACTACTCCTGGAGGTATCTTAGCTTCAGCTCACTCATGCTCAAAGACTCCGGATACGGGCTCTCCCTAATTCCGAACTATTGCCGTAGTACCTAGTGAGCGGCAGGCAAACCTCTCTTGACGTTGGCGTGGTTAGGTAATCTTGAGCCATCGCTTCTACTCTCGCGTCTACAACATTAACGCGTCCACTATATGTATCCGATGGCGGAGGACGAGGAGCGAAAAGACTCGGGCATTTCCAAACTTGATTCCGCATGTATTCGGAGCATTGGCGGATTGCAGTGCGGAAACCACCTTGAGTCCATCCGTGATTCGTCCATTCAGCCGTTTAAGTACGTTTGTACATCAAGCCTCTCCACCAAGGATCAACTACCCGATGAGGAGATGAGCTCCGACGATGCCGCTCTCGCGATCGTCAATCGAAGCATCTTCAGCAGAACCAGAATGTTCCTGGAAGCATGTACCTGGTCGTCTACACTGCACTATGCTAGTGACAAGAGTCTGGCCTTTCCTCGCTTGCGCCCAAGCTCTCGCTCGAGGGCCAAGGCCCAAGGGTCCCTCTGCTCTGCCTCTCCTCTCCCTCGCTCGATCGGTCCTTCCTGCTCCGTCACCGTTACATACCTTGATGGTGTACACTACATTGCGGCAGTACCTGCATGAAAGGTGCATGGGCTCCAGGGCCGGAGAGATGACTTTGAAGAATCGAAAAGACAACACCAACCACCATACATACTTTGCTATGACACCATCCCAACTCTGTGAATTATAATTAGCTTCACGAGTTTGTCTGATGCTTGGGGAGTCGATCTCAAGTAAAAGAATTTTGCCTTCGACGTAGAAAGCAAAGAAAGAAAGAAAAAAAATCCGATAAATGACCCGAAAAAAAATTATTCCCCAAGAATGGTGGTTGTTCCGTCCCTGCTCGCCATCAGATAATATGGCTGACCAAGATAGGTAATCCGACTGTGTGGGGTCAGCTACCTGCTGAACTGCCAGATCGCCAATATCTAAGACACCAAGCTTGGCATATGCTGTCTTTAATCTCTGCTACAATCATCAAGTACCTGGTACCACATACCATTGCCCAAATCCGCATTCAAACATTGAAATAACAACAACCACATAAACACTTCTTCGTAACGCAAAAGAACCATTCTTGCGGGGGGGGGGGAGGGGACCTCTCACCAGCCCCCAGCCCCCTGCATCCCATGAAACTGACCCTAACACCCGTCACCTCAGTGATGCCAATTAGCGCTATTTAACCCTAACCCTCAGTATCCGGGCGGCCCGGTACAGACAAAAGAAACTCCGTCATTGGCTAAAAGGCTCCCCACACAGTTGAATTGGGATTGAGGAACACAGTCGGAATATCTGAATCGGTCATGTCATAACTGCTGCGCGCAGATCTGATTAATCCAGCTCGGTACCTGTTTTTGCATCGATCGATGGGATGATCCAGCCGACGATCTTCTTCTTCTTCTTCTTCCAAGTCCCTCATTACTCAACACCATGATGGAACTGAAGTCGAGGGGACTCAGAGACGGGGACAGAAAGGACGCCGGGGCAATCTACACTACTACCATACATGTATCGTAACCTTGCTTTCATCCTGCGTCGTGCCTCGTATCTTATAAATACCTTTCCGAAGCTCGGCCGGCATCGGTGCAGGTCCATGCTCGGTCATCACGACGCCTCCTCGGCTTCCTTGCCGGCAATTGTTGCTTGGGCTTTTACATTTCACACCATCAGATTCGGGCGGACATGTGAATACCGAACCCATAGTAGCCAGCCAAACACCAAACTGGCACTCCCAACTCAATTTAGTGTAGTGTAATAGCCATCTCGCCATCTTGCCAGCCACCGAACCACACCACACCACACCACACCACACCTCGTCAATCTCTCAATGACGGACTATGTCTAATTTGCCATGTGGGAAATTCCCCCCTGCTTGTCTCTCGGAATCCCTTTTCATTGGCAGTGGGCAATTGGGGTTGGGGTGAAGATTTTCCGGAAGATCTCGCCGAGGGCGATCTCACTTCCGTCGTCCGCTGCTTCTTGCTTCTTGCTGAGTGCTTGCTGCTGCTGCTCACCATGCTGCCCGTACCTAGTGTACCTAGTGTAGTGTACCTGCTGCCCCTTGCATTAGCACCATGGCTCAACCCGTATGTATGTACTTAGGTAGTGTATGGGGGGGCTGAACCAGAACCGGGCAGAACCAGAACCAGACTCAACGGCGCACGCCGATTCGTTGAGTGAGGCCCGCCGCGCCCAGTTCCTGTTCCTGTTCCTGTTCCTGGCTGCTTTTGAACTACAACTACACTACATACACTAAAACTTGCACGTGAAACTCTTTCCCCCCTCCAGGAGGTCCTCATTAACCTATGTCTTCTCCCCAAAACTGGACCTTACCTTGCTAGGTTATTACGTCTAGGTTTTAGGTTTTAGCGTAGGTAGGTGTTGGTGGCGCGAGTTTTGTCAGCCTCACTCTGGCAACTCAAACTCAACTCAATTCAAGCTTTACAAGGTTCATTCGAACGACGTCTCTTGTCTGAGTCGTCTTTTCAGCTGTAATGGGGATTGCTCTACACTTACCTATGACATAATTCCATCTATCTAGAGGTAGGTAGTGTATTCATCGACATTATCTGCCATGTGCTGCTTTTGCATCCTGACTTAGCTGGGATGGGGAAGGAAATAGGCAGAGCCCGTGCGGATCATCCATTTGCTTACCCTCTATAGCAGAGGTATGTAGTGTAGGAGGATTTGGGTCGCAGGTATATTGCTTCCTCAAGATTGGCAGAGGCTTTTTGCGACTGTGACCCCGCGTTGTAACTTGCAGCTGTGAGAGTAGGTTTGTTCTCTTGTCTGCTGGACTGGACTGGTCAGTCAGTCAAGGTTAGCATATGTTAGCTTCTGTTCTTCCCAACGCGGTGTCTAGGTGCTGTGTTTCGAGACATGAGAAAGTACCTTCGTCCTTCAACACGTTCACAGGTACTCAAGCACATACCTACCTATAATAGACCCCGAGATCAACAAAGGGCCCCGTACCGCAATCAATAACGGTGATATCGACGTAGTTGAAGGAAACCACAAGGGATCAGGACCTCTCGGTTCTGAAGCAGAAGGATAGGAGAGCCGCCCAAGGGATTGGACAAACACCAAGTAATAGGTATTCACAAACATCGAGTATACCAATTGCTCGTATCTTCGTCTTGCCAACAAAACATTGACTAAACCAAAAAAAGTTTTAGCAAAAGGTGACTGCCGTCATACCAGCTCTCCTCAGTCGTGACATAACTGCCTGTGCTAGAAGACCGAACCGGTCACGGCCAACTCCCTAGAAGTAGGTACCTCTACCGACATGGAAAGAGCCCGCAACGCATAACACCAAGTCGACCTTCCGAATTACCTCACTTTACCCCCTTTTCCCTCCCCCTCGTCATTGCGAACCAGCAGCCGTTAGAAACTCCAGTCAAAAAAAAAAAAAAAAAAAAAAAAAACCGCCCCTTACCTACTCCGCCTGATTCACCTCCCGCATATATAACCCTCTACAACCCCCCTTTTCCCTCTCTCTTCTGCCTGTTCCCTTCCCCACCTTCCCCCCTTTTTTTTTTCTTCTATTTGTTTTCCCCTTGTATCTGCATCCCTCCCTTCCTCCCGGATCCTCTCCCTCTTCCGCCTCTTCATCTGGACGTGAGCTTTTGGCGAAGGCCGACCCCGCTGTTAGGGACTTAGGGTCGATGGGGGGTTGAGAGGTCGTACCTACGTACTCTAGTCTTTCTTGTTCGAGTTGACTGCTGGTGAGGTTCGGGGTATGTTGGGAATGGCTTTCTGTTATTGTAGTTGGTGATGCTGCTGCTGCTGCTGAGGCCTCGGAGGGTTCGGTCACGATGGAATTCGCGGTCATTCTGAGAAGTGAAGACCGTGCCGCAATGGGAAAAACTCTGTATGACGAAGAAGGGAAAGACATGTTCAAGATTTGAGGAATTGACTCGAAGAATGACTTTAGGATAGATTCCTTTGCTCGGGGATGAACAATGTGGTGTTTAGTTCGGTAGTATGCGGGACATCGTAGCGTCTCTCGTCAATCAGTAAGGCATTGTGGTAGCTTCAATGGTCAGGTCACTCTCCTGAAGCTTCCACCGGATATATGTTAGGTACCTTTTGCTCTATTAGTTTGGCTTTCCAGATTCCGACCGAAGTGATAGCACGGTAGTTATCACGAGGGAGAAACCGAGGATCACTCAAGGGTGATGATATCCGTAGAGAATGAAGAGGGGATTTCGATGCGGTATCTTCAAGGTGAGGAGTAATCATTGTTGATGTTAGCTTTCTATTTGTTTTCGACGTGTGACTTCTTTCAAGTGAATGTCCAATATTAACAAGTTTGATCCAAAACGTATACAGCAATGAAAAGTTCAAGGTATACTACAATACCTACTACTTCTCACACGGACTGATAGCATACGCACTCCTCTTCCTCAACTTTGGCCCCATCTTCCAAAACACAAACGGCGCCGGAGCAAGAACAACTGCCACACATCCCAGAATCGTCATGGTCCATTTCACCCCAAAACCCAGCACCGTAAACAACGGTCTCGTCCCCAAAGCCATGCCACCAGCAATGATATACCTCAGCATCGTGATAGCAGAAAGAGCGCTTCCAGCATGCACTCCATAACTATCCACAATGTACCCGTAACTGCTGGTATAGAGGGCCATCAAGACCAGACCGAAAAGGAAGCATGCCCCCAGTACAGACCACATGGGTATCATCTCCACGTCCGTCCAGCCCAGCCAAAACAAGGCGGCCGGAAGCAGCGGGCCGGCCACAAAGCCGGGAAACAGCCGGAACTCGGGCTCGAGCGTGGCATTCGCATCCTGCGTACTACTTGCGAGACGCGCTTCGCGGCGGCAGGCCCAGAGATAGAGACCCGGTACTGTGAGCATGAAGGAGGTGGCACCGGCTGCAAGGGCGCCGAAACAAGCGCCGGTCTGGCCCTCGTCGAGGTCATGAGCTTGGCGGAAGATTTGGTCGAAGCCTGACAGGAAGGTGAAGAGGAGGGTGTAGAGCAGGATGAGATAGACCCCCAGGACTGTGATGACGGACTCGGTGTGAATGAACTTGAGCGGAAGCGAGAGGCGAGTTCTCAAGCGTTGGGCAAAGGATTTCTGTCGCAGGTTTTGAGCATGCGCGGACACATAACGCTGGTCATTGGTAAGGCGGCGGAGGTGTTCGGCTTTCCAGTCGAGAAGTTTGGGCAGATAAGTCTCGGGTAGGAAGAGAAAGGAGACCAAAAAAGCGGTGCCGGAGATGACGAGCGTTACCCATTCTGTCCAGTGCCAGCCTAGGTATGGGTCCGCGATGATAAATCCGCCTGCAATTGGTGCAATGACCGGAGCTGTTGTTATGTTAGCCAAGTGAGTTACAATTGGATAGCGGACAAAGAGAGGCTTGCCTGCAACGTTTGCCCAAGCGATCACAGGAAAAGCAAATGTCCTCCCAACAAAACGGAACTGATCCTGTACACTCGATCCGTTGCTGCCCAGAGTTCCGCTCGCAAACAAGCCAACAAAGTACCGACATGCAACATGTCCACCAAATGTCGGCCTCAGGGCGGAACCAAGGACAAAAAAGATGTAACAGAGAGTAGAGGTCAGGTAGACCGGGCTTCGACCAAAGGTTTCGGATAGCGGTCCTGCAAAGAGAGCACCGGACCCCATACCGAACAAGTACATGGCCGTGGAGAGCGCTTCGAGGGCCGAGTCCACGCCGTATTCTTTGGCAATGTCGGCGTTAGCCATTGATTCGGCGCCGGCTGAGTATCCCTGGGCGAAGATGAGGAAGAACAGGATGGCGATGTTCTTGCATCGGGCTGCGAGTGGCCAGTTTCTGGGGTCGATGGGATCATTATCGCCGATTGTCGAAACAATAATAAGTTCTTCTTTGTTGTTGCGCGGTTGAGTGTCTTCAGTATTCGTGTCTTCCTAGTCTCCGGGTGCTTCGACGTCATGTGCTCCAGATTTCAGGTACAAGCCTGGTAGACGGCCTGATTCGACTTCAGCCTCTACTTGTTTTGCGATACGTCGGTATTGGACTACCGACCACATTGTCGGAAGAGGAATTGGATATTTCGCTAATAGATTGATTGTATGCGGGCAGTTGATAATGGTAAGAATGGTTACTGTAGCTAAGCTGTCGTGAACCTGTGAAAAAGTTTGTGCTGTGGTTTATTCAAAGACATGGCCAGTTTTCTCGTCTGGCCCATGGATGGGAAACTGACGCGAAGCAATCAGGAGGCAGGGCGCCATCGAAGTTTCCAGTTATCCTTGTACTTTGTTTGAGCGGGCAGTAGTAGTCTATGACAAATCCTTCTGGTGTAGTACAAGTCAGGAATTCTGTCATTATCGAGTTCGGAGATGGGAAAGAATAAACAAGACCAAAGAAGGCGAGGTTGGAGTGGCATCGTGATTGCCAAGAACACCAATTACTTACACATGAAGAGAAAATGCATCACTGAGAAGTCTAGACACAAAGCTTACGCTTGCCGCAAACGAAAATCAGGACCCTTTGATACCCATCACTCTGTCAACCCAAGCTTAACAATCAGGTCCTGTCTGGGCATCTCCAGAATGGCTGTCAAGATCCTCGAATCCGGTGCTCCGTCCTTGCCGTATGGCTTCTGCAACATGTCCTTGATCCTGTTGTACTTGTTGCTGAGCTCGGTCGATTCGGTCTCTGATATGTTGTCCTCCAGCCGATGGAGATCACTGCGCTCCTCTTCGAGGACATGTGGTTGTAGGTCCACCCAGATGGCGTGTAGGGACGAATTGAAGCTTTCTTGGGCGGGATCGAAGCGTTGCATGTGTCGTAGCTTGGAGTTTATCTGTATTGTCAGAGATAGCAGTCAGAATCTCCAGTCAAGCAATTTGGACTTCTCTTTCGATAGACTCACACTCTCAAAATCATCAGACAGTCTTTGACGTCGTTGGTGGCCGTGACTTGCCAGATGCTGCTCCAATGCCGGAGTTAAGACGAGGTCTTCAACGCGCAGGTAGCGATCAAGTGCCCAGATGAACTTGTTTCTCAGCGAGTGACGATCCTGTGGTTCGGCACTGCTGATGGCGTGGTACGCCTCGGTGATGAGCGCATGGTCGGCTTTGACGGCGTCTGAGATTCTGGACATTTTTTCGTTTCTTCTTTCTTTCTTTTCTTTCTGAAGTGATGATATGTCACTAGAGAAGGTTCAGTTTTCTTTGGGAAATGGGTTCGGTAGTGGTAGTCACCCAATGTGTTGACGACCGAGTTGGAGATCATTTGTGTTGTATGTCGGATGTCGACAACGACGGACGGAGCTTTGGTTATGACGTCACTCCATTGTAAGGTAAGATAGGGATCACTGCGTACTGAACCTCAACGGCAGTATGGGTCTTTGTTACTTTACAGCATCTCGTCAATCGAAGGCATTTGGACCTTGTATTGGATGATACACCTTTACAAGAATAAGACAAGGCGATAAGGTACCGTATGCCGATAAGCCACATTGAAGTCCCCCGTCCGTTTCCCCCCACCCAAGCGTCTTCCTCGTTGTCTTTATTCTCGTTTTCCTTTTCGCAGCAAATGTATGCTTCATCTGTCAACAGACCACCCCCAGAACACCTTTGCCTCCAATTGACTCCCTCGATTCGACAATGGAATGGGAATCGATAGCATACATATGAATCTGTCACCCTCGGCCCCGCTACGTGACGTCTCGTCTTGGCGCCATGTCGCCAAATACGGTGTTGATTTCGTTGATCGACAATCGCCCGCCATTGGAGGTTCCCCCTCGCGGAGTCCAAATCAATTACCGAGCGCAATCGCATGCAACACCCAACACATCAAGATGGCCGCTCGTGTCTCAGAAATCGGGACGAATCGCCGGCCGTGTTAGCCGTTGATTCTTGGTTTACTTGTGCATTGTTTCTGCTTTCGGAGAGCTGCTGACACGCCTCCAACACACTATCCGTATCGTACTATTTCAATACCAACAAAAACGGCGATAATGGCTAGCCTTCCGCTGGCATCGCGACACACAGCGCCGGCACTTCTTGTTGCTCGCCAATGGGCTGTATCAACCTCTATCGCCACCAGACCTTCGTCAAGGCTCTCGCTGCGGATTAGGATCCAAACAGGACATGGCGTCCGGAGTCTGTCCTACTCAAAACATTGGCGCTCTCAATCTCTCCCGACAGTAACCCGTGGCGATTCCAAGTTGTATGCCAGCGCCGACGATGCTGTGGCGGATATCAGGAGCGCATCTGTTGTCTTGAGTTCTGGCTTTGGCTTGTGTGGTGTGCCAGGTGAGTAAACGGCCATGTGTCAGTGCACTCAAACTCCATGACTAGAAATACTAATTTAGGTTGCGATCACAGAAACCCTCATCGAGGCAATTCGAAAAAGAGGCCCAGAATCTCTCCACTCCCTAACGGCAGTATCCAACAATGCGGGCGCCGAAGGTCGCGGAGGCCTGGCTCTCCTTATCGAGTCAGGCCAGATCGATCGCATGATCATGTCCCACCTAGGATCCAACAAGATTCTCGAAAAGAAGTATCTCACTGGCAAAATCGCCGTCGAGCTTTGCCCGCAGGGAACAATAGCCGAGAGGATACGAGCTGCTGGCAGTGGCATTCCGGCCTTCTTTACACCTACTGGCGGGCGTACGTTCATCCAACAAGGCGAGATTCCCGTTCGCCATGACGCCGACGGAAATGTGGTCGAGTACGGCAAGCCCAGAGAAACGAGGATCTTCAACGGTCGACCGTTCCTGATGGAAACCGCTCTACCGGGCGACGTAGCTATCCTGCGCGCATGGAAGGTTGATAAAGCTGGAAACTGCGTCTTCCGCTACACGGCCAAGGGCTTTGCGCCGTTGATGGCCAAGGCCGCAAAGGTGGCCATCGTCGAGGCGGAGAACATTGTTGAGGTTGGTGAGATTGACCCCAACGATGTGGACCTTCCTGGAATTTTCATCGACCGCATTGTGCCGGCTACGAAACCATCCCAGGTCGAGGTTCTCAAGACGCGGTCGCGAGACGATGGCAGTGATGGAAACCAGGCGAAGGCGGCCAAGCCAGGGGGCTCGGATGCGCAACAACGGAGGAACAGGATTGCCAGGCGTGCGGCGAAGGAGCTAAAACATGGATTTTATGTCAATCTCGGGGTCGGTATCCCAACCTTGGCTCCGGAGTTCTTGCCGCCTGGACATCAAGTTTGGATCCAGTCTGAGAACGGTATTCTGGGAATGGGTCCGTACCCCTTGCCCGACGAAGTTGATCCGTGAGTACTCATCCCCCCTCATCAGATTATTATATAGCGTACTAACCGTCATTCCCAGCGATATCGTCAACGCCGGCAAAGAAAGCGTCACCCTCGTCCCCGGCGCCGCCACCTTTGACAGTTCTGAATCCTTCTCCATGATCCGAGGCGGCCACGTCGACGTTTCCATCCTCGGAGCGCTACAGGTCAGCGCGGCCGGCGACCTTGCAAACTACATGATCCCCGGAAAGATGTTCAAGGGAATGGGCGGTGCTATGGACCTGGTGTCTAATCCGGACAACACCAAGATCGTGGTGGTTACCGAGCATGTTGCCAAGGACGGGTCATCCAAGGTGGTGCAGAGCTGCAGCTTGCCGCTGACGGGTGCAAGGGTTGTCAGCACCATCATCACTGATCTGTGCGTTTTTGAGGTTGACCGGAAGAAGGGTACGCTTACCTTGACGGAGATTGCGCCGGGGGTAGATGTTGAGGAAGTGAGGAGCAAGACGGATGCAGTGTTTTCAGTGGCAGATGACTTGAAGACGATGGAATAGAGCATTCAAAGCAGTCTATGCATAGACCCAGATATAGGTTCATTCAGCATGCAGAGCGCCATCTTCAAGTTCGCATGTTTTGTGTACCCTAAATGTCAAGGGTTTCCGCAAACACCAAACATACCATCTCGATATCGGGGATTGTAGTATAGTGGTCAGTACTTCTCGTTGTGGTTTCTCACAGCGATCCGAGAGGACCCAGGTTCGATTCCTGGCAATCCCACATTTTTGCCGCACTTCATGCCCTTGGGGAGGTAGAAGTAGACGTTAGATGCATCATCAACAATAATAACCATCTTCATTACGTCACCGATAATGTTGACTAGCGAGAGGAGCTTAGAATGGGACGATTTTGTCAAATTGATTTCCTGAGTCGATGTCAAATCATGATCATGATAGCACTTGAGAACCAGGCAGGCCTGAATAAACTCAACTGTCGCTCAATGTCAAACGATGCTCTAATCAAGCGTTTGCATTATTTCAAGAAAATAACCCATCGCAACAAAAGAGATCTTCCGATTCTAGTAGGGGAGCTTTGTGGTGGTGTATTTATCTGCAGGGATCATGTTGGTGTCTTTCAGGGGCATTGTAGATAACACCCACAGCTTCGGCATCTTTTCTAGGTGCCGAAACGGAGGGGATGAAACTCCACTGCCTCGGTCACCTATCAACCTACTGTGAACATTTCCGATTTCCGGGGTAACTATCCCCGTTTCAACACATCAAAACAAACGAACGATATAAACGCGGGGGAGGTGCCAAGAAGTAGCCTTCCTTCATCACCTCATCTGCCTTAGTTCTCACGTAACAAAAGTTGGAAAACCTACCTACCTACCTTGTACCTCCCTGCCTTACCTCAACTTCCACTTGCCGCCACGTCGACGTCCAGCTCTTCCGGGCATCGCATCTTGAAAAGATACTATAAGACTAAAACCGCCTGCCTGAGAAATAGTGACATTCGCAGCAAGAAGGAAGATGTCCAAGCTTTCCCCCTCTCTCAAGGGCCTCATCAACGCGCCCTTTGCCCGTCCTGGTCCGACGCCGGCGCCGCGCAACATTGAGGCCGTCTACACCAAGATCGCAGATGAGGCTCGCGAGAGGAAATATGGCGAAAAGCCATGGCTTGCGCTTTCTGTATGTTCTTTTTTTTTTATTTCCTTTTCTCAAGACCATCCCTATACCCTTTTTTTTTGTTTTACTCATGAATTTACTGAAATCCAAAAAAAAAAAAAAAAAACAGGCAGCAGCAACTTTCACCCTCAACTCGCCCTCCTCCTTAGGACCCCTCCTCACACTCGCCTCCTCCCGATGGCCTTCTTCTTCCTCATCTTCCTCCTCCCCTTCCCCTTCCTCTTCCTCTTCCCCTCCCTCTTCAGCACTCCTTGAACCCGCCGAATTCATCCGCGAAATCGGCCTCAAATGCATCTCCTTCAACGGCATCCCCCGCACAATCAACACCCTCAACTTCTTCCGCGCCCACCTCTCCTCCGCCCACCCCCAGCTTTCATCCCACCTATCCACCACCCCGACCCGCCAAACCACGCCCTCAAACATTTCCTCCGTGCACGCCCGCGGTCGTCAACTCTGGGAATCCATCTACACCCCCCTAGACGCCAAACTGGAAGCCAAGCTCGCCGAAGCCCACCCCGATTTACCTGTGCATATCCTCGGTAGCCATTACGGACCGCTACTCAGTGATCCCCCTCCGAAAAGAATGGGTTGGACAGTAAAGTGGGCAGGAGTCTGACGAGCGTGGTGGCCATTGCGTGTTTACGTGCGCAAACGGGCGTGGGGCCGCAGGTGTTGTCGCATGTGTTTGGACTTCGGAAGGCGGTCGAGCAGGGGGCGCATTTGCACGAGTTTGCTGCTGCTGGTCAGTCTGGTGAGGGGAGTGAAAAAGGGGAAAAGGAAAGGATAAGTGAGGAGGCGGAGGGGATTGAAAGATTGGCTAGTGATGAGGGGTGTGAGTGGATCTTGAGGAGCGTGGATGCGATTAGTGAGGCGATGGCGGCGGCGGCGGCGCAGGATGGGAACATGTACGAGGGAGGGTTTGCTACGCCGATGAGGAAGAGGGAGAGTAAGCTGTGAGATATCCATGCTGACTTGATGTTATTTCGACTGATGATTTGATTCTGAACTTCCGTCCGGTATATAAACCCTTTCCCAAGTCCTAACCCTCAACACCGAGATACGCAGCACTGGCGGTCCAATGGATGAGTGCTGTAACGGGAGCACACTACAAACTCCAGGCGCCAACCCTTGGCCGGGTGGCAGTGACAACCTGAAGGGCAAGATCCTCACAATTAGTTGCCGCCGGAAACAAGCTGTTGTCATGGCATAGCTTACTTTATTTCAATTTAGAGGTAGCTACACGGCTTTAGAAAACGAAACCCCGACAAGGACTCATAATGACAATCTGTTGTCCTCTCTCTCGACCCTGCGCGACACACATCATTCATAACCGTTACACATAACCATCGCTGACGTGCCACACCTAGGAGACTTCTTCACCAAGCCCCCGACAGCATGCCAAACGTCTTTCCTGTTCACCATCAATCACTCAAGGGCCTTACACCCCCTCCATACCAACCCCAGTCACCATCTTCGCCTTCAAAGTTCGCCTCTTGAGAGCCTTCCAACCCTCGATGATGGCCACATAAACAACCACACAAGCCATGACAACACCCCACTCCCACGTAATGGCATTATGTTTGAACACCACGTGGTTAATAACAGGGATGTAGATGACAGGAAAGCAGATCACGAATCCAGCCGACACCGCGCCAAACAGAAACTTGTTCTGCCACACCGTCTTTAAGACGGATAGTGGGCCCGAGTACTTTTCGGGATGCATGTTGAACAGCGACCGGGTGAAGTGCTTCGCCTCCCATGCCGTGACCAGCAACAGAAAAGTCAGCGTAGCGAAAGTCGTCGCTCGCGCCCTGAATGCCACGCCACACTCAGACGTCCAGTCCTCATTGCAACCCTCGCCGAGTCCGTCGGCACCCGACATGCCGTATGCCACGCTGGTGAAGGCCGCCAGACAGAGACCGCCCATGGCTGTGCCGTAGACGAATTTGTCGACAATCAGCTCGCGCGTGAAAATGCCAACTTGCAGGTCGTGCGGAGGGCGTTGCATCACGTCCGGTTGCGCATCTTCAAGACCGAGGCCGAGGGCGAGGAAGGAAGAGGTGACGAGATTGGCCCAGAGGATTTCGAGGGGCGAAAGGGGGAAGACGGACATACCATCATTGTCCTTGAAGGAGAGACCGATGAGGAGGAGGATGACCTGGGCGATGTTGGAGATCAGGAGGTGGAGCAGGAACTAGGGTTACTCTTGTTAGCCATGGCGTTTTCATGCCGTCCGCTTGCTCGATCAGGTACGTACCTTCTGAATGTTATCAAACAGCCTTCTTCCCTCTTCAATGGCGGTAACGATGGAAGCAAAGTTGTCGTCAGTGAGAACCATATCTGCCGCCTCTTTGGCAACATCACTGCCGCTCAGTCCCATGGCGATGCCCACGTCCGATTTCTTCAGGGCGGGCGAGTCGTTGACGCCGTCGCCAGTCATGACGCAAAAGGCCTTTCTCCTATGCATGGCTTCCACCATTCGGACCTTGGTCGTTGGGCTGCATCTCGCAAGCACCAAGGGCAGACTTTCCAAGGCATCAATTTCGGCATCCGAGAGACTGTCGAAAGCGCTGGCCACCATCACCTCGGTCCCATTCTGTAATCTGTCTGAGCGGAGAATGCCAATCTCGCAGGCAATGGCGGTTGCAGTCTTGACGTGGTCACCTGTTACCATATGAACCGTGATGCCAGCTGCTTGACACTTCTGAACCGCTGCAGCGGATTCGAGACGGGGAGGGTCATAGATACCAGCCAAACCAAGGAAGGTCAAATGCATTTCAATGCTTGATCTTTCGGGAAAAATCGACGCCGAAGCTTTCTCCTTTTCGGGAGTAGCAGAGACGTCATTCCCAGCCTGGAAGAGGGCTCCATTGACGGATCGCTTAGCAACACAAAGCACACGCAGACCTTGGGCAGCTAGGGCTTCCGCCTTTGCTACGATCTCAACCTTCTGCTCGTTGGAAGCGTCAAGTAAAGGCAACAGAGCTTCGAGCGCGCCTTTTGTGTACGCACAAGCAATACCAGCGCCGCCGCTTTCTGTGCTTGTGTAAACGACCGTCATTCTCTTGCAGGATGAATCGAAAGGGTACTCGGCGAGCAGCTGCTGTTGTGACTGTCCATCAACAACAGCCAACACACTCGACTTTCCCATACCAAACCGCATTGCAAAGGTCTGCAACGCAATCTCGGTTGGCTCACCGATAGCCGAATAAGTGCCTGCTTCCTCGGCCTTGGTGACAACCGCGTTGTTGCAAAGAGCAATGCTCTCCAGAAACTCCTTGAGATTCTCCCCCTTTGCGCCAATGGCCTCTTCAGGATCTTTCATGCCATGATCAGCGAGGCTAAAGACTTCCCCCCCAATACTGACCGACCCGCTGGTAGGATCAAAAGGATGCGTCGTCCCTAGGACTTCGACCTCAGTGCCATTCGCAAGCCAGACCTTCTTGGTCACCATCTTGCCCTGCGTCAGCGTCCCCGTTTTGTCTGAGCAAATATTTGTCACCCCGCCGACCGCCTCGAGTGCGGCCAGCTTGCGGATTACAACGTTTCCACGGGCCATGGCGCGGGTGCCAAGCGCAGTAGCGATAGTCAACACGGCGATAAGTGACTCTGGGATGACGGCCACGGCGACGCAGATGCCATAGATGAGCACCTCATCAGTGACGTCGAACTTGCTAACAGAGAAGACAATAATGGCCAACAAGATGGCCAGAGCAAACAATAGCAAAGCAAACTTGCTCAGCGTGACCTGCAACGGCGTACCGTCGAGGCCTAGGAGGACGCGCATGCCATTTCGGGCGCGGACGACCAGCGAGCGGAGGGTTCCCATTTCCTCTTTATTGACGCGCGTCTTGTTGCGCCCGCCGTTGCTGTCGCGCAGCAGGCCCGCAATCTTACCTACCTCGGTACCCATGCCCGTCGAGACGACGATGCCCGTGGCGCGTCCGCGAGTGATGGTGCTGGCTGAGTAAACCATGTTGGAACGGTCGCCGAGAGGGACATCACGGTCCCGGGCCATGACTACCTCAGCATGCTTGCTGACGGGAAGGGATTCGCCAGTTAGCAGGGCCTCATCGGTGGAGAGGTTGATGCTGGTGGCGAGACGGAGGTCTGCGGGGACCACATCGCCGACGCCGAGGCGGACGATGTCGCCGGGCACGAGTGTCTCGGCTTTGATGGTAGAAGTGACGCCTGACCGGATGACTTTGCAAGTGGGCGCCGAGAGGGCGTACAAAGCCTGGATGGTTTGCTCGGCGCGATAGTCCTGGAGGAAGCTAACGGGTGAGGCTGTGGTTAGCATCTCGACTAACAAGGGGGCAACAAGGATATAAAGTGAAGCTTGGTCCAGTCTTACCCGACTATGATGTTGAGAAGAATGACCGCAGCAATGACACCGCCTTCGATGTGATCACTGATGGCAAAGGACAGTACCATGGTAATAACGAGGACAAGAGTCAAGCTGTTGGAGACCTGTCTTAGGAGAATCGTCCAAAGGGATAAACCCTTGGCACCCTCAACCTTGTTGGGGCCATGGTGCTGCAGACGACGGGCAGCTTCATCGTCGTCGATTCCATTTCTACAAGACTAAATAAGTGACCAAACTTTTGAGTGTAGTGCAGGCATCAAAGGGGAATTACTCAGGGTCGGTTCTGAGAAAAGCACAGACGTCCGGCACCGAAAGGGTGTGGGCCGCTTCAGGAGTGAAAGACGGGAGACCGCCGGGTCCGGTTCCGGTAGTAGTAGTGGTGGCGTCGTCGTCGGCCCGGTATTCACATTCTTCTCCGATGATGGTCCCGGTGTTGAGCGTAGTCAAGGTCGGGGACCGTGTGGTTGCTTTAGACGTTGTTGGACTCTTGAAGCCACATATAGGAGGCTCCGTCTGGCCCTCGACGTCAAGTTCGATCTCTGTCCCCATTCAATATCCTGTCACGGTGTATGTACTCGCCGGTTGAACTTCAGCGAAGTTTAATGATGTCCGTAGTGGAAAGCAAAAAGGGAGGGGGGAAAGATGAGGAAGAGGGAAACCGAGAACCGCCGCCTCTTGTGTGACGGGTTATGCGGGGGGCTTTTATCAACAATGAGGAAGTGACCGCCCACCCAAAGAAGCAAACAGAGGAAGGTACCTCACAACGCCGAGAAGGAGCTTCACTCGCTGCAGTGTTGATCAGCCTATCCGCGTCCATACACGGAAGGTAGGTATAGCGGGAGGTATCAAACGGTATCATCCACATCTGATCTCCTCTCCTCTCTCTGTCACTTCCCTTGTTTGGCTGAACGGCCTCCTTAGTCTCTCTCCGCGCCATATGCGGCCCGCCACGCTGCTTCAACACAACACAACATGGCTGCTGTTGTGGTCTGAACATATCAAGCGCGCCACAGCCCGACAACGAAAGAGTACCATACCATCTCAACACATTCCCCTCTCTTGTCTTCCATGGTATATCAGCCAAGAGTCCACCAAGCTATCCAAGCCCTTGGAAATACGCATGCAGTTCCTGGCCAGTATGGTCAGTTGAGGGGGCGGGTTGAAATATTGTGACCTATCATGGCCTATCGGGGTTGCGTGGCCAGTAAAGTGCCATTGTCGACTACGCCGAGCTTCCTGCCCAGAGAAGCTGGCATGCGGGCAAGGGCGGGGGCGCTGTGGCTATGCCTCTTCCAGAATCCTTGGCAGCATACGTTAGCAGAATGTCCCCGGGGAAAGAGCTATCCCTGCTACCACTGACAAAGTCATGTCACCTGGTCTTTTCTCTCGACACTGATACGTACAATTCGCTGATGGATGGAGGTCCAGATGGCTTACCGGTCGGTGTCGGACTCGGATCTCGGACCTCCGACTTTAGGTCGTGATCGGTCCCTCAGACTCCACAGATCAGTTCCGGTCCGGTACTGTCAACGGAAGCTGGACGCCATGCCCGGCCGGCCGGTGTGAGTGATCAGGAGTACATCAGTGTGGTAACTCCGGAATAGCACGGCCGCTCCGCTCGGAACTTTCGTATCTTCGTTCGGGTCGAAGCAGTTATATCCCCCTCCATCATACAACACAATCTGCTTTCCACATGCTGTCGGTTCACTGAAACGCAGACAGCTGACAGACATCCAGTTATCAATCTTCCCAAAACCCCCCCTTCCCCCCATTCCTCTCTCCGACCGATGCAACCATCGATGCAGACGAGTTCCCA